ATCCATAATAAAAGCATCCGATTGCTTTCATAACTTTTTATACTTATTTAAGACGAAATGAGTTGTCTTTACAAAAAAACTCACCAAGATCGACATCTTTAGACATCTTTTCTTCTTTTTCTTTTTCTTCTTCTTCTTATTAATTATGTAAATATGTCTGTTCAAACATGCACCCAAAACCCAGACTTTCACTCCTCTTCAAATCGCGTGTACAGAATCCGTTTGGGAATCAGCATCTATTTATCACTATAGAGCATACCTGTCAACCCTACCGTTTTCCCGGGATTCCCTTGTATTTTACAGTTCTATCCTGCTATCATCCTGTAAAGGTATTTTCCCATATTTCTCCTAGATTTTCAGTCTTTTTCTGAAGGGTGGCAATAAATATTAAAGAGCCGATCCTCCCTATATGCAAAAACCATACCGCCGAACCCCAAGGGGACGCCCCTTGCTCTTAAATGTGAGTCTGTTCTATGCTTTTGTTTTGTTTAGGCATGAAAACATTTTGAAATAAATATAAAAAGGGCAGGATTTCCTTTTCATTAGAGGTACCATTGGCCCTCCTTTGCAATCTTCAAAACAGTTATATAGCGGTGCGTGACTGACAGTTGATGCGCTCTATAGTAATAAATAGACGCTGTTTCCCAAACGCATTCTGTACACGTGATTTGAAGTGGAGCAAAAGTGTGGGTTTTTGGTCCATGTTTGAACTTAAATATACACATAATTAATGATAATAACACCTAAAGATGATGATTTTGGTGTTTTTTTTTCCCAAACACAACATATCCCTTGTTATGGATATGGTTGTCAGGTATGCTATAGGGAGTGCGTGAAGAAGGAAAGGAGTGATATTCTTGTGCCAGCAGAAAAGGTAGAAAAAGAGAAACCCCCTTTGTCAGTGTGTGTGTGTGTGTGTGTGTGTGTGTGTGTGTGTGTGTGTGTGTGCGCTCTGATTGATTGTCAGGTTTTCCCCAGCAGACGGAGGCCTTGTCGCTCCTGTGAATCCCTCTCTCCCTTCCTCCATCTCACCCTGTCATCGTCCTTTCCCTGGGGCCGAGGGGCTTTCTCTTTCCTTTTACCTCTGTCTCTGTTGCTCTGTCATTCTCAGGGCTAACTGTGTGTGTTTCAACCTTTTCTCTCCAGAGTATCCCAAATCACGCTTTATTCCCTTCACAAGACTGTCCCAATGGTGCAGAGAGAGAGAGAGAGAGAGAGAGAGAGAGAGATGGCTGTGACTCCCTCATAAAACACTGTGATTTTTTTTTTAGTCCTGAAAGGAATGAATCTGAATCACAGTTGGCATTGTATTTAATGTTGGGCACACTACAAATTAAGTAGTAAAACTCCAGATAAACAAATATTGCTCTAATAATAATATTAAGAAGTTCTTTCCTGTTTTACCTGAGTCAAAATTGAATGTACTGTATTTAAAGGAATAGTTCACCCATAGACTGTAAAATATATGGACCTAGTATCTGTGACAGCACATTTTTGAAGAACGCAAAAGAGGCTACAAGTAGGCGTGGCTAACCATCACCATTTTGTTTGCACGTCATTGCACTGACCGGGGGATACCAAACAAGGGCGAAGAGGCAGAGGGTGAGTGGCGCTACAGACGCCTGCAAGCATTTTGCTTAGACAGGCTTTTCTTTAGGAGAAACGCTTAATACTTCATTACCTGCGGCTAGTTTGTGTTCTGGCCACTTGGTTGTACACTATATCAATAAAGTGTTGGGTCTTTTATAAACACTGTTGTAATAGATTGAGCCGCTGAACATTGTTTTTAAGACGTTTTTCTAAAGGAGGAAAATGCAATTTACTTCCAAACACTTAAAATACAGTCTGTGCTAGTAAAGGTAATGGCAATTGATGAAATCTAGACATAAAAGCACCGGGATGCACCGGGACGCTTTTCGTTTTTCGTTTATCGTCAGGATTTTACGAGACGTTTCTCCGGATTCAAACCCAAGCGAGTAACTGGCGTCGAGCAGAATATTATGCAAAATCACTCCTTGACATTAGATGGCGCTACACAACTTTAAGCTTCTGACAACCGCTTGTAACACAGAAGAAGAAGACAGAAAGTTTGACACACTTGGGATGCGTCCGAAATCACCTACTACTCAGTAGTAGTACTCAGGCCGTTCTATACTGTATAAATGTAAGAAGTATGAATGGAAATTAGAAGTACTACATCCCGCCATTTTGTCATGGTCATATGACCTACCTGTGTCAGTTGCGTTGCTTCACTCCATTTCACAAAGTCTCACACAGGACTGTATAGTATCGAAGTGCGCAGTTTTGGAGGCAGCCTTGTGGGTAAAGTTACTGGCGATGCGAACACGTATGGATGGTTCAAGTAGCAGTTCCAGCTCTAGCGATGAAGAAATGATTATTGTTTACCAGTGCAATAAGCAGCTCCACGTTCACATCACCTCTGGGCATCTTTTTTTTAATGTGCGCTCACGTTTACAGTTTAGCGCTTGAGCACTTCTAAGTGCTGTTTAATGTAACTTCAGCAACAAAAGTGGCAATCTGATTGGTGGAGAAGGTTTTGACGTGGCACGTCAAAAAAAAAAAAAAAACAAAAACAAAAAAAAACAAGCATGAGGTGTTTCTTTAAAAATCACGCTTTTAAGCCTGTCGTTTTGCACGCGGGTGTACATATTGCCGCCCTTTATTTAGTTACAAGGCATTAAACGTTGATGGAAAACACGAGCAAGAAGCGTCCAAGTCTGAACGGGCCTTTACACTGTATGACAACGTTTAAGATGACTGATCTATAGTCATAGACTCGCTCAGACATGACCATTTGAATCAGTGAGTCATTAATTGGAGACTTCTGACCTGATCATTTAAATCATTTGAATCAGAGAGTTTAATCAATGAGTTTTCCATATGATTCTTTAATTCAATTCAATTCAGCTTTATTTGTATAGCGCTTTTACAATGTAGATTGTGTCAAAGCAGCTTCACATAATGGTCATAGTAACTGGAACAGTGTAGTTCAGTCTTTTAGTGTTTAAGTTCAGTTCAGTTCAGTTTAGCTCAGTTCAGTGTGATTTAATCATTACTGAGAGTTCAAACACTGAAGAGCAAATTCATCGATGCGTAGCTCTACCAATCCTGAACCATGCGAGCCAGTGGCGACAGCGGAGAGGAAAAAAAACTTCACCAGATGGGAGTGAAGAAAAAAATATATATATTTACCAAATATATCAGTTTCATTTATTAAACAGGTCAATTTCAGCATTGGCTAATGTTAGCAAAGTGTTCAAAATAGCATCTACTGTCCAATGAAAATCACTTTCTATTAGAATCACAACAGAGAGCTCCTGTCAGCCAAATAGAAATGAACAGGCTTGCTCTTTTTATTTCCATCCAGATGCCAAAGCTACAGCCGTTCTTTTCAAACTTTAGCACATACACTCTCACTCTCCATCTGTCTCACACACACTCGCGCGCGTCAGTCCACTCTTCCATCAAATTTACCGCAGGCCTTTTAGCGTGTAGTAGGATATCAGCTCAGTCAGCGGTGCTCTGTTATCCTGACTGCACTTACTGTACATAAAGTGTTCTTCACCGCCTGACCTGGAGGCAGTTTATTCCTTCCCGCATCTAAGTTTCCACTGTTCCACAAAATAAAGTGTAAAACGATCTTATATCAGCAGCGAAAGCACTTTAGGCCTGATCGCAGATCAGTTCTTCAAGCGTCAAATGTAGATTTACATCTGTCTCAGGCTTATTGATTACTCAGGATGGGTCATAAATAGGTGTTATTTGTTACGTGAGACTGTAAATGAATTACTGAGCCTTTCGTTCAAATTTCTCAGTCGGGCTTGGCCAAAGATGGCATCTGCGATCTGGTTTTCCAGTTTGGTTGTGAATATTTGAGACAGGCTTATTATAGGAGGATGGCGCCATCTAATTCTCTGTTCTCAATGCATTAATGCTCTACAGTATGTGACATCACAAAGTAAACTAACGTGATTCTGATCATTGATTCAGTTAGTCACAAATGTTTTTGCCGACTGAAATGGCCTAACAGGAAGAGCTGAAAAAGCAGAATGAGTCAGGAGATGAGTTTGCTGCATTTAGTCCGCTCTCGCTCAAGTCCATCCATTCTTTCGCTGTTCTTTTAGCTTACGTAGGTGTTTGCTGCATGTGATGGCAGAGCAGTTAAAGGCCTATTGACTGAGCTGGTGGCTGGAGCGCTATATCATAACCGCTAATGAATGAGCTCTTAGCAGCATTGGCATCGCTACATGTGCAGGCAGCAGTAGATGGGAGCCAAAAAGTGATGGAAACAGAGCAGGAGAAAAGAGCTGCCCACTAAATTACACAGCTTTAACTCAGATTTACTGTTTAGATTTAATTGTTATGTTTTTTTTTAACATTTTATATGCACAGAGTATGCTATTTATTATAGACAGACAGACAGACAGACAGACGATAGATAGACAGACAGACAGACAGACAGACAGACAGACGATAGACAGACAGACAGACAGACAGACAGACGATAGACAGACAGACAGACAGACAGACAGACAGACAGACAGATAGATAGATAGATAGATAGATAGATAGATAGATAGATAGATAGATAGATAGATAGATAGATAGATAGATAGATAGATAGATAGATAGATAGATAGATAGATAGATAGATAGATAGATAGATAGATAGATAGATAGATAGATAGATAGATGGATGGATGGATGTAAACTTAGCTAATTAATGCATCAGCTTTAGTTAGCCTTGGATGAACAACCACTCATGCACACACATTCACTCACATTTAAAGATCAGACAATTTGAACAGTGTGTGATGCGAGAACCCAGCAGTGTGTGATCAATTATTTACCTTCAACTGACCTCTTCTCCTGATAGTGTGTTTCTTTGACACATGACATGTTTTCTCATTTTTCCTCAAAAATGAATGATGCATGATTGCAAAAATAACTATTTCCTGGCTTGTTCTTCTGTCCTCCAGTATCCTGTCCTCCGTGGGGTCAGAATTAGACCTGCGGACGCTGCGAGCAGTCAGAGTGTTACGGCCGCTAAAACTGGTGTCAGGAATTCCTAGTAAGTTTTCCATCTGTGTCAGTTTTTTTCTGTCTTTTTTCCCCCAACATGCATTAATACCATTACTCTCCAGGCCTGCAGGTGGTGCTGAAGTCCATCATGAAGGCCATGATTCCACTGCTGCAAATTGGTGTGCTTTTATTCGTGGCCATTCTTATGTTTGCCATTATTGGCCTGGAGTTCTACATGGGCAAATTCCACACCACCTGCTTCAACACCATCACTGGTGAGCTTTTCTCAAAGAGAGAAGACAAAAAAAACATGTTGTAGTAGTTTTACCTAACCATGAAACTTTATGTTGACCAGGTGAGATGTATGATGAACGGCCATGTGGAGCTCGGACATGTGATGCAAACAATACGCAATGCCAGGGCTACTGGCTTGGGCCCAACTATGGGATCACACAGTTCGACAATGTACTTTTTGCTGTGCTCACTGTATTCCAGTGCATCACAATGGAGGGCTGGACTGATATGCTTTATTATGTAAGACTTAAAGGCAATAGTTTAACACATATTCATCTTTTTAGGTTTAAGGTAATAATGTTTGGTAAATGTGTGCGTATCACAGAGCAATGATGCCTTAGGGAGTGCCTGGAACTGGATGTACTATGTTCCGCTCATCATTATTGGATCCTTCTTCATGCTTAATCTGGTGTTGGGTGTTCTCTCAGGGTAAGATCTATCTGTTTATCTGTTTCCAGCTGCCAACAAATAAATATTAATAATTATACAAATGAAAGGAAAAAAATATTATACACTCAGTGGCCACTTTATTAGGTACACCTTACTAGTACTAGGTTGGACCTCTTTTGCCTTCAGAACTGCCTTAATTCTTCATGGCATAGATTCTACAAGGTACTGGAAATATTCAAAGATGAAGCTATCTTCCATATTGACATGATAGCATAACGCAGTTGCTGCAGATTTGTCGGCTGCACATACATGATGGGAATCTTGATGGGAAAGTGTTCCACCACATCCCAAAGGTGATCTATTGGATTAAGATATGGTGACTTTGGAGGCCATTTAAGTACAGTGAACTCATAATCATGTTCATGAAACCAGTCTGAGATGATTCACGCTTTATGACATGGCGCGTTGTTCTGCTGGAAGTAACCATCAGAAGATGCGTACACTGGGGTCATAAAGGAATGGACATGGTCAGGAACAACACTCTGGTAGGCTGTGGCATTGACACAAGGCTCAATTGGTACTATTGGGCTCAAAGTGTGCCAAGAAAATATCCCCCACACCATTACATCACCAGCCTGAACTGTTGATACAAGGCAGAATGGATCTAGACTCTCATGTTGGTGATGGCAAATTCTGATCCTACCATACGAATGTTGCAGGAGAAATCGAGAATCATCAGACCAGGCAACGTTTTTCCAGTCTTCTATTTTGGTGAGCCTGTGCGATTTGTAGCCTCAGTTTTTTGTTCTTAACTGACTGGACTGGCACCCGGTTTGGTCCTCTGCTGCTGTAGCCCATCTACCTCAAGGTTGCACATGTTGTGCGTTCAGAGATGCTCATCTGCATACCTTGGCTGTAACAAGTGGTTGTTTGACTTACTGCTTTTCTATCAGCTAAAGCCTGGCCATTCTCTTTTGACCTCTGGCATCATCAAGGCATTTGTGCACACAGAACTGCTGCTCTTTGCATATTTTCTCTTTTTCAGGCCATTCTCTGCAAACCTTAGAGATGGTTGTGCATGAAAATCCCAGTAGATTAGCAGTTTCTGAAATACTCAGATAAGACCGTCTGGTACCAACAACCATACCTCTTTCAAAGTCACTTAAATCACCTTTTTTCCCTATTCTGATGCTCAGTTTGAACTGCAACAAATCGTCTTGATCATGTCTACATGCCTAAATGCAATGAGTTGCAGTCTTGTGAGTGGCTGATTAGAATTTTTTGTTAACAAGCAGTTGGATAGGTGTACCTAATAAAGTGGCCGGTTAGTGTATATATTGTCTGCATAACTAGTATTATTCTAGTTCCCTTTCTATATCTGCATATCCTTCAATTCTATTATGTTTTTCTTCTGTCTGTTGTTCTATCGATCCATCCATACACACACCATCTTAACAAAGTGCTAACTAGCAGCTGTCTGTTTCTCTCAGTGAGTTTGCCAAAGAAAGAGAGCGTGTAGAGAACAGGAGTGAGTTCCTCAAGCTCAAACGGCAGCAGCAGATCGAGAGAGAGCTCAACGGTTACCTGGAGTGGATCTGCAAAGCAGGTCTGTGCTTTAAACTAATATGGGACGGACATAAATACATAACCTGAAGTATGTGCAGAATCCAACTCTGTTTCTTTTTCCAGAAGAGGTCATACTCGCAGAGGATGACAATGACACCGGTGAGAATATTAATGTTTTTTGCATGCTAAATAAAGCCACCAAATTGAAACATATTACGTCTGAAATGCAGTAAATGCTAAATTTGCTTTGTGCACAGGATCTCGACGAAGACCCACATTAAAGAAAAATAAAGCTGACCTGTTAAATCCACAAGAGGGAGTGGACCACATGGGAGATTCAGTTGGTGGGAATTACTTAATATGTTTCTCTGTTTTTGAAACGCATATTAATAGCTTATATACAGCTGAAGTCAGAATTATTAGCCCTCCTGAATTGTTAGCCATTTCTATCCCCAATTTCTGTCTAATGGAAAGATTTTTCACATAATAGTTTTAATGTCTTATTTCTAATAACTCATTTTTTTTTTATCTTTTCTACAACGAAAGTACATATTATTTTACTTGATATTTTTAGAGAGACTAGTATTCAGCTTAAAGTGACATTTAAAGGCTTAACTAGCTTAATAAGGCACACTGTAAAACTATTTAAGTCAGTACAACAACAAAAAACATAATCCGTATTTCCTTTCGCTTTTTTTTGTTCACTCAACTTTTGAAAACATCAGCTGCACTGACCTAAAATTATTTGTCTGAATAATTTTCAGACAAATTATTCTGAAATCTTACACTGAAATCTTCTGACACTGCCAGAACTTCATTGGAGGAAAACTGATCGAAACGGGCATTAAGCAGCTGTCTGTGAACATGTCAAACCAACGATCAACGAGCACAGATTTTAGCCTAGGATTTCAGGAATCTTTTAAGATTTCCCAAATTTGTCTCGAATGACAAAATCATGGTTGAAATCTCACAGCGTGAGCAGGGTTTTAGGTTAATTGGGTAAGTCATTGACAATCGAGAAAAAAAGTAGCTTAAGGCAGCTAATATTATTGACTTTAAAATGGTTTTAAAAAAATAAAAAACTGCTTTTGTTGTATCCGAAATAAAACAATTAAGACTTTCTTCAGAAGAAAAAATATTATCAGACATACTGTAAAAACTTCCTTGCTCTGTTAAACATAATTTAGGAAATATTTGAAAAAGAAAATACACTTCACAGGAGGGCTAATCATTGTGACTTCAGCTGTATATATAATATCATATAGTGTTAATGCTAGGGTAGGAGATTTGAATGGTGCCTCACAATGTTATGCTATTTATTCTCAGGCTCACCTTTTGCTCGTGGAAGCATGAGCGGGAAGGGTGATGAAACCCCATTTAGCAAGAAAGAGCGACGTCTTCGCTTCCTTATTCGAAAGATGGTAAAGACTCAGGCGTTTTACTGGACCGTCATTAGCCTGGTTGCACTCAACACACTGTGTGTGGCTGTAGTACACTACGATCAGCCTGAGCTACTGTCAGACTTCCTCTGTAAGTTCTGATTCTTACTGAGTTGTTTGTTTTTACTTGCATGTTCAAAAATGTCATACAGATGGAATCAGCATAAAACACATGAAACACTGCTGTTCTGATGAAATGTGTCAGTGTCAGGACTCGCAGGGGTCATAATATCTACATCAGAAGTCAACTGTAGAACTTAAGACCATGGTTGCAAATTAATAGTATTTTGTGGAAAAATTTACACCAGCAAGAACAAGATTAAGGAAAATTTGAAGAAAATGTTTCAATAATTATCTTATCTTTGGAAAGAGGCTTCATCTTCTTCTTCTGAAACAATTTTTAAAGTCTATTTCCTTCTAAGCCTTTTAAGCTATATCCTTCAAACTTTCATCATAGCTTCATACTGGTCTGATTTGGGTTGCTTTTAACTTTTCCAACTGATCTAACTTTCAGATTTCTGATAAACGACCCGGAAAATTCCTGTTGACTCATCTCATTGGACCACACTTGGGTCAAACTTTGTACAGACTTAATAATGGCCTCATTTAACTGAGTCTAGCCAGCATCCAACCACTGATGATTTTTAGACTTACTAGCCACTCCCTAGCAATCAATTTTAGCACCCTAGCAACTGTCCCATAGACTTCCATTGTAAAAGACTGTCATTGACTCAACATTGGATCCGCGTTTGTGAGCTCATAACTCTGCATCAGACTGTCCCACAGACTAAAGTCTGGCCTCATTCAACACAGTCTAGTGACTAGCCAATCACTGACGACCTTTAAATTTACTAGCCACACCTTCGCAACCAATCTCAGCATCCTAGCAACTGTCCCATAGACTGTGACTAGCTGTTTTAACACATGCTAATAGTTTTAACATCCTAGCATACTAACACCATGCTAATTCATACTTGAAACAAGCTGATTCATGCTAAAATTATGTTAAAAACATGCTGAAATCATGTTAGTTACATGCTACTAGAAATATGCTAACAACATGCTAATTCATGCTAGAATCATGCTAACAACATGCTATTTAATGCTAGAAACAGGATAACAACATGCTAAATCATGTTAGAAACATGCTAATAAAATGGTATTTCATTCTAAAATCATGCTTACAACATGCTATTTCATGCTAGAAGCATATTAACAACATGGTAATTCATGTTAGTATCATGCTAATGACATGTTAATTTGTACTAGAATCATGTTAACAAAATGGTAGTTCATATTGGAATCTTGCTAATAACATGCAAATTTGTACTAGAATCATGCAAACAACATGCCAATTCATACTGGAATCATGCTAACAACATGCTAATTCATGCTAGAATCATGCTAATGTATGATAGAAACATGCTAACAAAATGCAAATTCATATTGGAATCATGTTAACAACATGGTAATTAATGCTGGAATCATGCTAGAATCTTTTTAGTTTGTGCTAGAATCATGCTAACAACATGCTAATTCATGCTATAATCATGCTAGTATATGCTTTTACCAACCACAGACCACAGGGATCAACTTTAAATCTTTTTACTGGCTTGCTTCTGTCTTTAAAGTGGTTTTATCGTTGACTGTAGGGATCTAAAACATTTTTTGGCCAACTTGATACTTTTTCAAACTAAATAAACTACTTCCAAAAGACAATAGGCATCTAGAAAGCTTTCCTCTACTGTAGTTACATTGCATTATGTACTGAGACCGATGGAAAATTAGAAGTTGCTTCAAAAAGTTTATTTCCTGGCCATATCAACCTAGAAAATAGCCACTTTTCATTTTTCGTGAGTCTTAGTACACAATGTACTTACAGAAGGATCAAGCTTTAAATGAGACAATTATCTTTTTGTGTGTGTGTGAGATGCTAATGGTCTAATCCGATTCAATAATCTAAATTATCTGAAATGCTCCCGCCAGACTCTGGTTGAATGGAATCAAAAACTGTTTAACTTTTAGAGGATTTAAAGTGAGCCTATTTCCAAAAAAGTTGAGTGTGTCTTTAACCTTTTATTTACTGTTTCATATTATATTATTTAATCATTTACATTTATTTATCGCTATGAATATTAACTCCAGACATGGCTTGTCACTAAATTATAAAAGATTCTTGCCATCAGTAAACACACTCCTTCCTTCTGTTTCTCCCTCTTTTTTGTCCTATTTCTCTCGCTCTGTCTCCAGATTATGCTGAGTTCATTTTCCTAGGCCTCTTTATGTCAGAGATGCTGATTAAGATGTACGGACTGGGGACGCGCCCTTATTTCCACTCCTCATTCAACTGTTTCGATTGTGCCGTGAGTGTCCTTCTCTCTTGGCCCATTTAAAGTCTCACTTTCTCTCCCTACTGCTTTTCTCTTTCCTCTCTGCCTCTGTTTTTAACCTCCGCAAGCCGCTGACCTACATTAGATGCAGACTTAAGCCCTTGTTAGTCGCTCCTCAGAGTGTGTTCCTTATTTGTTTTGGGATTCGACTGTGTGCGTGTTTCAGGTCATCGTTGGCAGTATATTCGAGGTGGTTTGGGCCATGGTGAAACCCGGGACGTCCTTTGGAATCAGCGTGTTACGAGCTCTAAGACTGCTTAGGATCTTCAAAGTCACCAAGTGCGTAGTTGTACATCGTCCCTCACAAAGTTTTTTTTTTTTTTTTGTGTTGTTGCACTCCTGAGAGTTGCATGATTACACTGTTGATTTTTCAGTTAAGTTCATGCAAGACTGTTTTCTCAGCCTCAGATCACTCCAAGGCGTTTAATAACAGATTATACACAATGGTCACTCTGCTCTTTTCCATATTATAAAGTCAACTGGGATTTTTAATTAAATTCTAAATATGATAAATCATGATAGCACCAAAGCACTAGTCCAAATGCTGTGTCATTTAAAGCAGTACGTAGAGCCATATGAAATCTATTGTATTTATTCACATATAAATATACAGTAAAGGCTGAAATCAAGCAGCAAGGGTATGAATAATTTCAGACTTTTTTATATTTCTATAATATGCATTTCTAATATATATAAAGTCAGCATTAGTAGCCCCCTCAATTATTAGCCCCCCTGATTATTATTTTTTTCCTATTTCTGTTAATGGAAAGACAAATTTTTTCAGCACATTTCTAAACATAATAGTTTTAATAATCATTTTCTAGTAACCAATTTCTAATTTTTCTTTTATCTTTGCCATGATGACAATAAATAATATTTGACTAGATACTTTTAAGACACTTCTATACAGCTTAAAGTGACATTTGAAGGCTTAACTAGGTTAATTAGGTTAACTAGGCAGGTTAGGGTAATTAGACAAGTTATTCTATAATGATGGTTTGTTCTGTAGACAATCGAAAAAATATAGCTGTAAGGCCTAATAATTTTGACCCTAAAATATTTTAAAAAAAATTCAAACTGCTTTTAATGTCACCAAAATAAAACAAATAACACTTTTTCCAGAAAAAAAATATTATCAGACATACTGTGAAAATTTCCTTGCTCTGTTAAACAGTTAAATATAATTAGGGAAATATTAAAATACAATAATAATAATTCAATGGGGGGCTAGTAATTCGGACTTCAACTGAACATATGCGCAAATCACACGAGTAGCAGTGCAATGTAGCTGTATATCAGCACTGGTGGGAGGCGTATGCCACCAGTGACGATATACAGCCACATTGCACTGCTACGAGTGTGATATTGTGTTTATACAACAGTTCGATGGCGTAAGCGTGTATATGACAAAGAAAATCAAACACGGAGAGTCTAAAAATCTTTTTGTAAGAGGGACTACTTTCTTCCATCATTTATTCACATCTGCAGCTGACATCAGAACGATAGGAACCGTTGCTACTTCACCAAGGTCACTTTAGAGCTAGTATTTGAATGATTCTCTTGTCTAATGTCTAAAGTGATGACAAAACAGGTGATTTTGCTCATATTTTAAGATTATAAGGCTGAACCTGATATGAAATGCCACTCATCTACAGAGATTTCTCCTTACAGTATTACAGTACACTCCTTACTTAAAAAAGCAGCGCATTCACTACCAGACTGCTGTTGTGTTTGTAATAAGGAAAAACGGCAAACACTTCTTCTTTTTTTCTGCCAACACAACACACATTCCTTATATGCGAGTCCCATCTCACACTCAATACACTACAATGGAATATCACTTACCAGTATATTAATGACTTGATCAGCTGTAGTTTAAAATTACGCTGTATTTTTCCTTCTCCAAGGGCTTATTATGCAGTCCTGTCGCCATCTTGTGGATAGACAACGTCAACCATCTTTGGTCTGCTCAGTCTGGCAAGCTAATGGCCGCCGACGCGCTGTCTCTCAGAAATTTTAAAAATGTAAAAAATAGGCACTATCCTTATAGAAAAACTGCATAGTTATTATCTAAACAACCTCATTCTTGACTAAGAAAGCCTCAAAAGTACATTATATCGTTCAACAGCAGGAATATTTGTCAAACTAGATTGTCCTCTGCTTGTTGCTGTATGTGGGCAAAGTAAAACACGAGTGAAGGGTGAAGAGGCTGGACGAGTGCTGTTACTGGCAGAATATTGCAAGGCTATAAGCCAATCATATATATATATATATATATATATATATATATATATATATATATATATATATATATATATATATATAAGTAAAAATATTATTTTTTTAATTATTTAAAGCAAATTGGATATAAAAATAAATGTGTGTAAATAATTGTGTATTTTATGTATTTTTTTATCTATATACATATATTTAATACGTATACACATCTTTTCTTTTTTTCATTTGAATTGGTTTAACATTTTTATCAAAAAGAGAGCCCGATCAATAACTTTATACAAATAAACATTTTAAAGTAAAATGGCTCAATATTTAGCATTGTTGTGTTTTTAATACTAGATTTCGCTTTCCCTCTTTTCCAGATACTGGGCATCGTTGCGCAATTTAGTAGTGTCTCTTCTGAACTCAATGAAGTCCATTATCAGTTTACTGTTCCTTCTCTTCCTATTCATCGTGGTCTTCGCTCTTCTTGGCATGCAGCTCTTTGGTGGACAGTCAGTATAGATCAAAACCTTTTATCAGCTTCTCTTTAATAGAAAGAAAAATCAAGTTATGTTTACTTGATGTTCTCTCTGTTGTCTCCAGGTTTAATTTTGAACTGGGCACTCCTCCTACAAACTTTGATACTTTCCCCGCTGCCATTATGACAGTGTTTCAGGTAGGTTCCGTCTGTTGGCTGACAGGCTTCAGAAAATACTTTATTTCTGTGTACAGTTATGTTTTAAATGAGCTTGTTTTTCAGATTCTAACAGGAGAGGATTGGAATGTGGTGATGTATGACGGCATCAAGTCTCAGGGTGGTGTGGACAAAGGAATGATCTTCTCCGTATTTTTCATTGTGCTCACACTTTTTGGCAACTGTATCCTTACAAAAGTACAAAAACATTTGTCTTTTTACTGTATTTTTCACATTCTACAGGTCAACAAAGAAACAAAGAGTAGAGAAATGCTGGTACATTGTTTTTAACAAATATACAAATTATATTTTTTTAGTTTAACTCTTTCATTGATGCATATTAGTTAGAGAGTTACAGTATTAAAGGTGCAGTATGTAAGTTTGACTCCCACTGGCTAAGATAGGTATTACATTCCTGGATCAAAACAAATGCAAGCGCAGGATGCCAGATTGAGGACCAAAAGTCTGACGATCGATATAAATCATGTTCAATATAAAAGCAACGGCACACGATAGAAGGAATATATTTCATATTAAAGGAGTTTTTGTTCTAACCAACACCTCAAATTGATATATTAGCAACGCCTTCTATTTCTTGCAGCTGAACAACAGAAAACTGACAATGATTACCTCAAGTACACTTCATATGCTTTATTCACTGTTAAATGCTAACAATGTGTGTTTGAATATCATTTTACATGACATTTATTGGCATACTACCCAAAGCAGCAGCAGATAGTTCACCTTAGATCTTTAAAAAAAAAAAAAAAAACGTTTGAAATTGAACTTTAGACTTAAAACCAACACATATCAGTGATTCAGCTTGTACATGTAATAATGTTAAAAGGTTTAATATGTATTAATAAGATTATGAACCTTACCATTTCATGAGTGAGTGCATATTCTGTGCTTCCGAATGGCTGTATTTAAATGTCCTGTATTTAAATAATAATCTTATGTGGAACTCTGAATCTACGTCTCATTTCAAAGTTTGCTACTGTTCACTGGAGGTCGCATTTTCGATCATAAGCTCTTACTTTGAGATTATTTTTTAATGAATAACTGAAATACTTAGTTTTCCATCAAGGCAACTCAGGGTGCTGAAATATAATTGGCTAAACTGGCATTGGGCGGGTTAAAAGAACCAAAACAAAAACAGCATTCCAGCATGTGTACCGCACATTTTCAAAGCAGAATATCTGGCTTCAGCATTGTTTTTCAGATAAACATGAATGTTCACTTAGCTTGTTTTTTTAAATATCTGCAAACATATTATGGTGTTTTTATGCTTTAGAAAAGTCAAAAACTTACATACAGCACCTTTAAACTCAAAGAATCACAAGACATCAACTGTTTCAATCAGCAGGAAACAAAACACAAATTTAAAAAATATATAATAATAATAAGATAAATAAAATAACATGATAGATCAAAGTATACAAATTAGGCCGTAAAGCAATACAGAAAATATATAAATACAAATATGTAAAAGTACAGCTGTAAAAATAAAGTAATAATTAAAAAAATAGGAAGAAGAAAAGAAGAAAGAAAAATATATTTCAACATATTTTCTCTGTGCTCTCCATTTAGAACTAGACTAGAGGCAGGGAAATTAGGTCCGCTATAGTTAAATAATATGTTTTTAGAAAAATAATCTATTTATTGATCAAACTGACTGCAACAAATTGTATAATGACAGAAAAACCATCGGTTCTATACTAAGTAATAATAAGCGTCACAATTTTTTTCTGAAAAAAAAAACAAAACAAAACAAAAATGTTTCTTGAGCATAAAATCAGCATATTAAAATGATATCTAAATGATCATATGAGATTGAAGATTAATGGCTGCTGACAACTTAACATTTCCAAAACTGGAATAAATTCCAATTTTGGTTATGCTTTATTTTAAGGTACTATTCTCACTATTCATGAAAAATTAACTACTGTATGACTTTTGCCTCATTAAAATTCTAATCTGCAGATTATTATTATTATTAGTTATTAAGGGTATTAATTATTATTAATAGTTATTAAGGTATTAGGTAGGATAAGGGATGCAGAAAAATATGCAGAATTTGTTCTTTTTTAGGTATTAATAAACAGCCGATATCTTGATAGTATGCAGGTAATCAGCCATTATATGAAGAGTTTAAATGCAAAAACCTCTAAATGCTGTCTGCAATTTTCCTCTAAAATTAGCATTTCTATCAGGCTCCTGTGTGTATGTTGAGTAAAATCTTTTTTTATGGCAAGGAAAAAGTTCTTTTCCAGGTCTTTAAAGTGTTATGTTGAAATATCTTTACATTAGGGGTGAGAAATCTCTGACCTAGAGGGCTGGTGTCCCTGCAGGGTTTCGCTCCAACTTGCCTCAACACACCTGTCTGGGTGTTTCAAGTATACCTAGTATGACTTTAATTAGCTTGTTTGGGTGTTTTGATTAGGGTTGGAGCTAAAAATCTGCAGAACACCGGCCCACCAGGATCAAGTTTGATGACCCCTGCTTTACATGATCTAAAGTCTAAAATGTTATTTATAATGGTCCTAAAAGGATCTTTAAAAGTCTTAAATTTAATTTGAAGAAACCTGCAGAAACCCTGTTACTTCAAATTGTAATAATATTGCACAATATTATTCAAATATATAGTACATATACGCGGTCCACCTAACAATATAATAAATTCTCATTTGCATTTTGTATGTTCATAGTGAATTCAAACCAACAGTGCCACATGCTACCTTCAAACACATACATACAGCACTGCCTATGACCACAAAGTCTAAGATGCACATTACAAAACCCAAACCCTGCTTTTCTATGACTATTTCTTAACTCCATCCTCTCAGACACACTACTGAATGTATTCTTGGCTATCGCTGTGGACAACCTGGCCAACGCTCAGGAACTAACTAAGGTTAAATGCAGTTTCTGTATTTCAGATTCACCGTTCTTGTAAATGTCTTTTTGAAAGCATTTAGCATTAGCATTTAGCCAAGCAATGATTATAAGCTGTTGCTAATGTATATTGTGTTATATTCTAGGATGAGCAAGAGGAAGAAGAGGCCACAACACAAAAGATGGCTCTTCAGAAAGCGAAAGAAGTGGCAGAAGTGAGCCCGCTGTCTGCTGCAAACCTCTCGATCGCTGCGTGAGTTACTCTACATGCTAACAATCAATATCCACACACACAACTGTCTAAATAGAGACTTTATACTTTTTTAAAGGGGAGTTGCTTAAGTAATCAAGAGTCAAGTATATCCAGTATGTCATGGGTCACATAATTCAAGGGATTTTTGTGAGAATTTTTTTGCCCAAATGTAATTGCCAGCTCAGAAGTACACAAATCAGTACCCAGTTTTTCATAAATATTCATGATTAAAGAGTGAAGTTTTTACAAGGCACCTCTGGCACTCAGGGGCATGTGCATAGCATAAATAAGCATATATATGCAAATTAGATTTAATACACTCATGAATGTCAGAAACAGACATACTTACCCAGTTATTTACTGTAAGAGGCCATGTCTTATGTCACATGAATTTGAGCTTGTACCGTAGCCTGAGTTTAGCTTAGCCTGTCAGCTTAACTTTATCATCTTCTTTGAGCAAATCCACTCTAATTCACTTTCCAGCAGACTTGCTTAAAGCTGTCTGATCATACAGCATGTAATTCTTTCATGTTATTACAGTTCAACGTGAAAATAGTGACTTGATTGACTATATGTTATGTTGTTTTAAACCCATGTGGATTTATTTCCATGCATAGAGATACTTTAAAGAAAGCCTTGAAAGTTCATATGACTGTATAAGAAAGTGTTTCTCAGCCATGTTACTGGAGGACCACCAACAACGCATGAGTTGGATGTCTCCTTTGTATGTCACGCCCATTACAAGTCTCACAGTCTCTGCTATTGAGCTGATGATCTGAATCAGGTGTGTTTGGTAAAAGAGACATGGAAAATGTGCAGAGCTGGTGGTCCTCTATGAATGTGGTTGAGAAACACTGGTATAGGCCATACCTCTGAATGCAATAAGGGACAGTTCACCCAAAAAAGAAAAATCTGCCATCATTTACTCATCCTGTTCCAAAGCAGTTAGTTTTTTTTTTTCCTGTTGAACACAATAGAAGAAATATAATGTTGGAAACCTGTAACCATTAACTTCCCAAACAAACACAATGGAAGCCAATGGTTACAGGTTTACAAACTTTCAAAGTATCTCCTTTTGTGTTCAACAGAATAAGAAAAAACATTTTTGGAACGATTTGAAATGAGTAAAAGGTGAGTAAATAATGACAAATTTAAAATGTTTGCGTGAACTGTCCCTTTAAATTTACAGTCGAGTAACAGATGCTTGTGTGATATCAGTATTTGTTGTGAGTTTTTGTGTTTGAATCCCCTTTTTAATTTTTCATTCAGTTTCGAACAGAGGTCACTACGTTTTTATTTTGTTGTGAGTGTGTGCGTTTATATTATAATTAACACTTGCACTATGACCTAACCAAGCATAATGCAGTGAGTTTGCAGTAATATAACCTGAACATATTTAATGCAGCATATCAGCAACACATTTGATGTTGAATTCCTCCATTATGCTATTTTTAGGGTCTTTTACTCACATTTTCTTGCAATAAATATTGCAGCATCAGCTCTTTTCTGACTGTGTCTGAAAAAGTTAATTCAAGGATTAAGTCTTTCTAAGCCCCTCCCTTCTGAGGACCTCTTTTACTCTGATTGGTCAGATCTTGCCCAGTTTGTGATTGGTCAACTACTTGCAGATGTTTTTAACCAAAAGCCCTAAAAGTTATGTGAACATGTAACAATGGTATCAGTTCCACCAAATCGGTCACAGAAAACAGCAACATGCCATTGCAATGTTGGCAATGCAAACCAATGCAAACATAACTTTTCCAGGACTCATCTACAAATAATTTTTACAAAAGTGCAAATATGGTGAAGCAGTGGCACAGTAGGTAGTGCTGCCGCCTCACAGCAAGAAGGTCGCTGGGTCGCTGGTTCGAGCCTCGGCTCAGTTGGCGTTTCTGTGTGGAGTTTGCATGTTCTCCCTGCGTTCGCGTGGGTTTCCTCCGGGTGCTCCGATTTCCCCCACAGTCGAAAGACATGCAGTACAGGTGAATTGGGTAGGCTAAATTGTCCGTAGTGTATGAGTGTGTGTGTAAATGTGTGTGTGTGGATGTTTCCCAGAGATGGGTTGCGGCTGGAAGGGCATCAGCTGCGTAAAACTTGCTGGATAAGTTGGCAGTTCACTCCGCTGTGGCGACCCCGGATTAATAAAGGGACTAAGCCGACAAGTAAATGAATAAATGAAAAGTGCCAATTTTTTTGTGAAGACTAGACTGCAATTATGCAGGCAAACATTATGTAGGTTTGTGTAGGATGTTACACAGTTAGATTTGACAAGACTGAGAACCGGGAACGGTGGTGCAGTGGGTAGCACAATCACCTAACAGCAAGAAGGTCGCTGGTTCGAGTCTTGTACTGGGCCAGTTGGCTTTTCTGTGTGGAGTTTGCATGTTCTCCCTGTGTTTGTGTGGGTTTCCTCCGGGTGCTCCGGTTTCCCCCACAAATCCAAAAACATGTGGTATAGGTGAATTGGGTAAGCTAAATTGTCCGCATTGTTTGTGTGTGAATGAGAGTGTGTGGATGTTTCCCAGTAATGGGTTGCAGCTGGAAGGGCATCCACTCCCCAAAACATATGCTGAATAAGTTGGTGGTTCTTTTTGCTGTGGTGACCCCTGATTAATAAAGGGACTAAGCTGAAAAGAAAAATGAATAAATAAATGAATGAATGAATGAATGAAGACTGAGAACCAGTGAGAATTTACTGTTATCACTTTATTATGTCAGGTTAGGACATGGTGTTGCATGTTTATAGTGAAAATTTCTATTTTGTTAGGATTTCTAAATTTGTTAATAACATGACATACATGGTAAGTTGGATACGTTTAGGGGTAACTTGGCACAAACCTGAAGTTTGGAAAAGCTGATCTCCTGACAAACAGGTTAATGATTTCATATATTTCATTTGAAAGAGATAGGTTACCCAAGATGAAAACAAAACAACTCTGTTAGTTTACTCACCATCAGGCCCTCCATGATGTTGGTGACTTTTTGGCTTTTGTAAAACATTTGTAAAGGTTTTGACCTGAAGCTGTGGTTCTTAGTGATTTGAAAATGCAAATGAATGGCTTGTTTGAAAGTATAAATAAGCATATACAAGCAAACCAAATCAATACACATGGCTACTTGTGATTTTGGAAACAAATCTGTTGTGAATAATGCTTTGTTTTTCGAAAAGATCAAATGTTATTGTCCCAGGAAGTCACAAGTATTATATTTGTTATTTATCTAGATGCTTTTTTGACTCTCAAATTGCTAATAGTTATTTTGCATTTATGAATCACCTAGGACTACAGTTTCAGCTAAAAAATATATATGTTCTGCTAAAGACAAAAAAAAAACAGCTACATCTTGAATGGCTATAAAGCGACATCAAAGATCTATCAGCAATGAAAACCAACTGTGATGTCACCTCGCTTCATCTCTGTCTGGTCTTGTCTTGACCAAACAGCTGTGTGTGAACACAGCAAATGAAAGACCGCTGACTAAAATGAGAATGTACTGTATGTTGTACACCTGGGCGAGAGGAGGCATCTCTCCATACAGGCACTATCTGTATTGTCATTCCACAAAAGGAAACCAAAACTAATGCTGCACATATTTGCACCATCTTCGCAGTACTTCTCAATTACCACAGAGTGATTTGCTTGTGCAAGTATGTTTGATAATCTGATAATCCATATAGATTGCAAATATTTAAGAAATTTGACCAAATGACTTCCCTCTTAATTTGTGCCTTTTTGTTTTGTTACTTTAGTTTTTATTTCTAGCACTCTGGTTTGTAGCTGAGCAGCCAATCAGTGCTCTCTTTTTTACCGATGCCAATTCTATATGCTGAATCAGGCAAATTCCCTCCGCCTTGAGCCCAAAGAAACAAACAAGTGTGACAAACACTCACTGGTGGCCCAATACTGTCCAATGGCTGACTGTCGGATAGGGTGAATAAACTAACAGCAAGTTGAACTATCCCTTTAAGCTTGTTTTGAAAAGCCAAAAATCAGGCTCATTGTGAATACATACTCAGGTCTACATTTGTGGTGACTGCAAAAAATGTACCCAGATGTACGTCTGGTTGCATTTCGTCTGTAAAATGAAGGCCTTGGGGCACTATGAAGTGGACTACGACAACATGGTTTGTGTTGGGGGAAAAAAGGGTTCCAGAAATCATATATAATGAAAGCAATAAATAAAACTTGGTAAAATCCGAAAATGACGACGCAACAGCTTTTCTTTTTTAGATTGCTTTTGAAAACTCTATCATTTGGGTTTAGAAAAGAGGGTGGGTGGGTCAGTGAGTTGTTCGACAGCATGCTGGTTGGCTGAAATGCATATTGTGGCCCCTGGTGGATTAACGTGAGAAGAGGACGCAAAAATGGCACATACGAGAGAAATTTGAGGTCATTAAAAAGTGTATACAGCAGCCTCTGGTGGATTTGTGAAAACAAAAACTGCATGCAGACATAGCTCCGGGTACATATTTAGCGGTTCCTAGATATGTAGACCTGGGTACATATCTACAATAAGCCTAGGTTGCCAAAAACACATCCAAGTTATCCCTAAAGTGACATAAGTCACCTGAATAGGGACCATGTGTGCCACCTGTTCACTTTGTCAGCTGTTTTCTGTGATAGTTGTGGCAGCGTTGTTTTTATGTTCCTTGTTTCACCCCCCTCTCCTCAGAGTAAAATCTGAACGTATCGATGCCACAGACAGTTTACTGGACTGGTATTTATTAATTTACTTACTCATTTTTTTTCTTTTCCCTTTTTTTTTTTTGCTTTCTGCCATCCTCATATTCTGTGTGGATGTCTCCAGCTGCTGTAGCTGCAGTTTTTTGTGTTGTAACACTGAGGCTGAGGTTTCACTTGCTGCTTCTTTTTCACAGCAGCACCGCAAAGCACAGTCGTCTCGCTGTTTTGGTCTCAATCCATCTCTGCCTTTCCTCTCTCTCTCTATCTGTCTGACTGAACATGCCTCAATGCTCAGTGCTGTTGTTCAGTATGTCATCACTCCCTTCTCACAATTCATGAGCCACATCCATGTCCTCTCGCTGGGGAATAAGGGACACTATCATTTCCTTTCACCCCGGGTCATCGCTCATAGGTGCTTTAGGGGAGGAAAACCTAGGCTTTTCCTTCATTCTGTGTTAAAAAGCCTTGTGTTTCTGTCTCTCCTCATTTCTTCACTCTGTAGTAAAGAGCAGCAGAAGAACTCGAAAGGTTCGAAGTCAGTGTGGGAGCAGCGCACAAGTGAGATCCGCAGACAGAACCTGATGACCAGCAGAGAGGCACTCTATAATGAACTTGATGCTGAAGATCACTGGAAGGTCAGATATGAAGCATAGATACTTAATGATATGTTTTTGATGAACACTTTTACTGTGCCAAAAAACTATGAACTACAGTAACTGTGTTAACCAAAAAAGAGCCCCAATAAATTTAATAATTATTATTTAATGGTCAAATTGTTATATTAAAAGTATGCTTACATTGAAATGTGATGTGCTTTACTGTAATATTACAAAATAAGTTATTTTATGATGAGTATTATCCTTACTATTACTATTATGAGGTGTGGGCGTTGGATGACGCGGGGGTGTCACGGACAAAGGATGAAAGTGAAGAGCGAGTGGGTTGTCGCTGACGAAAGTGAAAGTGAACAGCGGATGAGGGAGAAGGGTGGTTGAGGAGGGGGATCATTAAAATCAGGGGCCGGATCAGATTTTATAGGTGCTGGATCCGGATCCGGCGTGTACCAGCACAAATTAAGCCCTGAGTGTTACCGACCAGAATTTCTTACTTCGCCCAAAAAAATACATAACTATTGATTGTCTTTTTTTGAGGTGAATTGTAAATGGAGTTGAATGGGGTTTTATTTTATTTCAAGGCATACTAATCTACAGTGGGCAGGTAATGTAAAACAACATTACAAAGTGTGAAACACTTTTACGAAGCTCAAGACAAATGTACATTTTGGAATACAGTTCTACCTATTATAAGACACAATTACATAGAAAAACCAAGAACAAAACAAATGTACATTTTAGAAAAAATAAACAAGACGCGAAACACTTTTACCAGTCCCTAAACAAATATGCAATGAAAGATTCTTTACGAAAAGGAAATGTACCACACACTGCAAGTGACGCTGAATGTACCACACACCAGAAAATATCAGCTTGTGTGTGACCTTTGTTTACACAAGTAAACATGAGTCCAAAGGCACAGGTTAACATGAGTCTACAACTATAAAAATCATGGTTTGATCAACTGCGATAAAACATTGTTTTGTCATCCAGAGCTATTCACAGAAAATATCAGCGTGAGAGTATGTAGAAACATGTAAACGCAAGTACATGGTAACAAGTTAACAAAGGTCCACAAACAAAGCACGACATATGTTGACTGATAAAATATATCAAAACCGACTTTAACATGTAGTCCTGAATAGCCTAGTTAGAGTGCTTTCACACCTGTGAATCGATTCAGTTGTTCTGAAACAGAGATTACAAATGTTACATTGTTGCTCGTTGCTCTTGGTGTGGTTCGCTTTCACACTGCAAAGTTTCTAATCGGAACAAAAGAGCTAAAACAAGTCACGTGTGAGTAAACTTTCCTCACATTGGTCAGAGTGTCAGGGTTATTTTGCAGAGTCCCGCTTAGCTCTCAGGAGAGGTGGTGGTTTGGTGGTGTTTGACAAGGTGCGCGCGATGTGTCTAAAGAGTGAGGAAAGATGAGGTGGGGGAGGGGTGAAAAGGGTGCGCGACGTAGCCTATTTGAGGAGCGGGAGGTAGATGCAAGATTACCGGGAGATCATCACTCGTTTGCGGGCATCCTGAGACTCGCAAAACTTCCCGCCCTACTCATAATTCTCTCTTCATATAGCCGTATGCCTATTACATATCCATAAAACACAGTGATATAACCGCGCTCGGATCGGATCACTTACTCACTGCAATTGATCCGCTCCAGAGTTCGTTTCAATCGAGCGGAGACCTCCTCCTTCAAGCAATCTCGGACCGATTGATTTGGTGCGAATCCGAGAGCGATTGGTGGTTTCACATATGTCAAACGAATCGCGCTAACTGGGCAAACAAGACAGGTTCCGAAACAAAACTGTAGGTGTGAAAGCACCCTTAGACTCGTGCTGAACCTTTTGGCTCGAATCTCTTTAGTGACATGTAAAAGCAGCCACTTAGTGTCCTAGAAAATCTGTGAGCCCCCAATACGTACCTAGAAGTATAAATTATACCTATAAACCATAAATAACATTGCTTTCAATCATGCTTTGTATGGTGAGGGTCTAACAAATACAATTGTAATGTAATTGTTACATCTACTCAAGTTTGTCCCTCATCCTGAATCATGGAGCAGTAGAACGAAGTAGTTTATTTATTATTTTTAGTTGTGAATTCATTTTAAGGAAACAAATCCTTTAAAATGCAGAGATTGCAATATGATAAAACGTAGAAAAGGAGAACGAAAAAACACCAATATAAATAAATAGAAGATAAATAAAAGCACAGAGGATGCATTTTAAGAGTGTTCGGCCGCTTGGCTGTAATTGCTTAAGACCCCCAAATCAATAAATCCACCCCTGCTTATCAAATCACTTTTTTTTGCATCTCCAGATGAATTACCGCAACCGGCCTGACGTGAAGACCCACTTGGACCGTCCACTAGTTGTCAATCCTCAGGAGAACCGCAACAACAACACCAACAAGCCCCGACCCGATGACCCAAACCCCCAGGAGCGAAGCGAAGAACACCCGTCCAGATCCCATCACCATCACAGCCACCATCACCACCACCACCACCACCACACTCACCACTCCAGCCGCCAGTCTCTGCACCTCCCAGAGCTGGCCGAGACCGGTTTTGAATGTGATGTGGAGGGCGCAGGTGAGCACAGGCGACCCCGACACCACCAGCACAGGCGGAGGGATGAAGATGGAGGAGAGAGAGGAAGGAAACACAGAGATCATCACAGCAGAGGAGAGACGGCTGGAGGAGATGCAGAGGACGGACAGGAGAAGCGGCAGAGGAGACATCGACATGCTAACCATGGGGATGGAGACGGGAGAAGGGAGAGGAGTCGACTGCATCGCAATAAGAAGTCAGTGTTGCTTTGTTTTTTCTTTATTTTAACCCTTTCACGTACAAGTTCTAAATCTTCAGCTGACCCCCCACCCCTGTGAGTTTTTTTTACGGTGAATATTATTTAGATCTCTTCTCTTTAAAGTTCTCATAGGGGCACATCAAGATTTATGCATAGATTGTTTTTGTCTCTATTTTTCTAACGTCAGAATTATAGTGCTCCATATATATAAGTAAACCCCTTACAAATCTTTTTAAATTCATATTTTTAATAGGAAGCTATACAAAATTATATTTGTGCATATACATTAGATTAGTAAATACTGAAGCCAAATCTGGAGCTTTTCTAACAAAATAACTTGCGATAACTGTCCAAAAACTAGTACACCCAAATGTATATGTATAGAAAAATATTAAACACCATTTAAAAAAAAAGAGGAAAATTCAGCAAAAAATATGAAAAATTTTGTTGAATATCTTTGATGACTAAAATATAATTTCAATAAATTTGAAAACAAAATGTTTTGTTTAAATGCACCAAAATACATTGCCTATATTCACTGAGAAATGGATAAAAAATATTAATTTTTAAAATGGGGTGTACTCAATTATGCTGAGCACTGTATATGTTAAATATCTAATATTCCGATTTTTATTTGTTTGCATTCTTATGTTCTAATCACACCGGTGTGATCGTACATGTGAAAGGCTTAACAAAACAAACTAACAGAACAATAACCACATATCACAACCAGTACATTGCTCAACCTCACAGTATCATCATCATGGCATAAACTGCAGATCAAAAAGAAGACCAATAAGAAAACATAAAGTAATAATAATATTCAAAGTATACACAAAATAACCAGGGATTATGGTGATCTACCAAGGTTTTGCAAAAAGGTAGCTGAAATCCTGAGATTTTAAATTTTAACGCAGATTTTAACATTCATTCATACATTTTCTTTTCGACTTAGTCCCTTTATTAATCAGGGGTCACCACAGCGGAATAAACTGCCAACTTATCCAGCATATGTTTTACGCAACGGATGCCCTTCCAGCTAAAACTCAGTACTGGCAAACAGATTTTAACATAAAAACTTTATTATTTTTTTTATTATTTTTAATGTATTAATTATAGGGGTGTGAACCTACACTGGTCACACGGTTCGGTTCGGTTACGATTATCATGCCATCGATTCGGTTAAATTCGATATCCTGGTGCATCACGATGCATTGACAATGCTTTCCGAACATAATTATATATATATATATATATTAGGGATGTAACGGTATCAGAATTTCACGGTACGGTAATACCTCGGTATGAATGTCACGGTACGGTATTTATTGAATCATTTACAGGAAAAAACAAAACTTATGAAAATACTCCAAAAAAGTGCCAAAAGTGTCAATGACATACAAATTAGCCATCTATCTGTAAGCTTTGAAACAGGAACTTCAATTTTAATAACAAAAAAATATTAAACCATGTAAAAAAATAAAGTTTCAATTTAGTATTGTTGAAAACTCATCACATTCAACATTTAATCACTCACTCACTTAGATAGAGATGGGTTTAAAGGAAAATTATCATATAAATATAATCTGGTAAAAGCTGGTATCTCTGGGTATTTACAATGTCCCCTGCAACAGAAAAAAACCCTCTCATTTGGGACTGAGGTTTCTGGGACATATGAGAGATATGACTTGGCCCAGGTTGACAGCAGTGGGTAACGTTGTGCATTGTCTTTCCCCCACTTGAGAGGACAAACCATGAGTGAGATAGAGGTCTCATGTCTGCATCAATCTGAACAGTGTGCTGACAACACCGCTATTCAGTACGTGCGCGACAACACAGCTGATAAGAACTCGCGCGACAACACCGCTATTCAGTACGCGCGCGACAACACAGCTGATAAGAACTCGCGCGACAACACCGCTATTCAGTACGCGCGCGGCGACAACACCCGCTTTAGAGTTTTCCAGCTCTTTTTCATCCCCGCTTCTAGCAGCACACTCCATTTCCGCATTACTGGATCTGTAGCGACAACAGACCGCAAGGGATGATGGTCAAGCATGGGCTGATGGGAATTGTAGTTTTCGCTACCTCCCGTTCGCTTCATTCGCCTGAGCAAATTTCTCAGAAGACCTATAGTTTTACCGAGTCATGCGACTACGGTAATATCGGAAAAAAATTAATATTGCGGTATGACGGTATTTACAATACCGTTACATCCCTAATATATATATATATATATATATATATATATATATATATATATATATATATATATATATATATATATATATATATATATATATATATATATATATATATATATATATATATATATATATATATATATATATATATATATATATATATATATATTTATGATTTAAAAATTATTTTTTAAAACAAAAAAGTGAATAATTACAGACATAAATTAGTAAAATGTGTTTAAGTCAAACTATTGTATGTAGGTTTTGCTTTCTTGATGTTCATTAAATTATAGTTGCTTTTGAATATATGTCACAGCACATTTTAGATTCTAAAAGAGTGCTTCATATTCTGGAAATTATACTAAAATAACACTCATAGAATGAAGATCTTGTTTCAGCTGTTTATCTCTCATTCCTCGTTTTTGTTTTTTAGAGAGGGTAGTTTATCGACGGCTCGTCCAATTCAGCCAGGACTACCTCACACTGAGAGCCAGTATAGCGAGGATCTGGACAACCTGCGCAACAGCAGCAAGATGGCCATTCACGACCCTGACCCTGACCTCTATGACCCCTACTATGACCCAGAGCAGGCCAATAACCTGCTGAACCTGCGTGGACCAGATCTACATGACAGCAGTCTCATTCTGACAGACTCCAGCAAACTGGAGCACACTGCCATAGACATGCCCCCCATTTACCCCTCACTCAATGCCAAGCTACAAGGTGAGGGATGCATGATATGTATGTGTGTGTATGCAATTAAAAAAGAGGGATGACTATTTACTTAGCATTTACTTATCTGGGATTTGGAATAAGTGGAAGGTGAGTAAATGGTTTGAAAATATTGTCTTCTTTTTAAAGATTTTTTAACATTTTCTTTACATTAATTACAATTTATTTTTAACCCACATTTGGCCATATAGCCATATGTGATTACTTCATTTACATTGATTACAATTCATATGCATATATCAGAAAAGTTTAAAGTCTTGTAAAAAACCCCAGTGACACTCCAGGGTTCTTCCAAAGCGCCCTACAAGGCTCAAACCTTAGGTCCACATTTTATTATAATATTAAAAAAAAGAGTGTTAGATAAAGTGTCAAACTGAGTTTTTCCCTGCCTCACAGGCTTATTGCAGATCAATTAACAAGAAAATTGCTTATACATTTATGTATTTAATTTGTTTGCTATTTAATTATATTTGGGAATCGGCCTTATTCCTATCAATCTAAAGATATAATGCAGTAATATAATAAAATCCCCATTTGTTATGACAGTGTCTTCTGTTTTCTGGGGTAGCTGTAGAATATATTAAGTTAGATCAGGGGTGATCAAACTTTTTCTTATGAAGGGCCAAAACCAAACCTAATTGAGGCTAGTGGGCCAAAGGTAAATATTTGCCATGGGTAATTTCCTAATTGACTAAAAACATTAACTTGTATTAACTAATACAGTATATATTTTTTTTACATTTTATAATGAACTTATTACAGTAAAAACCAAACAGTCTCATTTACAAAAGAATTACACTAGTTTTTGCCTTGATTTGCTTACTGATGTCTTCTGCATAGACCTCTATCTGTCGAGTGACAGTATTTACATTTTAAAATAAAATAAGATTGATTTACAACATTTAATTGAAACATTTTTATTTAAGTTTGCTTTAAATGAAATAAACAAAAAGCAATAAAACAAACAAATAAAGGTTACGTCAAATTAGACGATCTCTATGTTAAAGAGAGGTACCCTCTCCATCATTCTCATTTTCCTCTCTGATAGGATGGTGGGCCAAATCAAGGGTTACAATGGGCCTACTTTGGCCCGCAGGCCCTACTTTGGGCATCTCTGATTTAGATAGTCAGACTTAGCATTAATTTAGTTGCTCAAATGTGTTTAAGATGACCTTTTCAATAATGGCTCATGGTTTAAATAGACTGTTTTTATTTCACTTTTGGTATGCTTGTCATTTAATGCTGTTCGTATCATATGGAATTGAATTAACAGTTAACAGTTTCAACACCTGACAGTTCAAAACTAGACATTGGCTTGTTAAAAACCAATATGTAATTGTGTTTAAAGCCTGTTATTGAGCATTCCCTTTTTTCCTACATTGTTCAGTGAACAAGAATGCCAACACAGAGCCAGCTAAAGAAGGGGAGAAGAAAGAGGAGGAAGAAGACGATGGTGGCGATGAAGAAGGCCACAAGCGCATTCCACCTTTTAGTTCTTGTTTCATCCTATCCACAACCAACCCGTAAGAGTGTCCTTGTGTGTTTGTTTGTGAGAGTTAGTGCCAAGCAAATGTCATTCATCTCAACCGGTGTGTGTTTTCAGCTTCCGGAGATGCTGTCACTACATCCTCACTCTACGTTATTTCGAGATGTGTATTCTGTCCGTTATCGCTATGAGCAGCATCGCGTTAGCAGCAGAAGATCCCGTCTCACAGGATTCAGAGAGAAACAAAGTGAGCAAAAAGATTTTAAATATATGTTTACTGTCGTAACTAATATTTATGCAAGTATTTTGTTGACCAATAATAGATACATACTGTAGAAATGCAGGGTTTCTCACAATTCTGTCATGTTGTCCCAACACAAATTAAGTTAACAAATGTAAGTGTATTGAACATAAAACAATAAAGTTGTCCAGTGCATATAGTTTATAGATCCATAATTGTATACTGTAATTCAATAATAGTAACATGTGACCCTGTCAAAATGTATATAATCGCCACAGAGTACCATCTGAATGGTTTCATGTTAAATATCATGCGAATGTGCGCATCTGGTGTGCAATACTTTGAGCGCACCGTGTTGCGGCGCCGAGAGTTTGACCTGCTTCACAGTTTTATCACAAGTCTGAAAGCAAGTCTAAAATGAATCTAATTTTGTGTTTTAGGAAGAGGGGAGTGTCTAGGAAAAGGCGTAGAAAACAGGCATGACTAGATTAGTTGAAGATCTTGTTTTAGGGTGCTAAGGTTTCACCTGCTCTGACCAGCTTGAAAGTATGCCTTAGCATTTGTATCACTTTGGCACAGCCAGTGCTCAGGAAGCAAGAGGTTTTAAGGTCTGAGTTTGAATGAAATAAGATAATTAAAAACCAAAGAATATAACTTTTCAGTTATATACGTAAAGAGCAGGCATGTCCAAACTCTGTCCTGGAGAACCGGTGTCCTGCAAAGTTTAGTTCCAACCACAATAAGACACACCTGGGCTAGCTAATCAAGCTCTTTCTAGGCTTTCTAGAAACATCCTTGCAGGTGTGTTGAGGCAAGTTGGAGCTAAAATCTCCAGGACACAGGCCCTCCAGGACCGAGTTTGGACACCCCTGGTATTGTTATTTGAAACTACATTAAATACATGTATTTTCCACAAATCTTATTATGAGTAATGGCAAAAATCATTAGAGTATTTAGTAAAAATTGTCCCTACATAAATCTAATAAAATGCAAGTTTTGATGTATAATTTCCATTGGTAAGAACTTAATTTAGACAAATTTAAAGGCGATTGTCTTAATTTTTTTGTTCTAAACTAGATTTAAACCAGATTTTCAAGTAGCTTTATCCTGGCCAAATATTATGCTATCACTACAAACCATCAATCAATTAAATTTATTTATTTATTTATGTATTTCCAAATTGACACATATAACTGGTTTTGTGGCACAGGGTCACATTTACGTTTATGTTCATTTTTCCAAATCAAATGATATTTTGAGGGAAATGTCTTAGACAAGTCACTTATTAGTTCAGACAAAAACATTTTTAAATAAATAATTATATAAATAAATAAATAAATAAATGCCAATAGTTTCAACTACTTAGCCTCAAATCTCAGGTTAAGTGGATGTCGTGTGATTTAATCTCAAATAGACTTTGCATTTTATAGAACACATTTGTAATCAATTTTTTTCCTGTTATCCAGGTTTTGCGTTATTTTGACTACGTCTTTACTGGAGTGTTCACCTTTGAGATGCTTATCAAGGTAAATCCTTGGTCAAATGACTTCCGTGATTGAGTTTCTGTGTGTGGTTTCGCCTCTTTGCTTTATTCCTCTGCTTTGTGTTTCAGATGGTGGTGTTAGGCTTGATTTTGCACGAGGGCTCATATTTTCGTGACCTGTGGAACTTTCTGGACTTTGTAGTGGTTAGTGGTGCCCTGGTAGCCTTTGCCTTCACGTAAGTGCCCTTTTACCCCCTGCGTCTCCTGCCGCACAGTGCCTGCCTGCTGCCCCTTATCTTCTCCTCTGCCACCCTGGAGCCTTGTCAATACTCTCTCTTCTGGTCTCTTTTTCTTCTCCTGTCAGCACTGTTTTGCTCTTTTCAGCTTTCTATCTCTGTTATTTATTTTTTTGTCACTTTGCTTTCTGTCTCACTCAATCAGTCACACAAATGAAGGCCTTTCTCTCTTTCCACACACTCAAGCGCACCCACTATCTGTCCAGACCAACCTGTCTGTCTCTCTTTTCTCTCTGGCCAATCAGATCCCCAGCTTTTAAATTGTTCACTCCTCTGTTTCTTTGTCATCCAACTGCTGCCATTAGCCTGTGTTTGTCTTTAGTCTCACATTATTCATCCTACATCGTATCTCTCACTGAACGCCTTTTATTAATTTCATTCTTTAACTGTAAATTAACTGATCAGTCTATGAGCTTTTGATTTTTCTGAAACAAACTCCTGTCAATACCAACAATAACACTAGTAGGATGCTAAATGAGAAGGCATTGGGGAATTGCATTGAAAATGTTAGATTTGTATTTTATATGTATGCTTCAGAAGTGATGTGATCTTTGTATTTTGAAGTTCAATACAAATCAAAACATCATATATTTCTCATTAAATTGTATGATGCATTTTTAAACTTCATTATTTTTCACTTTTAGTAAAAAGTGCATTTCATTTAGACAAATATTTAATTAAAGTGTTTTTTGTAAAAAATCTCTATTGTGATAAATAAGAAATTAAAATATGGAAGTAATGAAGAGACGATTTGATAATTCGTACTTTTATTAGATTAGTGATTTACAATAAATTAGTATTTTATTTGTTAGCTATTCAGTTATATGTAAAATATATAAATGGAAAAAAAACATCATCATATATCAGTTAATTACATTAATCTACAAAATGTAATATTTTGTTTAAATGTTAAGGGGCACCTATGATGAAAATCATCTTTTGTTAGCTGTTTGGACAGAACTGTGTGTAGGTATAGTGTCCATAGTCATATTGGGGTGTTATAAAGACAATAAGTTATTGTTTTAATTCCTGATGTTAAAATAGGATCCAAATCCCTCCCATTTTGAGGCCCACCAAACGTAATGTAGGAGTGCAGTTTCCCCACCCAGCGAATTAATTGACAGCTGCATATTAACATGTCTCCGTTGTAATGCAAATAATTATATAAAAAAGACAGGGCGTGCGCAAAGCAACTGGGATTAAAAGATCTGTTCAGCTCTTTGTGATCATCAATCATATTCAAATGTGATAAAGAATGAGTTTTACAAGTTTAAAACGTTTTTAAACAGTGCATGTTCATCATTAATTACAGCGATTTAACCGTCTTTACCACCACAGTCGCATGACAGTAAAAATATAAAAGACGACGATTCAATCCCAGATTGTAGACGTTAAATCAGGTTTATTTTGTACATTAACATAATGGACATCCATACAGCAGTAAATATTAACGTGTACCCTGTCACATTTGTCGTGCAAAAACAGTGCAAAGTTAAACTCGTGTGTGTGTGTGTGTGTGTGTGTGTTTGTGTGTGTGTGTGTGTGTGTGTGTGTGTGTGTGTGTGTGTGTGTGTGAGACTCATCATTGCAGAAAGGCTTGAATCAACTACACAACAAATACATCAAATAATCATTGGGAAAGTTTTTACTGTAGGATTTCTCACATTTGTTATGTAAGATCTGCTTTCATCATTTCAGTGACTGTGCTGTTTATCTGAGATTAAGGCACACTCAGACGGGCATGTGGAAACGGTGGGCATGGAGAACTATCATTAAAAGCAAAGGCAACTAAAACAATTATTCCAATTACAATATTCTGAAAGCTAAAATAAATAATCTAATGGATATTTTGAGCTGAAAATTTACAGACACATTCTGGAGACACAAAAAACTTAAATCTTGAAAAAGGAGTAAAATAGGTGCCCCTTAATGTGCTAAAATACCTTAAAAATAGACAAATAAAAATAAGTACAAAGACATCCATCCATTTTTCCATCCATCATCATTCCATTATCCTAGTATTTACCATAACCCTCTCCCGTCACACTTTCCCCCTGCTGAGAAGGGTAGTTTTGAGCCCTGCGGGGCCCAGTGGGGGCGAGGGGTCTCCAGGCACCTGTAGCCCTTTAGTGCCCAGGCGGTTTCCATGTCTGGATCAGCGAGGGCCCGTCCTGCACAGGTACTCTTTCTTTCCTTTGCACGGCCTGAGGGAGCAGCAGCCTGGGTGATAGAAAGAGGGTGGTGGAAGTCAAAAAAGCTGAAACCCAGAGCGGGATGATCAGGAGAGTGTGCAAACATGAGCCTGGAATGATTTTTAGCCCTTTTTTATTGCATGTTTGATCCAGTGTGTGTACATCCTCCTCAGTCTCATAGACCAGATTACATTTATGTTCATGGAAGAAATTTGTTTCGCTTGTTTGTGAGATTATGTGAGATTAGTCTTGAGATAACACCCAGCATACAATTGTGTTTAATAGACATCTAAACATGGACAGCTAGGCTAAAAAAAGGCTAAACTTGGGCTGTCAATCTAATAGACATCTATAAGAATAGCACAAAACTAGACTAGTCCTCAAATAGACAGATCAGACAGACTTCATATGTCTAGTCATACTGTACATTTCTGTTTATTTTATGACTAGTCTAGTTTTGGCCTATTCTTTGATGTCTATTAGATTTTCACTCAAATTTTGTCTTGTTTTAGCCAAGACGACAATGTTTAAATGTCTATTAGACATCTATTAGACATCTTTAAAGAAAATGCTTGCTGAGCACTCAGATTTGACTTGGTTGCATTACAAGTAATAGTTGGACACTTTTAGACAAGGCTTTAGATTAAATATAGTAGTCAACATTTGAAGTGCATCAAGAATATTGAGTGTTGTTTGGTAGTTTTAGACACTTTTCTTAAACTTTTTTGACCCACTTCAAATTCTGCCTACTGTATATATCCAAAAATAAGTGAGTAAATACACATGATCTTTTTTTTTTTCAATTTAATATTTGGCATTATATAATTTCTGGAGCACATGGCAAGTTACTTAAATATATTATTCAATACTGCCGATTATGTTCTGGTAGTTTGGAATTGTTGGAATTTGCATTTGTTTGAATTGTATTTCTGGTTGCCAGATTAGTCAAAATTATAACATTAAATATTTAGCACTTTAAAAACATGGTAAAGAGCACCCTTTTGCTATGATGATGTAATAATTTTGCATATAAAAATAATACATAGATACTTCTGTGATGTAATCAATATGCTATGTGATATACACTTCCTGGCCACTTTATTAGGTACACCTATCCAACTGCTCGTTAACACAAATGTCTAATCAGCCAATCACATGGCAGCAACTCGATGCATTTAGGCATGTAGACAGACATGGTCAAGACGATCTGCTGCAGTTCAAACCGAGCATCAGAATGGGGAAGAAATGTGATTTAAGTACTCTGAGCGTGGCATAGTTGTTGGTGCCACACTGGCTGGTCTGAGTATTTCAGAAACTATATGCCACAAAGGATTAAGTTCTGAAGGCAAAAGGGGGTCCAGCTTGGTACTAGTAAGGTGTACCTAATAAAGTGGCCGGTGAGTGTACATGTATACATTGTTACTCACACAACATGTTGATACAGTACACTACTTTCAAATTATCTTTTTTTTCAGTGGAAAAAAGGCCCGTATCAAACTGTTTTGTTTAAACATGTTGGATATATTTTAGTACAGTGACTACTAGAATATCAAAAGATGAAAAGACATTTGATTTTTTAATTCATGACCCCTTTAAGTCATTATTCGCTTAATATTGAGTTTTTTGACTAATTGTTAACACTGCTTTTCAACATCCAAAAAAAAGTAGAGACTGAGGAAGGTGGACATACTGTAGCTATGTATATCAGTCAAAGCATCATCATACATACAATGGCCTTAAATGTCATTTAAGAAAATATATGTCCAAAATTTGGGAAATCCTTACTTTTATTCAGCAGGTATGTGTTACGTTGACTAAAAAATGACAGTACAAATATTTATGTTGCTGTAAAAGATTTCATATTCAAATAATATGTTTTATTAACCTTTCATTCATTAAAAAGTTCTGAATAAAGTCCACAATAATAATAAGCACAACTGTTTTCATAAATGTTAATCAATTTCACACATATAAACAGATACACATGCAAACCCCAGAAGTTTGTGTCTGTTGTATATTTATTAATGTCTTACTATATATGTATAATTCTATATCTTTTTTTAGTGTAAATACTTCATTTATTCCCAAATGAAGGCTGATAGTATGCTGATGTGAATGACCGTGTCTTAGCTGAATGCCTGCAGTGAAATCTATCAGCCTGTATGTTCACATACACATGTCCTGATAGGTTTCAATCCTGCTTTGAGTTAAAAATCACTCCACAGGCAGCGCTTAAATTTCATCCCCCTTCCCCTGACCCCGATCTAAATGAACCCTGTCCGCCCTGTTTTTGTCCTGTGTCTCATTCCTCAAAAACAAGCTCTTCCCCATCCACCTTTCCTCTTCTCTCCTTTCCTCCATCAGCACTAAGCTGCCTTGGACAGACTCCAGCTGTCAGGCTGTTTATCATTCGGGCCTCCATTTGTTGAGTCTGACAAAGTGAGTGAAAAAGAGAGACCACAAGAGATCTAGAAGGATATGGTCAAGTAGAGATGCACCGATCAACTGGCCAGAATTGTTTTTTTTCTCTTTATTCTGACAAACAGATTCTGTACCGGCAGTACAGGGCAAAAACTTATGGAAAAACATGAAATATTCTGCATTAAATTTAACAAATATTGATCTTGATTCAATTTATACTGTGAGTTTATAATGGTTTCAATTTTATTTACATATTTACATTAAAATATTTAATTATTAATTAAGTATTAATTTAAATCACTGCTTGCCTAGGCTGATTTTTGAATCTATATTGTGATTACAGTGCAGAGTTTTTTTTTCTATTTAAATCCCTGCAGATAGTTCAGCCGGTAAAATAAATCAAATTAAAAAAGCAAATAAATTAATGAATAAATACTTTTTAATATACAAATGCAATCAATTATTCATACACTGTAAAAAACGACAAGTTTAATTTACTTAAAATAATTGAGTAAACCTGTAGCTTTTAAAATAGTTCTAACACTTTACTTAAAAAGTGGGAAAACCTGTTGCCTTAAAATATTTAAGTAAATTAACTATGTGCATATTTATAGTTAAATCAACTGAACAGTTCCAAGTTACAATGGATTTACTTACTTTTTAATAAATAGTATTAATAGTTTAATAATAGTAAATACTTAATTTATACAATATATACTCAATATTCATAGTCAGTTTTCAAATCTGTACCCATATTTTCACATTTTTATTGCTTTACAACAATCAAAAATCTGCCGATTTGCTTAAAGTTTCCAATTGTAATCGGCCAGGGAAAATTTTAAATGGTGCATTGCTACTGTAAAGAAAAACAAGAAAAGAAGACTCCAGGTTGACAGTGACTTCTTGTTAATTCGCTCATCTTGTGTCCTTCTTCTGTTGTTGTCTCATTTTCACTTTCCGTCACTCACATGTTAATGAAATGAAAGCTTATATACTTTCATTATGACCTGTGAATGTTTACTCACCGTCATGTTGTTTTTAACTTGTGTTTCTACTAAATAAGTAAGAGTATGCAGGTTTGATGCAACATGAGGGCGAATAAATGATGATCAATGTTTATTTTTGAGTGAACTATTTAATTTAGGTCTTGTTTTCTCCACTTTGATGCAATCTGGTTATACTGTAGGGATGAATACATGACATCTCAGAGTGTCCAGAACAGTGGTTTTCAAACATTTTGGTATCATGGACCCCCTTGAAAGGCATCTATATAGTCTAGTTTCTTGCATAAAGACTAAGTTTGTAACACTATAATATGGTTCTATAAAATACCAGATTTATGGTGTTAAATTATACATGGGCCTAAATATTTGTAGGTTTATTTAATTGCAGTTTCTACCTTTTTAAAATATTGTATTTATGTACAGCTATATATATATATATATATATATATATATATATATATATATATATATATATATATATATATATATTTGTGAATTTTATTAAATAATTTATTTCCTCTTGTAATAATTTTTATGCATCTTAATTTAATTAAATGTTTTATTTTAATCTTATTTTATTGATTAATTATTAATTATGTTTAATTTAGCCCAGTTTGAAAACCCCTGACCCAGAATAATTCAGTTTGCTGGAGGAAAAACTTGCCTGTTTGTTATAGTTTCACAGAAAGAACAAAATGACTCATCAAATGTTTAACCTTTCAAGACCTCATTCTTCTCAAGAAGAATGAAGTTAACACAAATACCAGAGAAGCATGTGAACAAAATAGGGTTGTTTAAGGTGATAATGCGCTGAGTTGCAGACTCAATTTGCTGCTTAAAAGTTATTCAAACCAAAATACCATCCCGCACTGCCACCTTGAGGCAACAGCAGCATGGCGGCCATTTTGGCTCCACTGCAGTCAGTTGTGGATTCTCCTCCATTCCGGCTCCAGTGTCGGATATAGTGTGCTGATTCAAGGATCTCCCTGTGATTTGGCATGGTGGAGTGAGGGTTCACCCTACTGCAGTGGGCTGTCCTGATCTATAAGGGTGACAAGTTTGAATCCTCAGTTATTGATTGGGGACTGGCCCAGATTAAAGGCCTGCCAAATACCTGGCAGAAGCGAGTGTGTGAGAGGGATTCAGTCAATACGGATGAGAGCCGCACACTCAGGTGTGTGTGTGTGGGTGTGTGTTTTTGTTTATGCTACGTTGTGAGCACCAAGTGTTCGCCACAAGGAGTTTTAAAATTGTGGAGACCAACTTGGGGGAACAATATATAAAATGCACAATACTGTTTATTTAAACGTGTAAAAATTCACACACACACACACACACACACACACACACACACAAAAAGGTTTTTAAAAAAGAGGTTTAAGGGTTGGGTTGTTTTTAGGTATATGTTATATTGATTGTTTCGTATAAAAATAATATAAGTCTGTGAAAGGTTCCAACTATTCAAGGAAAACCAATACAGTATGTGTGTTTGGCAAATGTGAACATGAGTTAGTCCAATAAGTAGGCCCACACAAAATATGCGCATGCAGACATCCACAGCTTTTAGCCCATCATTGAGTCTTTTTATTTACTTGTGTAAATGAGTGTAAATATGTATATTTATTCTGTTTTTAAATTATTTTCAGAAATTTTATTGAAATTGAAAGATAAAACAATTAAATTCAAGCAAAATATTGCAACAAAAAAGATTTAATTTACAACCTACAAAATTTCAACTACATTTAAAAAATTGTTTTGCTCCTCTTGATTTTTCCTCTTTTTGTATTTGTATTTAATATATTTTTATGCAGTTTTTGCACTGTTATCAAACGTTATTTTGTTAGATAAGATCCAGATTTGGCTCCGGTGCTGACTAGTCTAATGCATATGCAAAAATATTATAGCTTCCTATTAAAAATAACTATTTGTGAGCACTGTACATTTTTTTGCTTTAAAAGATTATTAAACTAGTTACTTGAACTATTTTAGGGTGAACTACCCCCTTGAAGACACATTGAGCAAAGTTGGCACCTGTAAAAGTGGATTTCACATTAAAAGTATTATTTCTGTTGTTTTTCAGTTTAACTGTGATCAATTTCACTTATTCACTATACAATTTGAATCATCCTGTTCATCAAAAGGCCTATTGTAGGTGTAGATTAAGTCTTAGTGCATCTTAAATAATCCCTGACCACTGAGCCTTTCAACTCTTTTTAAATCATTGGCTGGGGCTTTTCCTTTGGTCCTTTTTCTCTCTCTCTGTGTTTGTCCGTCTCTCATATTGATGTTCTTCCTCTGCCAAGCCACTCCCAGTATCTTGTTTCTTTTTTCTGTCTCTCTTTCTCTTTTTCTCTGTGTTTGTGTGTGTGTATGTGTGTATTCCTTTCTCTCTTCTGTCTCTTCCGCTGTCTGTCTCTGACCCTCTCTTATGTCTTCGCCTTGGTGATCAACAGGAGCTTCTCTGGGTAAAGTCTCTCCCCTCTTTATTGTGGCACGGCTACCGTCCAGCTTACGCGATGGCTTCTCTCTCTTTCTTTCTTTTTCCCTTCCCGATCATCCCTCCCTTCCTCTTGATTCACTCACTCTGGTTCTTTTTATTTTATTTGGAGTCTAATGAAAGTGTGGACCCGAACACCAAGTATCTGAAGAGTTTTGCACACAGCTTATGGTTTTGTTCACAGTCAGGAGCGAGTAATTGATTATTGGTACCCTGGATCTTTGCCAGCGCTCCGACTCAATCAATCTGCCATCAGCTGGCCGGTCTTCAACTGGGACTTGTCAGGAAGTTCATAGTTAAAGGCAGCCGTCTTTGGCCGCTTGATTGAAGAGTTCACCTCTGTTTGTGTTTGGGACATGTGTAAATACTTTAAAAAAAGCAGCCCTGCCACTTTCACAAGACAATGAGGATTCATACAAGAAGTGACGGCTAACACTGTCTACACTGTTTGTGCACAAATAGTCAAGTCGGCTCTATAGAATTTCTAATTGTGGATTTTATATATATCAAATATTTTTTCACCATCTGTCTTTAATGTAATTTCATTTATATTTGAGTTTATTTTTATTCTAAAATAACCGTTTTAATATTTATGTTTTATCTAATAAACAACATCACTATCAACTCAATATTAACCCTGTTATTTGTTTATAGCCAAAATCTGTTTATTTGTAGTGTAATTTATTTATTTTAGTTCGTTTTATACTAAAATGACCCTTGTAATCAGGCCTGTAGCCAGCTATGAGGTCACCAAGGTCCAGGCCTCAGTATATTTTTCATGTTTCAAGAATTGTAGGTGTTGTAAATAATAAAAAATAAATCATGTTGTGTAATATAAAAAGCTGCATTCACCATTTTACCATGTTGCCAGATGTAATTAACAGGGAGTCAGTGGATTCTTAAAAAGTCTTAAATCCCATAGTATAAAATAAGGCCTTAATTAGTCTTAAATCTGCCTTTCAGAGGTCTTGAAAAAGCAATCAAATCAACCTCGTAAAGAAGATTTTGTGTACGTTTTGAAATTTACTTAAACATCTATCAAGGCCATATAGTCTTTGGCGGAACCCAATAAAATGCTTATTCCTGATTTTATTTCAGTGTGAAAGTGCCACTGTGTTTTTAATATGATCAGTTAAACATCTTAAAATGTTATTTAAGCTATATTAAACATTTATTTTGTCTTACAAGCTTTTAAAATATTTGCTATGTGATAAAAAAAAATCTGGTAGACATTAGTCTTAATTGTTTAAAGAGAGAAAACATCATGTCAGCAAATGCTTTACCAAAACAAGATCAAGCTAAATCAGAAAGTAATTATTTCTAAAACAGAGAGCAGCGATGTCGTCTTACAGCAAGAAGGTTGCTTATTTGAGCCCCAGCTGGATCAGTTGGAGTTTCTGTGTGGAGTTTGCATGTTCTCTCCGTGTTTGCTTGGGTTTCCTCCGGGTGCTCCGGTTTCCCCCACAAGTCCAAAGACATGCGCTATAGGTAAATTGAGTAGGCTTAATTGTCTGTAGTGTATGTGTGTGAAGGAGAGTGTATGGGTGTTTCCCAATGATGGGTTGCAGCTTTAAGGACATCCGCCTCGTAAAACATATGCTGGATAAGGTCATTCCGCTGTGGTGACCCCTAAATAATAAAGGGAGTAAGCCGAAAAAATAGAATGAATGAATAAATGTAAATCTATACATATATAGACTATTGTTATATTTAATTTAATAATAGGCATTAGTTATTGACATTGGAAAATGCTGTTCTGTTAGTGTTGGTAATGCAATTTGGTGGAACGGATGTTATTATGATTTTTGAAAATATAATTATTATTTCATTATTAATTAATTAATAATAATTTTAATATGTTTTTCACACTTTGTATGTATAAATAAGTGTTTAGGATGGTCATTAGTTGTGCTGCATGCTGTACTATAAAACTGCTTTAAATTTCATTCTGTGTGGTATTAAAAAGGTCTTAAAATTTTTTTAATATAACTCTTAGAAACCTGCAGATACCCTGATTAAAAGCATCTTTGGATGTTTTTTTGACACATAATAAGAGTGTTAATAAAACGAATTAGGTTGGTAATACAGTAGGAAGACGAAGGTACATGTAAGGGTTTTGTGTCCTATTACAAGATTTAAACATATTTTAGTGCATTTTTAGGGTATTTCTTTTGTTTTGTTTTTTATTTTAAATTTATTTTACTAGTTTACTCATTAATTTGCATCATTATTGACCCAATATTAATCTCACAGTTTAAGTTTTAACTTTTAATATTTTTAAAATAGTTTTAAAAATTAAATCTGTCTTCAGAGGTCTTAAATATACAATCAAACAACCCCGTAAAGAAGATTGTGTTCATGTAAGAGTGTTTCTTTTGTTTTGTTTTTGTTTTTTCCAATATCTGGCAACACAGCATTGTAGCTATTGTTATTGTAATCCCTGGACCTCGAAATCTTCAAACCCTGGCTATGGCCATGCTTTAAATTTATTTTGCTAGGTTAATTATTATTTTATATTTACATTACTATTAACCCATTATTAACCACACTTTACGTTTTATACAATTTTTTTAAATAGTTCTACAACAAAATATTTAGTATATCTATTATTTTTGTTTATTTCTTTGCCATTCTATGCATTATATATGTATACATTCTCCCTTATTTTTAGTATTAAACTTAGAGCGAATTTGTCCATGGAAGTAATTGGACATTTTGTTTAGACATAAGCTACCTCCAGTGTAGACAGTCTTTAGCCCTTATAGCACCACATAAGTGTCTTGATCAAAAGTTCGTCAAAATGACCAGGATTTCTTCTAAATTTCTTGTAAAATCCAGAGGTGTTTTAGTGGCAGGAAGTTTCTTAACAGTTTTCCCCTCTTTTTTGTTTTGTTTCCTTCTTTAATTTTGAATGCAATGAAATGACCTTGTAACTTGTCTTTGTCTCCTGGTTTGAGCTTCCTCAAGTTCTTCTAGGGACAAGATACAGTTGGACGCAAGTCCTCTAGCCTTCTGCATCTCAATAAACCCTCAGTCTTGTCATGTTACCTACAATTAACACAAACAGCCTCCATATCCCAGACCTTCATTCCCCTGTATGATCTAACACAGCTAAAAAATAATAATAAAAAAAGAAAGAAAGAGGTTTGGCTGGGCATTGCACCGAAAAATGCCTGACAACTTTGATACTCACTTGATATTTGAATGTGCTATGCTGTTGGAATGCTTAGAGTAGGTAAAATAAATAGACAGCAAACCGTAGTTATGAATCTGAAGGCCTGTGAAGACTTGCTTGAAAAAAATGAAGATTTGCATTCCAATACAAATCAATCTTCAAAATCATATATATTACACTATTAACTGCATGGTGATATTGAAACTGCTATTTTGAGCTGGAAGGAAGCTAAAGGAACATTCTACATGTCAAATATGGTGAAAAGGGAAGTCTTTATATTTCATTCTGCCTCATGTTGACGTCTTGTTGTTTTCCTCCAATCCACAGGGGGAGCGGTAAGGGGAAAGACATCAGTATCATCAAGTCTCTGAGGGTTCTAAGGGTGCTGCGTCCACTCAAGACCATCAAACGTCTTCCAAAACTAAAAGTACTGTCAAAACTGCACAGCTGTGTTACATGTTACTGCATCATCCTATGTCTCGTTAGCCCGGTTAGCATACTTTGCTAATTTACCTGGTCTGTTTTTCCCAGGCGGTGTTTGACTGTGTAGTAAACTCTCTGAAGAATGTGTTGAACATCCTCATTGTCTACATGCTGTTCATGTTCATCTTCGCTGTGGTGGCCGTGCAGCTTTTTAAAGGACGATTCTTTTACTGCACTGATGAGTCTAAAGAGTTTGCCCGAGACTGCAGGTAATTAGAGGTTATCCAATTAAAGGTGTGAATCCTGATTTTGTTTGGCTTTACAAAGTTTTTACGCACTACAGTTTTGGTAATACTTTAGTTTAGATCACAATGCTATTAACTACTGGCTTATTACCTGCCTATTATTAACAGTTCATTAGTAGTTATTAAGTATGATCTTATTCTATATCCTAAATCTCACCCAAAACCTAAATTCTACCTCACAAACTATTAATAAATATCTAATTAATAGTTTATTAAGCTAGTAGTGTTAGTTAATGGGGTCACACTTTACAATAAGGTTCATTAGTTAATGTTAATTACTGCATTTACTAACATTAACAAACAGTGAACAATACATTTACCACTGTATTTGTTCATATCAGTTAACGTTAGTTAATGAAAATACAGTAGTTCATTGTTAGTTCATGTTAACTCATGGTGCATTAACTAATGGTAACAAACATGGACTTGGATGTTAATAATGCATTAGTAAATGTTTAATTATAATTAATATATGCTGTACATGTGTTGTTCATGATTAGTTCATGTTAGTAAATACATTAACTAATGAACCTTATTGTAAAGTGTTACCGTTAATAGTTTGTCAATACTGTGAATTGTGACCTAAACTAAAGTGTTATAATTTTTTTTTAATAAGGTTAAGTGTAAAGGTATTGTCCTTGGTGTAAACAGCCTCACTGGTTCTTAAAAAAAACTGTAAGTGTATTTCTGATTCAGGGGCGAAAATTTGGTGTAAGGGCATAGTAAATAGAGGTAAAAAAAAAAAAACTGAACTCAACTTCTACCATACAAGCTGTTAATAAATAGCTGATTAGTAGTTTATCAAGCTAGTTGTATTCGTTAATGACTTGTTAGTACAGTGAATTGTGAACTAAACTAAAAAGTTATCAGTTTTTTAATGGGATTAGAAGTTTACTGCATGGTCCAGAATAGTGCATTTAAAGGGATAATTCACCCAAAAATGAAAGTTCTGTGATTGTTAGCTCCCCCCTTTGCTTGTTCAAAACCTATTTAAGTTCCTTTCTTCTGTTGAAAACAAAGGAAGATGTTTTGAAGAATGCTGGTAAATGTTATCTATTGACTTCTATAGTAATGTTTTTCTACTATGATAGTCAATGGGTTTAAGCAATCAAAATTATTCAAAATATCCTTTTTGTGTTTAACAGAAGAAAAAAAGTCAAAACGTGAAGTAAATGTAGGTTTTTTTTGGCTAAACTAATTTTCATGAAGATGAACTGTGACATCACATGAGCATAATAGAGATGAATAGATTATAACGTAGACATTGTATAACGACGGTTTGTTCTGTAGACTATCAAAAAAATATAGTTTAAAGGGGCTAATACATTTGACCTTGAAATATTTAAAAAGGCTTTTATTCTAGCCAAAATAAACCAAATAAGACTTTCTCCAGAAGTAAAAATTATGTTAGACATACTGTGAAAATTTCCTTGCCCCGTTAAATATCATTTGGGAAATATTTAAAAAAAGAAAAACTTCAAATTTCAAAGCAGGTTCTGATTAATTCTGATTTCAACTGTATACATATTATACATTTACACAGTATAATTTGTGAAACTTGACAAACACTTTTGTAGAACACCTAGGACTTCTATAACAGAGGGGCGTAATAAATTGGCTGCATTCGGATTGGCTGGGATGGCTTGTTTAGATTTTTTGTCTTGTTTTTAGTCCAAATATATAAAAATCTTAAATCAATAAGCATTTTCTGCAAAAAATATTGTCTTGTTTTAAGAAATAATATGTCAAAATTAAGTTGTTTTTTTATTAAAACAAGCAAAATAATGTACCAGTTGGGTAAGAAAAATTATCTTAATTCAAAGTGAAAACAAAACCCTGCTGGCAGATTAACTTGCTTGTTTTAAGAAAAAACTCACTTTATTTTGTCATATTATTTTTGAAAACAAGATAATATTTTTGCGTGTCTAGAAAATGCTTTTTGATTTAAGAATTTTTAGATATTTGGACTAAAAACTATACCAAAACTCTAAGCAGGAAAAGCATTTTAGCAGCGTATATTGTTTATCTTTTTTTATTCTTTAATATAGAACAACAATAGTTGTTAAACCTTTATAATTATTATCCTCAGTGTGAACAGCCTTTATCCTCACCCGTTCTTAAGAAAATGTGTATGTGCATTTCTGATTCAGGGGCGAATATTTGGTGTACGAGCGCGATAACGAGGTCAAATCTCAGAAGAGGGAGTGGAAGAAGTACGATTTCCACTACGACAATGTGCTTTGGGCCCTGCTTACTCTCTTTACTGTGTCCACCGGAGAGGGATGGCCAGAGTGAGTTAACATGCATTCACTTATCTCCTGTTATCTCTCCTTTTGTGTCATCGCCTCTTATTTGGTCCTTTCTTTCAGTGTGTTGAAGCACTCTGTGGACTCCACTTACGAGAATCGGGGCCCGAGCCCGGGATACAGGATGGAAATGTCCATCTTTTACGTGGTGTACTTCGTTGTCTTCCCCTTTTTCTTCGTAAACATATTTGTAGCTCTCATCATCATCACCTTCCAAGAGCAAGGAGACAAGATGATGGAGGACTACAGCCTCGAAAAAAATGAGGTACTTACTACTTTGTTCACATGAGTCATTTAAGGTCCTATTTAACACCGGCTAAAATGTAATTTGCTTGTAATGATAGCTTATGTACCAAAACAATGTGATATATTTACTACAAAGACTGTATTTTAGGATTACAGCGCAGCCCCAATAATTTATACATAGCCACTTCTTTCAGATCACTAGGACCATTTGTCAGCAAAAAGTTAATTTCAGAAATTGATCAGTTAGAAAAATTTAATTTAACTTTTACATAATCTAATATGTTATGCTGAATGACCATTTATCAGCTATATTCTGATCATTTATTTTTATGAAACAGTAAAGCAGACATTTAATATACCTATAACTACTCTAAAAAATATATACCCTCAACGGCCACTTCATTAAGTACACCTGTCCAACTGCTTGTTAACGCAAATGTCTAATCAGCCAATCACATGGCAGCAACTCAATGCATTTAGGCATGTAGACATGGTCAAGACGGTCTGCTGCAGTTCAAACCGAGCATCAGAATAGGGAAGAAAGGGGATTGTGTCATGGTTGTTGGAGCCAGACGGGTTGGTCTGAGTATTTCAGAAACTGCTGATTTACTGGGATTTTCAATCACAACCATCTCTGGGGTTGGCAGAGAGTGGTCTTAAAAAAAAGAAAATATCCAGTGAGTGGCAGTTCTGTGGGCGCAAATGCCTTGTTAATGCCAGAGGAGAATGGCCAGTTTTTTTTTTCAAGCTGATAGAAAGTCAAGTAACCAATCGAGGTATGCAGAAGAGCATCTCTGAACACACAAAACGTCCAACCTTGAGGCAGATGGGCTACAGCAGCAGAGGACCACACCGAGTGCCACTCCTGTCAGCTAAGAACAGGAAACTGAGGCTACAATTTGCGCACACTCACCAAACTTGGACAAGAGAAGATTTGAAAAAGTTGTCTGGTCTAATGAGTCTTGATTTCTGCATTTGGATGTTAGGGTCAGAGTTTGGTGTCGACAACATGAAAGCATGCATCCATCCTGCCTTGTATCAATGGTTCAGACTGGTGGGGGTGGTGTAATGGTGTGGGGGATATTTTCTTGGCACACTTTGGGCCCATTAGGACCAATTGAGCATCGTGTCAACTCCACAGCCTATCTGAGTATTGGTGCTGACTATGTCCATCCCTTTATGACCACAGTGTACTCATATTCTGATGGCTACTTCAGTTCACTGTTCTCCAATGGCCTCCACAATCACCAGAGTTCAATCCAATAGAGCACCTTTGGGATGTGGTGGAACGGGAGATTCGCATCGTGGATGTGCAGCCGACCAAATCTTCAGCGACTGCATGATGCTATCATGTCAATATAGACCAAAATCTCTGAGGAATATTTCCAGTACCTTCTTGAATCTTTATCACAAACACTGTAAAAACATAGGGTTCCACACTTTTTATTCATATTGTCCCGACACAAATGGATTAAGTTAACACTATTAACAAATTTATGTGGATTGAACACAAAAATATTAGGCTGTCCCAATGCATTTTCAAGAATTGTGTCGTTTCAGCTCTTTAAATTAAGTAGTTTAAACGAGTCAAAAAATATATATATATATTTTTTGAGTGAAGGATTAAGGCAGTTCTGAAGGCAACAGTGGGTCCAACCCGGTAATAGTAAGGTGTTCCTAATAAAGTGTTTTTTTTCACTTGTTTTCACTACTTATTTTAAATAAGCTGAAACGACACAATTCTTGAGCTTTTTTTGGGATAACTTAATTGTTTTATGTTCAGTCTACTTAATTTTATTAAGTTAACTTAATGGATTTGTGTGTAACCCTGCATTGTTTACAGTGTAAACATTTATAATCTGTATTTAATATGATTTTTATGTTTATAAAAATCACTTTTGTGTATTAAATTAAATGCAGACAATAACATGGTGCACTATTTATTTATTTATTTATAAATACATACATATCGACTCAATAGAATGGGTTTTGCAAATAATATTGTTTGTTGGAAATGTCAAAAAGTGAGAGGGACATATATTCATTGTATTTGGGACTGTTCACTAGTTCAGCCTTGTTGTCTAGAAAACACGGGAAAACTTCCAAAATTCCACAGTTAAAAGAATGGTTCAATATAATGATTAAAACAGCTTTGAATGTCTACTTTACAAATGTCATAATAAGGACAAAGCAGGGGTCTCTGTATATAACTCAGTGTGGGTAGACTTTTGGTCTTACAGCTTGTGTCGATGTCTTGTAAGACAATTTAAAATCATTTACCAGGTTTTCTTTATAATATTGTACTTTTGTCCATAGTAATTACTGTATACATCCTGGCTTTACATTTAGTAAACCTGCCAGTGATTATTTGTAATATGTGTTTTTATTATTTTATAATGCTCCAGAAGAAATTCATAAACAAATTTGGATTAAAAAAAAACACATATATATGGTTGAGAGAGACAGTTATTGAATAAATAATACAAATTAAAAACACACAGTTTTATATAATAATGATTAAAATAAGCAGGATTTTATGATAACCACTATATAAATAAATATAAATGCATATTTAGCAACAATGAGGAAAAAACTAAACCATTCAAAAGCTAAGACTTTTCATATTTGTGTGGATTATACCTAGAAAATTCCTATGTATGTTTGTTTGATTATTTTGCCACATGCTAATATATGAAAAAGCTCTGAGCATTAGTCGCAAATTCAAGCATGATGTCTACTTTAGAGAGAAGGTTTCACTTTTCACTTCAATTTCCAGAGCAACAAACATGCAATGTGATACGTAAGATGCTTTTGTTCACTGTTTTCCCTTGTTCTGTTTCTTCTAGAGAGCCTGTATTGATTTTGCTATAAATGCCAAACCTCTAACGCGCCACATGCCTCAGAACAAGCAAAGCTTTCAGTACCGAATGTGGCAGTTTGTGGTGTCGCCTCCGTTTGAGTACAGTATCATGTCTCTCATTGCGCTCAACACCATCATCCTTATGATGAAGGTACAAGATTTTTTCCACCCAACATTAGTAAACTGTAAATTAACTAACAGTTGGCTATAGTTTTTGATTCATGGGTTTTAAATTAGTTAATGCTTTTGAATAGCAATACTGGAACTTTATCTCTGCTCAGACTATTTTGATAGTTTCAAGCTCCAATTGTCTTTTACTGACAATTTTAATAGTTTGAAACAATAACTTGTCTGGGATATTTATTTCAATTCCAGTACTAAAATGAATGAAGTAGCTGTAATTTTTTGAATATGGCAGTTGGTGAGAATATTTTTTTAGTTTTTTTAGTTGTTGATGTATTCTTTTCCACCAAATATTGATTTCTTAACTTTTTTAAGTTACGACAGTGATATTTGTCGTCTAAAATACATAAACATGTCTGAAAACTGAAAACATGGCACTTTTTTATATTTTATAAAATAAATGCTCTGAAATAAAACATTTTAAATTTTGAATATGGAAAAAAACGTTCTCTGTTGTTAATTAAACAAAACAAAAATGTGATTTACTCTAGCATAAAAAGCTGCTCAGATCAGAGCATAACACAACTAGAAAATTCGTAATACAATTTAAATGTTTAAATAAACAAAAAGTCACCCATGAATCACAAGATACAGTCATACAGATATTTTTTGCACTAAAGCTTTTGTCATGTTCTTATTTTTTTAACTGTGTGTTTTCAGTATAATGGGGCTTCCGATGCATATGACAAAGTCCTGAAGAACCTGAATATAGTGTTCACCACATTCTTCTTCATGGAGAGTATTCTGAAAATCATTGCCTTTGGTGTCAGAGTAAGTGTCATACAATTTTTTTTTTTTTTAACACTGTCTTTATCCGTTTTTAGGAACTTGTACTAAAGAAAAGAAAAACAAAACATACAAAATTATTTAAATTAAATACATTTAAAATAAAATAATTATAATTACAGGTATATAAATAAATAAATAAATAAATGCATGTACATCCACATAAAAATAAAGGTGTCAAAAAAGTCTATTATTAGCAGGTGATACAAGATACAAGTTATTTGGACAAAAGATTTGTATCAGCTTCGTATCAATTCCATATTTAGAAAAGATTTCCATTCTCACAATGAGTTTCTGAGTTTTCTTAGCCTTTCAACCGAGTTCGTTCTTCCAATGTAATCTGGCAGCATGTTCAGTGCTGCGAATACATTTTAAAAGCCGATCTTGCTTATTTAAATTACTTGAGGAAACTAATTATATTGAAACTTACTGGCAATGGATGATTTTGTGCTAGCTGTTTTACGAGTTTGCAGTTGAAACAGTTTAATATAAGTTTCTCTGAAACTTTTAATATTTTACTTTCATTTTAATTAGGCTAGATTTTATTTTATTTAACAAACCAGTTTGTGTTTTGTCACTGAAGCATATAGCGGACTTGTTTTGAAGCACTTCACCTCAAATGTTATTTGTTATTCTTATTTATAGATAACTGATCAACAAAAAATACATTAAAATTAAGATAAATATTATACCAAACAGAATTTTGTTTTAAAAAAATATATTTTTCCAAGAAAAATAAATGAATTATATTTTAGTTTGTAACCCTCCACTACTCAATCGTGTGGTAATGATTTGTTTCGCTCTGTGGAAACAAGGATTTAATTCATGCTTTATTGTAAATCACAAACCTCTGTCATATATTAGCTATTTATTTAATAAGTCTTTAGTTTAAAGATTATGTCTTGAGCATCTGATTTTTTTCTTGGTGCTGATGTGCTTTCATTATCTCCATCTCACTAGCGGCAAGTTCCAACAAGGGAGTGTTTAATAAGCAACCTTTAGTAAGGCTGGAAAATATACATTTAGATTTAATAGAAAATATCTTAAAATTATTAAGGAAATAAACGTTTAATCCAATCAATGTCAAACTAATGCCCTTAAATAATGTAGTCTAGTTTTCAGCAAGCGTGAGTGTTTATTGAAATTGAAATAAGATTAAAAATTTAAATTGAGATAAGAAATGTTGTTATAGCATTACTTGTGACAGCTTTGGGAAATAACACTCGTCATAGATGTCACAGGAAAACTGATTGTGAAGCAACATGCAGTCTGGGACATTTGTTACCCACTAGATGTCAAGATTTAATCAAGAATTTAATCAAGAATCAAAATCGCATAATCTGACATAGTGGCTTTCGTAATCGACAATAAAAATCATGTGATCTGACCGGGCTTTAGTCTCATACATTATTCATTCATACTTCCTCCTACTTATTTACACCTGAGATTTTTAGATGAAGCATTTTTTTTTTACAAATCTTTCTAAATGTGTTCACAAAAAAGCTTAATTTACTTTTACGTAAAATTTGATTTGCTACATTCTATTTTTGTTTTTTTCTATGCAGGATTGTGTAAACCAGATGCACACACATGATTTGTTAACACACTTCTTCTTTTGTTTCTCTACAGAATTTTTTCAGAGATGCTTGGAATATTTTTGATTTTGTGTCTGTTATCGGCAGCATCACTGATATTTTAGTGACTGAGCTCGTGGTAAGTGCTGCTTTCAAAAAAAAAAAAAAGTATATACACATTGCATCTTGATTTACGTTGTAACTGAATGGACAGGAGTGAACATATCACCTTTATTACATATTTTAATCCAGTAAATACATCAGCTCCCTTTTTCAGGAACCATAAAAAACATATTTAAGTACTGAATGTCTAGCATGTGTTTTAGCACATCAACCTATACTGCATACTTTCTTGTATTGCATTTAAAGAGAAATGGTATTAAATTGTTTTAATTTAATGGTAAATTGTATTTGTCAGCAGGATAACATTGTTGTTTTTTTTTAATATTGACCCTTTTACATCGCATATTCATGCTATGGCTAAGTGTGTAGTGTGTTTTGTGTGTAGATGTCAGTGTTTTGAGTGTGTGTTTGTGCTAGTGTTGTGTCCTATCTGTGCTTTTTGGGTGCTCTTGTCTGTAGAAATGTAAACTCTGATGTGTTACACTGCAGTTCATGGGCTTTCCCAGTGGCCATACATTATGTAGATTGATATTCATTATAACTTTAACAGTGATGTATTTTTGTATTATTTAAATAACTTTCTAGAGTCTATTCATACAGTATATTAAATTATAATTTTTTTTTCATGTTTTAGGAATATTTAGGGCTGTCAGTTGATTAAAGTTAATTGCATTTATTCGCAAAATAACTGTGGGATTATTCAGTTTGTGCAATAAATTCTATACCTCACTCCTAATTGTTTATTTCAGTTAATGATAAGATTATCATTAAGATTACAGATTACGATTCAATCAAAAATATTTATATATTGATGTATCATATATTGTGCAATTCAAAGGCTTTTAAGTCTGTGTGAAATCAAAATGTAAAATGTTTAAGCACACATTGTTACTCTTTAGGTAAACAAATAATCGGTGCAAGTTAATCCACTAAAAAACTATGTTTGTTTTGATAATCTTTAATCAAAATTGGACCATTTGCTTCCTTGTTTACCTTGGCTGTCCTTCTCTGTTGATATGAGTTTGAATTTATTAGCCACAATATTCTTAACCACAACTATTGACTAACCCACCCTTCTCCTTCTCTAAACCCAACCAATAGTGTTTGGCTTCTGTTTTTGTCTTACTGCCGTTCTTTATCAGACTCAAACCCGTTCTTTGTGGTCATCTCCTCTCTGCATTTTAAGTCCACCGACGTTCATGCTGAGCTAATTGGACAAACTGGTAATAACCAGAAAGCCCTCCATATGGAAGTAAGCGGTCAGCTGGTAAGTGCGAAATGGAACTGCATATGTAATTCTGGCTACATTATTCGCAATCTCCAGACATGTATATAGGGCTACGTTTTTAGAATGAGCCTATGTTGGACAAAACATAAAATAGCTACATTTCCTCGCAAGATCAGGCTTAGAAAATCTTGTAAACTTTGATGTACTTTTTGCCTACAACATATTTGACATTTATTTTCTACACAGCTTAGACCTGTGGCGTGTTAATTATTATTTAAAATAAAACACAAGTCAGTAACATGCTGGTCATTAACAAGTTTTTTTTTTAACACAGAATTATAGGTTATATGTCCAACATTGACTCATTCTGAAAACGTAGCCCTACAGTATACACATTTCTGGACATCATGAATTATGTAGCCAGAAGTACTTATGACTGTATTTAGTCTTTAAAACGAACGCTACAGGGTGGTATGACGCTGTTTCTTTTTGCGCTAGCAGCTGACCGCTAACTTCTGTGTTAACAGTTACCAGTTTGATCAGTAGCTCGCCATGTTCATCAGCGGACTTGAGACACAGAGAGGAGTCAGAAGCCAAAATATAAAAAAAATACAAATAAAATAGCAGGGTAAGAATGTGGTAAAATCTGATAATGTGGCAAAATAGGGGCTTTTCTTTTTCTGAATTGCTTTTCGGTTGGGTTTAGGGAAGTGGGTTGGCGAGTCAACCGATGCTTTTGAAAACACTATTGGTTGCGTTTAGGGATAGAGGATGGGTCAGTCCATCGGTCAGTCACTCAGTCAATCAATCAATCAAAAGTGGCCTCTAGTGGATTCACGATAGAACAACAGACGCGAATGGCACTCTTCGAAAGATATAGTTCTCGAAAGGCATACACAGCGCCCTCTGGTGGATTCACGAAAACAAAAACTGCAAAAAACGTAGCTCCTGGGACTTATTTAGCGCTCTCCAGAAATGTATATTTCGGTACGTTTTCAGAATGAACCTAGGTTGTATATGTCGCTCATATAGTATTGAAATCATCATTTTGGTATCGTCACTGTACTATTTTTAAATCATGTAATTTTTAAATCATGTAAATCTAATTAACAATAACATTATAAAAGTTTTGCAGGTTTCAGTAATTTTTTTGTGTTACTTTCTCAAATTGATTGCGTGTGTTAACTAGTTAACACTGACAGCTGTAATTATCTTAAGCATTTTTTGTATTTTAATAATAAAAAGTAGTTTAGTAGTTTTTAATCGAATCTTTATTTCAGTAACCAACATTATTTTTATTAAATAATTTCTGATAAAACTAATTAGCACTTAAAATACTGCCTGTATAACACTGGCTTCTTAACAAAATGCTTTTAAGGGCCACTTTTATCACTCTGCTTCGGCCACTGGAACAGCCCTGACAGTGAATCAATACCCACCGTATCTGTGTTTGATTAATCAGCCTGTTGACTCTATCCATAACGACTTATTCCTGTTTTATCTTTTTACATGCTTTCTTTGTTCCTCTGATTTGTTGGCGATAAACCCATCCAATCCAAAAACAAACAAAAACAAAATGCACTATGAAACTCTCATATACTCCATCTCATATGTACCCATTCAAAACCCCCTCCTCACACACACCTACTGTACATAAATGCATCCATCTACTGCAACAACACATAGAATCTGGTTGGTTTGTAATTTTCTCTCAGCTTCTATTGCATCCATTACCCAAAATGCCTCGCTCTTCCCTGCTCACCTCTCTCAAAGCATGTGCTTCCAGTATGACGACCTCGTCTCTTAACGATGCTTGAAAATTGGACAAATGCTCACGTTGATGCTCATATTTTGGTTTAACAATTTAAAATAAGACAGGGTGGTACAATGTAATAATGTGTTAGTTTGCTATTTATATCGTGGTAAATTTATCTACACTGTTGCCACTTATGTTACAATAAGTCAAAAGAGGAAAAGTTATTTGGTTTGGAATTTAAAACAGGTAATAATACAACGAGATATTTATTGTTTATATTAAAAAATTGATGTTAACCTATTTTTGTAAGGATTTGGTCATATCACCCACCTTTATATGAACACATATGTGTGGGTCAAAGACGAAAGGGGGGGGTTTAGGTTTTAAAAATGTTTGTCCATACTTTAAAAGGTGTCTTTTTTAATTGTATTTTTACAGAGCACATATAATGAGTATTACATTTTTTTTACAGTGATTAACCGAAAACACCCCCTTAAATGTTATTCAATTAACAATAGTATATAAAGTCATTTTAAATACTTTATTAAATTATTAATCTAATTAAATTAATCGAATTTTGATTGATTTGATTTAAATCAAATGTGATTGAATTAATTTTAATGAATGATTCAGTGTTTTTTAGTTTTTACACTTTGCCACTATTTCCCTATAAATCACTGGGATTTATCCAATTGTCAGAAAGACATTTATTAAATATTTTATATGATTATTTAAAAAAATATTTAGCAACATGGTGGCTCAGTGGTTAACACTGTCACCTCACAGCAAGAAGGTCGCTGGTTCGAGTCCCGGCTGGGCCAGTTTGTGTTACTGTGTGGAGTTTGCATGTTCTCCCCGTGTTTCACATGGGTTTCGTCTGGATGCTCCAGTTTCCCCATAGTCCAAAAACATGCGGTATAGGTGAATTGAATAAACTAAATTGTCTGTAGTGTATGTGTGTGAATGAGAGTGTTTCCTAGTCTGGGTTGCAGCTGGAAAGGCATCCGCTGTGTAAAAAAAAAAAAAAATCCCCTGATGAATAAAGAGGCTAAGCCGAAAAAAAAATGAATGAATAATTAATTAAATAAATATACAGATCAGAATAAGTTGTTTCATGTTTCCATTAATATATTTGTTATGCTGAATGACTATAAACATTCATATACCCATATATTTACATTTCATTTAAATATACCCTAATAACAGTCTTTTAAAATAACAGTTAATTGTTGTTTAAATTGTTTAAATTTAAATAAAATCTCAGAAATATATATTTTTGCCTCTTGAATATATATATATATATATATATATATATATATATATATATATATATATATATATATATATATGATGCCTCTTGTGCATCTTTTTATTTTTAGGGAGAAACCTTAAAAAAAAAAAAAAAAACTTAAAGTGACTTGAAGTCAGAATTTTTTATTTTTTTGCATTGTAATAATTCCTTTTGTAAATGTAATATAATTCAGCCACCAACATAGAACGCCTCATCTTTGACCTGTATATTAAACCAAACCAATATCTGGTCAATTTAAGTGAAATGTAACAACATTTATAAGGGTTTATTAAGGGTAGCTCACCAGCGAGAGCTCTACATTTGTTTTTGCTCATAAAGATGCTTTTACACTTACACAAATTCTCACAGACGTTGCCATGCCATTGCCGAATGCCATGCACTTTAGCAAAAGCTGCATGATGACGACGACTCTTTCATTCCTGTTTCTCTGCTTTCCTCAACTCATCCGCCTGTTCTGCACTACTGCAGTTCCTCCTCTGTGCGGAAGAGGGCGCAATGTCTCACTCATTGAAATATGTGTGTATGCTGGAACGAGGGAGTGATCCTCAATAACCTGTCCACACAGTGCGGCGATTTGAACAGAAACACTTCAAATAAGATGCAGAGACATTTGATCCTATGCACTGAAAATTTGTAAAAATCCTAAGAAATAAAGTTAATGGCAAGAAAATGTTTGTGTGGATTGGACTATTGAGAATTACGTGACCAACACAGCAATCGCCATTGGCTACTGCTGTTGGTGTTTCATTGTGTATGCCTGTATTTTAGGGGTGTATCGATACGCATAATATTTCGGTTTGGTATATTTAAGTGTATAAGTAGGGGATAGTTCACCTAAAAATTTTATTTTATCATTTATTAAGCTATATATTTTTTCATAGTCCACAGAACAAACTATCATTATACAATGACTTGCCTAATTATCCTAACCTATCTTTCGGATGAGACGTTAAACCGAGGTCAACCAAGATCACTTTGGTAAACCAAGATCACTTTAAGCTGTATAGAAGCATCTTGAAAAATATCTAGTCAAATATTATTTACTGTCATCATGGTTAAGATAAAATAAATAAGTTATTAAAAAAAATGAGTTATTAAAACTATTATGTTTACAAATGTGTTGAAAAAATCTTCTCTCCCTTAAACAGAAATCGGGGAAAAAATAAACAGGGCTTATAATACGGGGGGGGGGGGGGGGGGTGACTTCAACTCTACTGAAAAAAACATCTTAAACCAGCCTTGGCGGGTTGGCTGGTTTTAGCTGGTCGACCAGGCTGGTTTTAGAGGGGTTTTGGCCATTTCCAGGCTGGTTTCCAGCCATTTCCAGCCTGGTTTTAGCTGGTCAGGCTGGGAGATGACCAGCTAAAACCAGCTTGACCAGCCTAGCCAGGCTGGCAGCCTAGGCTGGTTTAAGCTGGATTTTTCAGCAGGGTTGTATCACAAAAAATGACTGAGATCATGTCTATGTGCTGTGGGATAAGTTGATATATAAATTATTGTGACAGGCCTACTTAAACGTCTGTGTGATTGGAGAAAAAAGTAATTTCAGAAGTAAATTCTTAGTTTTCCAGCTGCTACCGAGAACACACTGAAGCATTATTTCATAACTGAGGGGAACATCTACCAAAACCGGGATTTGTGTCTACCGTTACACCCCTACTGTAAATCTTGCTAAATCTTACAGTGCATCAGGCTGCTTCCATACTGTGCATTGCCTGTCTCAACAGATCAGTGCATTTGATTAAAAAAAAGTTGATGCTTTAATATATGATTGGATGATGACTGTTACAGTTTAGTGATTGTTTTTTTTTTCCCTTGAGCCCCTCCTGCATTAATTGTCCTCATTTTTTGTTTCATTTTTTTAGTGTCAATCCATATTTGAGTTGATTTTTATGTTGGTTTCTATGTTTATACGCATTTATGAATTACTTTTAAGCCACTCTTTCCCTCTAAATTAATATTATTTTCTTGTTCATTTGACCTAATGAGGAATATTTGATTCGTGAACTAATGGTGCTTTTTTTTCTTCACTTTACCTCATGTATTCTCTCTTTTCTGCACTCGCTTCTCTCTTTCTTCTCTGTCTACACACATCTCTGTCTCTACATACATCTCATTCTCAATCTCGCCCCAGAATAACTTCATAAACCTGAGTTTTCTGAGACTCTTTCGAGCAGCTCGTCTCATTAAGCTCTTGCGGCAGGGCGAGACCATTCGCATTCTGCTTTGGACCTTCGTTCAGTCATTTAAGGTATGAAAAGATATACTTATATGATCATATATATAGTCACACATCACTAAATATTTGCAAAGAAATTTTGCTTCATATTCTAGAATATTTTCAATTCCAATTCTCTAAATGCAGTTTAACCATCATCATGTTTTCAGGTCAATTTTGAGCTTGAAGAGACGCATAAACATTTCTGACATTGTTTCTTTAATTTGTATTCAATCCAGTGGAATAATGCTGGCAATTCTTGGAGTTGAATTCAAATACTCATTCAAAATAATCAAATAATTATAAACTATAAACAAATATATTTCTATTTAGCTTTTCTTTTTTAAATATAGTAATGATAGTACTTAAATTGAAACCTATTTTTTTTAAGAAGGCAGTATTTGCAATTTTTATTTATATTTATATTTAGTATTTCCAATTTGCACTTGGTTCTGAGGTCAAAAATGTTTTTTAATCGGGCTAAATATTTGGAAAACATTTTTTCACAAACAAAACTTTTAAATATTTTTACCATTTTAGTAATTTTGTAATATCTGATTTTATTTCTATTTACAGTCACATCATTAAATATTTGCAGATTCTAGAATATTTGCAATTCTAATTCCCTAAATTCGGTTTAATCATCATAATGCTTTTGGGTATATTTGCATAAAAAGTTTTACTACTGTTTAATGATTATGTTCCATTAATTACAATAGGAATAATACTGGTAATTCGCAAATAATAGCCACTTGTAAATTGCAATAAGTTAAATTCATATATTCATTCAAAATAATCCAATATTTTAAAACTAAACCCAAGTATATTTTTATTTAACTTTTTTCTTTCTTTTTTTTATAGAATTTAAGTGTAGTAATGATAGTCCTTAAATTTAAGCATTTACGTTTTTTTTTTTTTTTTTTTTTTTCCAGCAAGGCGGTATTTGCAAACCATTTTTGCTCTAAAACCTTCATGCTGGTTCTAAGGTCAAATTAATTTTTTTAAAGGAATAAGACAAAGTATTTGCAATTTTTTTTTTACAAACAAAACATTCAGATATTTCCTTAATATCTTCTAATCATTTATTTTTCTATTCAGCTTTGTTTACCATTTTTAAGCGGTTTTGAAGTCATTATTTCAAATGATGTTAGTTCAATTCATATATTCTGTCAAAATTATCAAATAATTTACAACAGAACAAAGTAATCTGCATTTTGTATTATAGTTTATTGGATACTTCAACACATTTCTTGTTGTACATGTCTTTGTGACAAATTTTAGATTTGTAACTGTTATAATAAATGTATAGTGACATATTTGTTCATATTTATAAAAACACAATTCTGTCTGATATCTTACTATTTCCATTCTCTTTCTCTCTGCCGTTCACAGGCTCTGCCATATGTATGCCTGCTCATTGCAATTCTGTTTTTCATCTACGCCATCATTGGCATGCAGGTAAAATGAGCTTTAACATCACTCTGGATTTTTAAAGAATCATGCCCATGAACTCATTAGTTTTGTATTCACCCTGTGCTGCTTTAGCTGTTTGGGAACTTGGCTCTGGATGACGAAGGTGCTATCAATGAACACAACAACTTCAGAACCTTCTTCATGGCCCTCATGCTCCTCTTCAGGTCAGTCCTTTGTCTTTCGCACTGTTAGTTTAGAGTTATCTATATGAGATTGTAGTGTTAATTCATAGATTTTTTTTTTCCAATTTACATTTTAGTGCAACTACAATTTAAGCTAAAATTTAATATCAATTTGTAATTTTTATTTAGCTTTCATTTCTTTTAGTTTAAGTGTAGTAATTGAAATACTTAAAACCTTTCTAATTTGTTTTTATAAAGAAGGTATAATATATTTGCAATTTACATTTATATTAAATATCTGCAATATTTATACAGCTATATACAGTATATATATATATATATATTTATATATATGTTACGGTCAGAATTATTAGACCTCCTGGTAAATAAAAATTATTTTATATTTTTCCCCAATTTCTCTTCAGCTAATAATATTGACCTTAAAATGTAGGGGTGTCAAAATTAATAGTTTCTTCTGTGCACCGTGATGCAGACTCAAACAATATCAGAATTGGTTCAGTAATAATCGTAACCGGTTACTTATGTACTTACGTCATTTATCTCATATGTGCTATGTCTTTCTGTTGAGCATGGAGTCAATCATAGGCATTTAAAAACTTGCTCGACCGCTCAAAAAGCAACCAGGATAATATTTACGTTTGTTTATTTGCTATAAATACTCGTGTTGTTCTGTGCATGTCGTTGAGTGTTGTTTGATGCATTCAAAAAGAGTGTTTTCTTTCAGAGGCAAAATAAAGGTACAGTACAAATATCTGACTGCTTGTATTAAAGGAGAAAATTGTATTACAAATGCAAATAAAATGTATTTAAAATATACATTTTAATACAAGAAATCTTGTAAAATATCAAATTGTTTACGAAAAGCATGGTCAATGCATCGTCGATGCACCGAGATTTCGAATTGAATTGAATCGATGGCATGATAATCGTAACCAAACTTAACCTACACTAGGTAGTTTCTCACCTCTATTAAAATGGTTTAAAAAATGTAAAACTGTTTTTATTCTAGCCAAAATAAAGCAAATTAAAATAAAACTTTCTCCGAAAAAAAAAAATATAGTAAACACTGTGAAAAATTTCTTGCTCTGGTAAACATCATATATATATAGAATTTTTATAAATATATTTTTATTATATATAATTATTATTTGTTTATTTATTTGTTTATTTATTTTTCTTATTTTATTTTGGTAATTTAGAATTACTCTTAAGCCATTTTCAGTCTTAAGATTAATCCATTCAATTTTATCCACAAAAAAAGTTTTAGTTATCTTTAATCAAAATCGAACCATCTATCTCTGAAACAGCAGTCCTTCTCTGAGGATGTTAGTTTGATGGATTGGCTGAAATATGCTTAGCCACGTCCCTTCAATTAATTATTTGCTGTGAGTGAAAGATGAGAGGAGGAGGCCAAAGATAAAACCCCACCCCCTACTTAATATTACATTTCAGCTGGAAATACGTCGTCATAATAAAATAAAAATGAGCAGAAACTTCTGGTTCATGCTGACTTGAAATCCTCATATGAAACTGATCATTCAACATATATTTGATTTTATGTCAGCTCTTTTCAGTGGAAGCTCTTTTTGTGTGTGTTGGTAACAGGAGTGCCACGGGCGAGGCGTGGCATGATATCATGCTGTCATGTCTGGGAGGAATGCCCTGTGAGCCGGAGGAGGTTGGATCAGAATGTGGCAGCAATGTGGCCTATGCATACTTCGTCTCTTTCATCTTTCTCTGTTCGTTCCTGGTGAGAACAGCCTCTGCTTGTTTCTTTACCCCTTACTTTAAAGGTCCCCTGAAATCAGCATTCAAGATTATTTGGGCGTTAGTATCATTATATTAGTCTTGAGGTTATCTATAACGCCCCATTCACAAGGGGCTTCAGCGCCAACACTTGACTGAGGGCGTGTCTAAAGTTGGGGCTAACGTGATCATCATAGCAGTGTCAGCCAATGAAATTCAGTCAGCAATAGGCCACTGTCTAGCTGGTGTATTTGCATACAGCAATCTGATTGGCTGACGCTTCTGAAGGCGCTTGAAAAGTTGAGCTAGCCCCAACTTCCGCAGAGAGAAATGCCTTTGAAGCAGCGCCGATGGATCCAAAATGTCGTTCGGCATTGCCTGACGTCACCCATTCAAAGTGAATGGGAAGCATTGACGCTGACATCCCGTGTGAATGGGGCATAAGCATGTGTGCTCAATTCATTGGGCCTATAATGTTCCGTATTATTTGATCTTTTATTATTTTTTGTATATGATTGATTAAGTAGGATTTACATGAAGATTTAGGCATGACGAGTTCTCTTTCTGTGTTTAGATGCTGAATCTTTTTGTGGCTGTCATCATGGATAACTTTGAGTACTTGACCAGGGACTCCTCCATCCTGGGTCCGCATCATTTGGATGAGTATGTCAGGATATGGGCAGAGTACGACCCCGCAGCCTGGTGAGTGGCACTTTCCTCACACACACATTTTAAAAAGACCCTTTTATTCTTTTAGGCACACATGCAGCCATTGATTTTCACTTGTTAATTGTAAAACCTAACTCTGCTGCAACACTTAATTAAAAAGAACGGTTTAACTGCAAACTAACAACTATCATAACATTCTAAAGATTGTCTTATAACTGAGAATTTTGTGCAGACTAGGGTTGGGCAATATATAAAACATGTTTCAGAACATTTGACAGATTCAAGATCACCTTTTTTAAAACTAATCAATAAGTACACCATTAAGTGTCCATTGGTGCAAATATAAAACAAAATCGGTTAAGTGTCTTTGCGAAAAAAAATGCTTCAAGTGTTTACACTTAGATATTGCTTGATAATGTTAGCAGGTTTGGCATGCTGTCCCAGGAGAGAACCCTGAGCTTAGAGATAATTGAGCCCAAGGCTCAAACCTGGTTACTGAGCGTGTATGGGGGTACAAGATCAGGTAGTTCTTGAGAGCTCCCCGAATTCATTCGACTTATTCCTTGATTATCGGGGGCAGTCCTAGAGGAATAAACCAGCAACCACACCAGCTTATACCTATGTGGTGAAAACTCAGTACTAAAGTACTCATATACTGTTCCTCTTGGTTTATTTAATTCACTTATGTCACATTTCTTTGGACTGTGGGAAGTAACCAGAGTACCCTTGGGAAACCCACGCTAGCATGCAGAGAACATGTAAACTCCACACAGAAATGCCAGTTGGCCCAGCTGGGACTAGAACCGGCAATCTTCTTGCTGTGACGCAACAGTGCTAGCCACTGAGCCACCGTGTCACCCAATTCTGGATTAATCTAGAAATAGGAGGAGGGAGATAGGGTTGATTTGGGGGGATTAAAATGAAGATAAGGGAGTAAAGTTAAGCTGCAGACACACTGGACTTTTCTCCTCATAGACTTCCATTCATAAGCACGCGATTGTGTCAGACCGGTTTTCCAGTTTTCTGCCTTGCAAAGTTCAATCTTTGTGAACTCTGACTTGCGAAATCGCATCACTTGACTGTGTGATACCAATTGAAGAAGAACACGTGACCTTTCTCGACAAAAATGTAAAATATGGAGCAATCGCTCGCTTTTTTAAATACCGAATCATCTTGTTTAATTCCACTCCTTTTGGCAGCGCTGCGCAACAGAAAGCTCAAACTCTAGTGTGACTGCGCCATTAGACAGGATATTTATGTTGAGTTTGGAATGATCTGATTGGCTTGCTAATGATTACGGCTAGGGGACCAGCCGTTATCAATCATATCATGTGCTCCTCTCAAAACTAGTTTGTGAAACGTCACTTAAAATATCAATATGAAACGTAATCTTAAACATTTCTATATATTTAAAAATAACATCAAACATGAAAAATACTAAATATTTCAAAGCCAAAATGAAGACATTCAGTTTTAGATAACAGCTTCAAATCCAAATTTGGTGAACAAACATGCATCAAAACACGCTGTGATCCAGTTCAATTGTCTTTTTTCCAGTTCTACTACTTTCCCCATTATGTTTTTAATGTGAAATAAATCTGTATTAATAACATTTTCATGATCAGAGATGTGTTCCTTTAGCTCCTTCAAAGAACATACACTCAAATCTAATTACATGTGCTCACTTTAAATTAATTTAAACTAAAAAATGGAATAAATTCACAAAAAATTGCCCAGCCCTAGTGCAGACAAACTAACCTAAAAAAGTGATTCTTCTCCATAGCGCTCACGTCTTTTGTTACTGAAAACATCAGCAGAATATCCCACTACACTGTACGTGATCACTCAAGATAAGGCCCTGTCTCAGTTAATGTATTTTAAACTCTAATGCCCAGTATTTGTCTTTATATCCCTCCTGCCTATTTGATATCGTGTTACATATGTAGAGTCCGATTGTACCAACTCTGCCCAATCAGTAGTGTCTCCCAGTTCCCCCGTCCCAGTGCTTTGGTCATCCTCGAGTGCTGTTCTGCTGGAGCCCATGGAGACAGTCTGAACCTGAAAATGGGGCACTGAGTGACCACGTTTGCTCTGTTCGTGCACCAAACAGGGATTCAGCAAAAAAAGGTTTACGGTTTCAACCAGGGTGATGCGCCATTCAGAATTGATTTGTTTATTTTTATTTATTTTTATTTTTTAGATCAATTTCTGAATTTGAGTTGAGGTACCAAACAAGATGTAGAATTGATGGATGGATGGATGGATGGATGGATGGATGGATGGATGGATGGATGGATGGATGGATGGATGGACAAATAAATAAAGGATGGAACAAAAATATTCTTGGATGGATGGATGAATGGATGGTGGATTGTATGAATGAAAGAATGAAAAGATGTATTGAGAAAATGTATGGATGAATAAATAATGTATGGATGGATGGATAAATGGGTGGATGGGCAAATGGATGGATGGATAAAACAAAATTATTCTCAGATGGATAAATGGTGGATTGGAAGGATTAAACTAAAATATTCTCAGATAAATGGATTGTGGATTGGATGGATAGACAAATTAAAAGATGTATGGATGATGAGCGCATGAAAAAGTAATTCTTGGATGGATGGATGAATGGATGGATGGATGGATAGATGTCAGAATGAATAAGATATGGATGGATGGACGGATGGATGAGTTGGTGGATGGATGAATGAAACAAATATATTTTCAGATGGATGAATGTTGGATTGGATGAATGGAAAAATTTAAAGATTTAAGGATAAATGAATGAAACAACTAATTCTCAGATGGATGGATGGATGGATGGATGTATGGATGGATGTATGGATGGATGTATGGATGTCCGAATGAATAAAAGATGGATGGATTAATGCATGGATGGATGGGTTGATGGATGGATGGATGGATAAATGAAACTAAAATATTCTCAGATGGATAAATTATGGATTGGATTAATGGAAAAATGAAAGGATGGAAGGATAAATGAATGAATACATGGATAAAACAAATAATTCTTGGATGGATGAAACAAATAATTCTTGGATGGATGGATGGATGGATGGATGGATGGATGGATGGATGGATGGATGGATGGATAGATAGATAGATAGATAGATAGATAGATAGATAGATAGATAGATAGATAGATAGATAGATAGATAGATAGATAGATAGATAGATAGATAGACAGATGAAGGTGCTCAAATTACTCAGTCCATCTCATGATATGAAACCAAAGCAGTTTTTCAATTCTGAATTTTGCACAATCCTGATTTGAACGAATACTTCAGTCAAAAAATAATAATAATATTGCAGTATACAGTAAGTACATCATTTTAAACATTTGTAAAAATCACCTTTTCTAATCTTTAAAATGAATATATGTGCCAACAACTGTGGAAAAGTTTCGATTTTAATAATGCAAGAATTGATTGAGAGATAATCTGCTTAACAAGACAAACAATGAATGAGTGTGTATACGAAGAAACTGAGCAAGTGATTTAAAAGAGAGACTGAAAGTGAGACCCTGTGCATGGCAGATTCTGACTTCACAATGACTTAATTCTCCCATCTCTATGGCTCAGGTGTGCATGGCAAACATCTTCACAGACAAGCTGTCGCAGCTTATTTCTGTACTTGCCACTGCATACAAACGTTAACAAAATACACCTCATGTATTTTGCCTGGTAAAGCCCACGTAGCTGTCACTGTATGCAGTTCAATTAAGTCATTGGACTCGCCTAGATGAGAGAGCCTCTCATGTGCACGGTCATACCGGTGGATTCATTTACTCTGCACCGTGATGGGGGAGGATTCAGAACAGCACTAAAGATCATTCGAGGACAGCCTCGCCAATTTCTTTCTTTCTTTTCTCTGCATTTGGTAATTTTATACAACACATGCATAGCTGGGGTTTGCTGCACCATAATCCTGACATGCATGTTTTGATGTTGGTCCCTTTTCACATTTACAGCTTTGGATAATGGATGGATAGCATGCCTGTACATGCATATTTATTATATATTTCTATTTATATCAAATAAATAGAAACTAAATCTTAATAACCATTGAAAAGCTGCTAAGACACAGATTTAGCTTTCCTCAGCAGATTTTTAATGCATATGAATGATCTGAAGAATGAAAGTAGTCACACTCTCAGTTGATCGCTCTCCCATAATACTCTTGCAAATGTAACTTTCATTACTGCTGAAAATAATGTTTTCAAATCAGCCGATTTGAATGTTATCACTCGATTGAATTGGCATTATCAGTGGTTGTCAGCTGATAGATATGGGCCAGTAGGGGCCTTCTAAACCTACTGGTTGGATCACAAGGCTGTTATCATCCATCAACTTGATTAATCAGCTATAGATCACATATGGCTGGGGCTGGAAGTTAACAAGAATTATTTAAATTATTTATTAAACTTCCCATGAATTGTATTTTATTAACGGTTACCCCTACCCCAACCTTAAACCCAACCGTCATTGTAAAAACAGATCTGAATCTGGAGTCTTCTCTATTAGTGTAGCTGATCAACCATGTGGATGGATGATAACAGCCTTCAGAGCTACCAGTAGGTGCAGAAGGTCCCTACTGGCCCATATTTATCAGCTGATAACCACTGATAATACCCATTCAATCGAGTGATAACATTCAGAGCAGGTGTTCAAATTAGTAATGAAGACTTTGATTTATCTTTTAAAGTGAAGAATTGGAATTTGATTCCTTGGAGATTTGATTTGACAACATTAGGAATGGGAGATAAAAGTCAATCCATCAGTGCATCGCAATTGTTTCACTAAAGATTCTGAATTGATTCTCAAATGTTTAGAATTGATTGTCTATTTAGATAAGATTGTGAGAGTATGGGCCTGCATGGGTGAAAAACTAAAAATAATAAGCATTGATAGATGTACATACATCCGTATGCTGCTGAATTGACTTGATTTGGAATTATGGACAACGCACTTCTCATCTTGTGTGCGACCGGATTCAGGACACTTCAAATATCGTGCCACAAAGCAAAATATTGGATTGTTTTAGAGCACTTTTAATGAAGGCTTGTGGGCTGTGTTCAAGGGAGGAAAAATGAAATGAATGTGAATGAAAGTGAACTGTACAGTGTTACAGATGTTACAAACTACTATACAGTGTTACTACAAATGAATGAAGCATTATGAACTACTGTTTTAAAGCTAGTTCCATGGCTGTGAACTAAAAGCAATTCTAAAGTCCAGATATAGGTATTTTAAATACAGTTGAAGACAAAATTATCTTTTTTTTTTTTTTTTAAATAAATTCACAGGAGGGCAAATTTTGCCTTTAGGTGTACCTATTGCCAATGTTCGGGTAATGCATTACAAGTAAAACAAGTTACATATAATATTACTTTTAACGAGTAAAGTAACGCATTACTTAAAAAAAAAAAAAAGTAATAATATTTGAGTTACTTTTTTGAAAATTTTAGTTAAAATAATTAGATTTAAAAAAAATAAATGGCAGGGTGCACTCCTATGGTTAGGGTGAGGAGCTCTGACACCCGGGAGGAGCTCGGAGTAGAGCCGCTGCTCTTCCACATCGAGAGAAGTCAGCTGAGGTGGCTCAGGCATCTGTTTTGGATGCCTCCTGGACGCCTACCTAGGGAGCTGTTCCAGGCATGTCCCACTGGGAGGAGGTCTCGGAGACGACCCAGGACACGCTGGAGGGACTATGTCTCTCAGCTGGCCTGAGAACACCTCGGGATCCCCCTGGAGGAGCTGGAGGAAGTGTTTGGGGAGAGGGAAGTCTGGGGTTCTCTCCTAAGACTGCTGCCCCTGCTACCCGGCCTTGGAAAAGTGGCAAAAAAAAAAAAAATGCTGAATTAAAATTAAAGTCGTCACAATTAATATTTTAGTCAATGAGAGAATGTGTATGTTATTTTGAATGCATCGAAGAAAAGGAAAAGGGGATTATAGTCTCAATAGACAGTGATTTTACTTAAGACCAAAAGGGCAAAAGTAGCAAACACATTGCTTTACAATTTCAATAGTCTGCATATACAGCATGTATAGCTCTGTGGTTAGGAAGTTCTCAGGTAACATTATCCTAAAATATATTTAAAAACATGTTTTTAAGGTTAATGAAGGGGTTGGTTATACTAGGGCTGGGTGGTATATCGAGTTCTGGGGATTTATCGATATGATTCTCCAACACGATGCGGGATTATCTAATATCTTTCATACCAATATGGTTTGAGGCACATTCTGAGCGAAACAGACCACACCAAGGCAGCACGCAAGCTCCACTTGCACAAATGTGCACATGTGCAAATGAATGATTCACTCCCTGAGTCATACAGAAGAATTGTTAAAAATGAACTAATGAACTAAAAAATGGAGGAACATGCAGTGCCGCTGTTGTATCGTAATCTGACTCCCCGGACAAATCTGACTCCCCCTCGCGTGCACATGCGTCACACAGCGTCTGCAGCTTTCACAACGGTTTATCAGTAACCTTTTATCGATCATTTCCTTCACAATTGACAGCAAGAACAAACATAGAAGCCTTGTCAATTTGACAAGCAGCACCTGATTGTGTTCAAAAGAATTAAAAACGCCAAAATGGGAGGAATTTATATCGCATTTCGAAAGTGAAACCACCTCATATTCACTGATTATAAGTTCAGCATTTATTACAAGACGGTCTCTTCTTTACATTTGCGTTATAACACATTTAGCTCTGCTTTCTGGTTTGTTATTGCATATTGACCTCAATTCTGATCATGTTCTAATCAGTGTACTTATTTATTTATTTATTCTGTTTAATTGATTTATTTATTTTAGCCCCTTAGCTAGAAGATGTGATATAAACAATATAAGAATCATTATAATTATAATGATGATGATAATAACAGTGAGGGAAATCCCTGCGTTTAAATTACATTTTGCTCAAAAACTGTTTATTAAAGTTTTAATAAAGGCTTTGACTCTCAAGTAATCATTTATGGGAAAATACCGGATATATATCGTATACAGTCATTCCTCCTAAAAATACAGCCATATGATTTTTTGCCCATATCACCCAGCCCTGCGTTGTTACCTTCTTTATTCAAAGTAAGAAAGAAAAATAAGTTCTGAAAGAGATCAAGCCTCAGCCATGTAATAAAAAGTAACTCAAAAGTAATGTAACGCATAAGTTACCATTGAAAGTAACTAAGTAATGCAACAAGTTACTGTTTGGGGGAGTAACTCAATATTGTAATGCATTACTTTCAAAACTTTCCCCAACACTGCTTATAGATATATTATTTCGTAATAGTTTATTTTTAAACAAAAAAATATTGTAATGCTCGATTTTGGAATAAGCACTGCTTGTTCTTCACATTCACTCTTCGTAATCTGCAGTTTTAATGTTACTTTCAGATCTTATTTTTTAAAGACCGCATACTGTCATTCAAAGGTTCCAATCATTAAACAAAAACATATAATAATTTAAACTGTGGTTTAAATGTGAACTTAAAATGAGATTTGTGAAAAGGGTCCACCCCAGGGAGATTGCAGTCGTTCAGATGATCTGAACATGTTTATGAGCCTAAAATCGGCTGGGCTGTTCTTTGAATGATCTGGTTTTTGTATTGATTTGAGGCAGTGGATAAGCCTCAATGGGTTTGGTCTGTGATTTGTCAATGGATATGTGTGCTTTTATTCTATTGTTCTTTGTGCTTCTCTTCCTCTTTTTCTCCTCTTCACCTCTTCTTTGGCTTTCTGGCTCTGTTTCTTCTCTCTCTCTACCTGTGTGTGCCCCCTCTCTAACCTCCCTGTATTCTTCTTGCAGCGGGCGCATTCATTATAAGGATATGTACAGTTTATTGCGGGTTATCGACCCCCCGCTGGGCTTAGGCAAGAAATGTCCTCATAGGGTGGCCTGCAAGGTTTGGATCCTACTAAACAAAAAACTTAAGCACCTGCTCGCATTGAAGACTGGAATGAATGTTGCTTTTCTTTTTTTAAGTTTTTTTTCCCTTTATTTTATTTGTTTGTTTTTACTCTTCTTCACAGTTTTTTCTTCTTTCACTTAAAATTCATTCTTGTTATTTTGTTCGCCATCTCTATATGCATTCTGATATGACAAATGAGAATGTGCGGGACAATGCAGACACCTTTTTAGAAGCATGACGTGCACTGCCACCGACAGCTAAGTCTGTACCAATCTCTTTGTGGAATGAATCACCCTTAACAGTCAATAAAGAAAAAAAAGCAAAACAATAACAAACAATGAAATGAATCAGCCATTTTGTTCTTTTTTGTTTTCTTTCTGCTTGCTGTTGAACCATGCCTTGGCAAACTGGGTGTAACAGTGTGCATTGTTCTTGTTTGGGGACGAAGTGAGGGTTGGGGATCAGAGGACTGCATTGACGTGACTGCCATAGTTCACCACCAAGCAGCGGAGCTTTTCTTTGCCTGTTTGAAGCCCCACTGCAGTTCTATGGGACCGTCCCACGATCGCATAGAACAGTGTTTTTACTAGGACTAAAAAAACAGCTTCCCCTCCTCCTGTCTAACCTCCAGCCTATCAAGAGCTCTCACGCTCTCAAAACCCCGCCCCTCGCCCAGACCAAAACAATAACCTATGTGTCTTTGTTTTTCTTTCTTGCCGTTCTTATTTCCTCCTCCTTCTTCCTTCTTTTTTTTTTTGGTTTCAATCCCACCATACTCCGGTTTGTTCCATGATGTCCTTTTCCCCCTTTCATTGTTTCGTTTAATTTGTCCGTTGTCTTATTTTTTTTAACCCCCGTTCTCCTCAATTAATTTCCGGGGTCTCACCCCTCCCCTCCCACCCCCACTACTCCCTTACAGCGGCAGGATCAGTTACAGTGATATGTATGAGATGCTCAGGCACATGTGTCCTCCGCTAGGCCTGGGGAAGAGGTGCCCTGCTCGGGTCGCCTACAAGGTTAGCGGCAGCAGCCCGCCGTGGGTGCGCCACAGCCAATCAAAGCTGTCCGTTTTTCTTTTTTTTTTCTGTTAGTGTTGGTGTTGGTGAGCTGCTGTATCTTTCTTTTTACGTTGTGGGGCCCCGGTGAAAGTGTTAGCCAGCTGTACAAGTACCACACATCCACTGGAAAGCGGGAACGGAGGGTACCTTGTCAGCCCTTCTGCACCGTACTCATTCATATGCAGATGCAACTTTTATTTTAGCAGTTTTATTCCTGTAGAAATGTTTAACTCATGATATATTTGTTAAAATCAACATGAAATCACACAGTCTTATTTATTGACGTAATTGTAAAAGTGCTGTGTGGTTAAACCTCACAGTAGAGGCTTTGATTCAAATCCAACTAGGAGACACTTGTTTAAAACCTGTGGTGCTAATAGAACAGTAGGGGGGTTAAATTGGTGCCGTGACCCGGATTGGGATTGAGGTTTGGAGCATAAGTAAAACTCAAGCCACAGATCTCAAGAGCCAAACTAGCTACTTATAGTAAAGGCACCAATCATTATTGTTCTTTGTTAAGGTGGAGGCACAGTAGAGTAGAACAAAGACATGCTGTGCTGTGATCAAGATGCGAGATGCCAGTTTAAGTTAAGAACTTAAGTTAAGAACTTAACTTAAGAAAAAAGAGAATGGAAGGGATCGGGATGCAAGTACATTTAAGCATGTCAGTGTAAGGGATGCCACTTATGCTAGAGACACAGTTTAACTCCTGGAGACGATTCTGTAATACACAGTCTTATTTATTAACGCAAGTATTAGAGACAAGTTAGAAAATGCTGTGTGGTTAAACACCACAGTAGAGGCTTTGATGTGAATCTGAGTAGGAGACACTAATTCAAAACTTCCTAAAAGTGGTGTTAATTGAACAGTAGGGGGTTAAATTGGTGCCGTGACCTGGATGTGATTGAGGTTTGGAGAATAAGTAAAACTCAAGTCACAGACCTCAAGAGCCAATCTAGCTACAGATGCTAAACGGCATCAACCATTATTGTCCTTTGTTAGGACCTTCCATGCTGGAGGCACAGTAGAGTAGAATAAAAGACATGGTGCTGTGATCCAGATGGGAGATTCTAGTTTAAATCTTGCTCAGAGAAGTCCAAGAAAAAAGGGAATGGGAGTGATTGGTATGGGAGTACATATTAGCCTGTGAGTGTAAGGGATCCTTCCCATTCTAGAGACACAGCTTCGCTGCTGCTTGAACCAGAGGAGTCATATTGGTGCCGTGACCCGGTTGGGAGTGAGGTTTAAGAAGTGAGTGCAACAGTAAAGCTAGCAAGAGCTCTGTGAGTAAACCGCACTATCCTGGGCTCAAGAGGCACACTAGGGACCGACTCTAGATGCTGTTGTTTTTTTCAGTGTCCCTTCCTCAAATGCCAGTGACGCTAGTTCAAATAAGGTGCAGGTAACTGAAAAATATTTACAATAAATTTCCAACATAAAAAATAATATGTTTGATTAAAAAAGTAAAATAAGTTAAACACATTTTCATGTTGACTTTAACTAGAATAAAATTCAGTGAGTCGTTTTGTTTGTTTTCCCTGTTCATTCAAGATCATTACAGCCTGTTGTAGTTTTAAGTGGAAACTAAAAAGGATGTAGACAGATTTTTCTCACTGCGTGCGTGTACAGAAGGACTGGGAAGGATTGTGTGCCTTTGGTCCTCTGCTTCTCTCCCTCCAGTGGATGATTCCTGAAGATATTCAGTAAACTTTCTATGATTTTGTCAAGTGACACTTTCGTAGGATACTATAGTGATTACATAGCATTCAGAAGTCTATAGACCAACGTTTTGATTTTTATTTCAGCAAATCCATTAGAATCACAGATAAGCTTTCCCACCTGTCCTTCGTTTGATTCTGTCAATGCAGTTCTGGCCTGTTTCCGTTCCCCTCTCTCTTTCTCTCTACTGTCTCTCGCTCTATCTTTTCTTTTTCTCTCATTCCTCCAATTAGCATTTTTCATCTCCACATTCTGACACAAAAACAATCTCCTTTCTTTCTCTTGCTGTCTCTCTGTCTCACTTCCTTTCCATTTCTACTATTTCTTCGCTTTTAGTCAGCATGCATCTTAATTATGCACATAGTAGCTATCTGAATGCATCTATGCATAAGAGTTACATCCAGCACTTTTACATGTCACAGTCATCATACAAAGATTATATGGACCTTAGTGAGGGGTTGATGGTTGGTTTAGTTTGAGGTGGATGAAAGCCATATCTTGTCCTTTTTTCATGCAAAAATATCATTTGTCATAGTCTTTTTTTGCCATGGAATCTCATAAAATGTATTTGTATAGTCTTTTTTGTTTTAATATATACGAGTTTTAAACTTGGAAACTTCAACTTGTTCCCACAGGATTTACAATTCACTGTACAGTAGATATCATGTAGACCAGTGGTTCTCAAACTTTGGTAGCTGACAGCTAGCTTTTTGCAACTCTCACATGTTCACCCACTGAAGCTCAGCAGGGCTGTACCTGGTCAGTACCTGGATTGGAGATCACATGGGAAAGCTAGGCTGCTGCTGAAAGTGAGGTCAGCATGAGGCACTCAACCTGCAGTCTATGTGGGTCCTGATGCCCCAGTATAGTGGAGGAGACTCTATACTGCTCAGTGAGCACCGTCTTTCGGATCAGACATTAAATCAAGGGCCTGACTCTCTGTGATCTTTTAAAATCCCAGGATGTCCTTCGAAAAAGAGTAGGAGTTTAACCCTGAAATCCTTGCCAAATTTGCTCACTGGCCTCCGTTCATCATGGCCTCTTAACCATTCCCATATAATAATTGACTTCATCACTCTGTTTCCTCTCCACCAATCAGCTGGTGTGTGGTGTGCCTTCTGGCACAATATGGCTGCCGTTGCGTCATCCAGGTGGATGCTGCACACTGGTGGTGGATGAGGAGATTCCCCCAATATGTAAAGCGCTTTGAGTGTCTAGAAAAGCGATATGTAAATGTAAGGTATTATTATTGTTATTATTATTATTATTATTATTATTATTATTATTCGGGTCTCCTTTTAGTGTTACGCGGAAGAATCGCTGAATAATAAAATAATAACACACTTGAACTCTTTGACGTGTACAATGACTTATGTGATCTGGCAACATTGGCTGTTCCCTGAAGCGTAGTTTACACCGATGTGCGTAGAATGTTTACGTTAGTGCATCGCATCATCAGATGTTAAAAATCAATCCTGCTTGATACGCGTTTTTGATATATAAAGTTATTTGTTTTGTAAAGCACTGTGGCTTTCGGTTAAGTTTGTTAAGCCTTAGATTTAGGCTAATGAATTTGGATGTGATTCAAATGGCGCGAGACACAGAACATAAACTCTTGGATGTTTGACGCTTTGCGGTAGAATATAATTAAATTAAATTGTTTGTTGCAATCGGTTTCCTCAAACGGTTTGAGTTACCTTTACTTATTGGGTTTTACAGTGTACAAGTTAATGTTTAGATTTCAAAGATTACAAATTTGTACATGCAACTTATATTTCAAAATGTAAAAAATGTGTATATATACAGTATGTAGGACATATACTGTAGCCTATATTCATCTGGTCCAAGGAAAATTTCCAGGTTTTGATAAATAGGCTACAGTAAATTAATACTATACAAGTACAGCAGTTTTCCTTTTACATTTTAAGAACGGTGCCATTTTTAAAAGCACATTTTAATTTAAACTGTAGAGTTTTTTTTTAGTCTGCAAGCACAGTTAATGTTCAAACTATTTATAATGTTTAAAGTGGCTGACAATAATGCATATTCTTGAAAACAGGAATTAATCTGCCTCGTTTTTGATTTGTGCAGTGCTGTAGCTGCTTGATTAGCTACTGTATTTCAATAGTGATCATTATGGTGTTACTTGGAGAGACCATTTTTTTCTGAGGTGGTACTTGCTGAAAAAAAGTTTGAGAACCACTGATATAGACTATTTTTCATTTATGTTTACAGATGTTTTGATTATTATCTAGTTATTTCTAGTCAGTTAAATGCATCTTTGCGAAATCAAATATTGTGAATTATTTATAAATGAATGGTCCAAACTTTTAAAAATAAAACCATACAATAACATTTTACGAAATGCACTAATTTAAAAAAGAAAAACCTTCAGGGATTTTGTTCAAATTTTTGTTTTGTGCCATTTTTTTAATTTATTTTCCATTGGTATTAACAAAAAGTATTATATCATGTTAGATATTTTTAAAAATGCAATTTTATTGCTGTACTTGGACAAAAGTTGACTTATATATTTAGTGTCTAATTAAAAATGACAATTGCGCTGACTGAGATCATTTGAACAGCTTCCTCTATGTCTCTATATGTTTTAGACATGTGCAAAATGCGATTTAATAACAACAAATCTTTACTGAGACTCCCTTCACTTCAATCTCTTCCTCTTGGGTTCCTCACTGTCTGTTCCCTCATCTCAAACAACCAAAACTCTTCTTTTCTGCTCTCTTTCTCCTCTCCAACTTTCTCTCTATCCATTGCCAAGCACACCACTCCCCCCTTTCTCATTATTTTTATATGTGGTACACATCTCATAGCTTTCCAGTCTGAAGTGAACTAACCTCTATACCTGTTGCCCCCTAATCCAGTCCTACACCTCTCGGTGTACAACACAAACATTTTTTCCTCTTTAACTCTATAGGGAATGCCACCCCTTATCTGACCTTTAAAAAACCTGCACCCGTTTTGCATTGAGAGATCAGAAAAATGGAAAAAATACCACCTAACCTTATGAGAAATCACCCAAAGAAAGATAAAGATGCTAAACAAACCCAAAAAGACAAGTGGTCAATGAAAGATGAAATGATACTCTCTGTGCGCGGCTGCACTGCTCTTGTTCTGTGAGGGGTGGGGAGGGAGGAGGGGGGGTGCATGCATTGCATGTTGCACGTAATAGGGGTTGATGTTTGGGTGGGCCTGGGCCGATGGGGAGGTGGGTCGGTCTTACCATCGCTGAACTCTGATATGAGGTTGTGCTGCATTGCATGTGCTTTTGCATGTCCACCGTTGGAACTCGGCTCATGCTCGTTGCTATCTACACCTCCAAGGAAATACGGACTGGTCTGAAATGGGCACACTCGTGCACTTGGGCTCACACACACATGCTCACCTACTCACATTAACGCCATGTTGTGTGCTTGTGTGTTCCACTGGCACATCTAATGAATGAAAACAGATATCTACTGTTTCACTCATTGGTTTGTCCAAAATATGACCTCCAACAGGTAGGGGGAGCTCTTTAGCAGTAGCCTTTTGTGAGATATGTTCAATTTAGTTGATGGCTGTGTCCTCTACCTTTGTCAGCTGATTTAAGATCAGTAACTTCCTGTTAATTCCACTCCATAGCCTCCTAAATTATTTGCTAACTTTTATAAATATAGACCAATTTGAGGGATGTAAACAAAAACAATGGTCTCGTCGTATTACTTGTTTTACATTTTTAATTTCTAGAGCTTCCAAGAATCCAATAAGAGCCACATATTGATAAATAATGTTATGATAGCTGTTTTCACATGTAGTTGTGATTGAATTTCATCTTGTTACAGTTATGAAATAGTTTGATAACAAGCAGGAAATGTTCATGGGTCAATGACATGACCAGATTAAAATTGTCTATACGCAGAATCTCTGAGTGGTTCAAATCAGGGATGCTCATATTAGGCAAATTAGCTGCTAAAGCATTTTTCCTTAAGGCTGTTGTATTTTCCCTGTGGATTGTAATGGTTTTAATGACATGTTTATGTCAACAGAAAGTTGATAAATGATAAGCCTTGGGTAAAATGCAGCACTTGCAGCCACATTTTAGTAGAGGTGCACTAATGTACAGTATATCAGCTGCCGAAATGCATTTGCTTGATTTATTTGCTTTATTTCTGATTCATTTAAAATAACTGGCATATTGAGTATGTCATGAAAAATCTGATGTGTCCAAACCATTTTTGTGGTTATTAATAGCTACTAATATTCTTATGTTGTTGCATAATCCAACATTTTTGACTGGGAAAAAACCTTCAAATATCATGAAAAAGTCATCTATATTGGAAACGTTAAAATAATTGAACTATTGACAAATACTGGTGTCTTTATCACATTATTAAACCCCTAAATAATAATCCCCTTGTTTATTTTATTTCCTCAATTTCTGTTTAACAGAGAGAAGATTTTCTCAACACATTTCTAAACATATTAGTTTTAATAACTCATTTCTAATAACTGGTTTATTTTATCTTTGCTGTGGTAACAGTAAATATTAATTGACTAGATATTTTTGAAGACACTTCTATACAGCTTAAAGTAACATTTAAAGCCTTAACTGGGTTGATTAGGTTAACTAGGCAGACTAGGGTAATTAGACAAGTTATTGTATAACAATGGTTTGTTCTGTAAACTATCAAAAATATATCGCTTAAAGGGCTAATAATTTTGACCTTAATTTTTTTTTTTTTCAAAAATCAAAAACTTCTATTATTCTAGTCGAAATAAAACAATAAGACTTTCTCCAAAAGAAAAAATATTATCAGGCATACTGTGAACATTTCCTTGCCTCGTTAAGTATCATTTAGGAAATATTTAAACAAGAAAAAGATCAAAGGAGGTTTAATAATTCAATTGGTATTTCTTTTAAAATGAGGGAAAGGCTGGACAAATTAGAATGAGAAGAAATAAGTAAATATTACTGGTCTCTCGATATCCATTTTTTGTATCAAATTATCTGAAGTTCACCATAGCTTTACCTAAAAAACTGGCCACAGCTTAAAATACTTTGTTGAAGTTACACAGTGCTCAGCATAATTAAGTACACCCCATTTTGAAAATGAATATGTTTATTCATTTCTCAGTTAATATAGGCAAAGTATTTTGATGCATTTAAGGAAAACAGATTTATTAAACAGATGTTTTTATTAAAATAATATTTTAGTCACCAAACATATTTAAAAATTGAAAGGTAATTTTAACTAAATTGTTACTTTTTTTGCTTCTCTTGATTATTTCTCTTTATTCAATTTGTATTTAATTACATTTTTTACCGTTATCTTAAGTTATTTTGTTAGATAAGCTCCAGATTTGGCTTCAGTACTGACTAATCTAATGTATATGCACAAATATAATATTGTATAGCTTCCTATGAAAAATATGAATTAAAAAAATAGATTTGTGAAGGGTGTATTTATATACACTGAGCACTGTATTTGTACCCGATCTATGATCAGTTTTCACAGGCAGAGGAACGCTACTGATTTTATCCCTTATACGGCTCCTGTTATCTGTGAGGGCTCCAGTTAAGTCATTTAACTGATGTGTATGTACTGTACATGTTCTACGAGATGTGTGAATGGTTCATTCACACATTGCAAGGTTTCAGGATGTCAGATCTTCCTAAATCCCTTTTTGTGTCAATTGTATCACTTAAGATTAGTTGCATGATACATGGTTTTTCACATAACCACTGCATCAATGATTGAACAACTTAATCTACTAAAAATTTAGATGCAAGTAATTTATTCAGTGGCTACAGACTGCTGAGCTCCCCAAATCTTTTAAAAGTCCACCAAAGCATCTGATTGGAGGGTTAACTGACACAGCCCCGCCCTCATCCCCTCTGGTTGGCTCTCCACAGAGACTGCTCCGTATGGACCTGCCCGTTGCTGATGACAACACGGTGCATTTCAACTCCACTCTGATGGCCTTGATTCGCACAGCACTGGACATCAAAATTGCCAAGGGTACAGAACAACATCCCCTGTTCTTTTCATTTCTTAATTGCATTTTATTCTTTTGAAATAGTAGATTTGAGTCGTTTCGCTGTGGCAAAGGACAGACGAAAGAAACAGGAATAAATTAATGAGACTTGGATTTAAAAAAAAAAAAGTTATTTTTGTATATTAAATTAAAAACAAAAGCATACATTTTGATATGCAAAAAGTTAACAGGTTTTACTTTATTTTTATAATAACTCGTAATTGTACTTTGTAAAATTCTTATTTTCTTACTTTTTGAATAGATTGTAGATAGATCTTTTCCACTAAGCAATTTGGTGTTTAATAGATGTCTAATAGAGGTCAAAACATAGATGGCTTGGCTAAAACCTACTAAATTCCGGCTGTCAGTAAAAATAGTAGACATCTAAGAATAGTCCAAAACTAGACTAGTTGTCTTTGTGTATTTGCTGAGTAGTTTGGGCTATTTTAGACGTCTGCACTACCTGACAAAAGTCTTGTCGTCGATTCCAGTTGTAAGAGCAACAAATAATAACTTGTCTTCTAGTTGATCATTTGGAAAAGTGGCAGAAGGTAGATTTGAACTCGCATGGACCCAATATTCTCACAGAAATAAGTCAAGTTTGGTGAAGGAAAAATTATGGTTTGATGTTCAGTATGAGGGTGTGCGAGAGATCTGCAGAGTGGATGGCAACATCAATAGCCTGAGTTATCAAGACATTTGTGCTGCCCATTACATTACAAACCATAGGAGAGGACAAATTTCAGCAGGATAGCGCTCCTCATACTTCAGCCTCCACATCAAAGCTCCTGAATGCAAAGGCGGTCAAGTTGCTCCAGGATTGGCCAGCCCGGTGACCAGACATGAACATTATTGAGCATGTCAGGTGTAAGATGAAGGAGGAGGCACTGAAGATGAATCCAAAGAATCTTGATGAACTCTGAAAGTCCTGCAAGAACACTTTCTTCACCATTTCCGATGACTTTATTAATAAGTTATTTGAGTCATTGCAGAGATGTATGAATGCAGTCCTCCAAGCTCATGGGAGTCATACACAATATTCATTCTTTTTCCACTGCATCATGACTTTATATTCTATACTGTACATTATTTTTGTTAAGTGACAAGACTTTTGTCCAGGCAAAGTCAGACCTTACTGTCCTATTTAAATAATTAAGAAATCAAGGCATGATCAAATTTTATTTTGGTAAAATAAGCATAATCTAGAGGCCTTTGGCTTTTATATAAGCTACGTCTGATACCAAATGATCAACTTGAAGCCAAGTTAATATTTGTTGTTTCTAAAACTTGAATAGGCAACAAGACTTTTGTCAGGTTGTGTAGATTTTCACTTACAGCCCAAATTTAGCCTTATTTAGCATCTATGTTTAGACGTCTATTAGATGTCTATTAGATGATGTCTTCTTTCAAACACAAAAAAACTTTAAAAACCTTCCACTATATAGAAACAATGTTTTATTGGTTTGTGTCTCTTACCTATATTTTGCATTGATGTGATTACAATTATGATATTTTGTTAACATTGGGTTGTCTATACCTATGTGTGTGTGTGTGTGTGTGTGTGTGTGTGTGCGCGCCCTGATGTCACACACTTTCAGGAGGAGCGGACAAACACCAGATGGACGCGGAGCTCCGTAAAGAAATGATGGCGATTTGGCCAAATCTCTCTCAGAAGAACCTGGATCTGCTGGTAACGCCACACAAGTGTAAGTTGCAGATGGGTTTGTAAAACAGCAAAAAATTAACCACTGAAATATCACCAATTCATCAGAGGACAGCTTCTGTCAGCTCACACCGCTCAGCACCCTCTGATCAGGCAACACTCAACCCTCAACCTTTAACTAACCCTTCTCCTGTTCTCACATGACAAACCAGAAACTTACAGAGATCAGTGATGCCATGCTTGAGCTTATTAATTATACCCAAAATCATCCTACTTCTGAGCTAGATGATTTACTGCCCTGGCTTTTTCTGTTTTTTTTTTTTTTTTTTACATCTGATGCTTAGCTTGACTTTATTACATTATTTAATAGTCCCCTCTTATGCTTTTTAAAAGGTTTATATATTTTTAATAAATCCATCCAAAAAGCTGTCTAAGCTGTAAATAAAAAAAAAAACTTTACATTTTAATAACATACAGATTGCAATAATTTAGAGGCAATTTAGAGGCAATTTTTTGCATAGTACAGCATTTTAAAAAATTGTGGGTTTGTATGAAAGACATCATCTATGTGCAAATCTATTCAATGTGTGAAAGACTTTTGTGAAACATTTCTGAACTGTAAAATTCACGATAAAAAAATGGCAGCTGTGGTTTCCAGATTTAGACTGTTAAAATACCAATAGTTCATAGTAAATTATCGTATTTGGAGGCATTTTTACTGTAGATTTTTTTTTTTTTTTTTTTTTTTTTACCATAGAAATTACAGAGATATTTTACAGTGTATATTACCTCAGGCTTACCTTTCTGCTCTTATTGGTCAGAAGGCTTATTCTGTTGTGATTGGTCCACATGTTAGAAATAAAGTGCTCATTACTTTATCTGTAGTAACGTAGCTTGTAAACAGTGAAACTGTAGTATCAGTTTTATTTTATTGATTCAAGCCTGAGTCCTCACCTTATGTGTACAAAGTAGATTTGCATTTACAGTGCCGAAAACAACACAGACTTTTCCAGACCGCAGATTAAACTACAGTGTTTGGGGGGAAAAACATGCATTGTTCACAGACTGAACACGGACCATAGACCATAGGCTGGAGTTGTGCAAACTTGTTACAAAGCTGCACGCACTCTAAAAAAAAGAGTCTGTTAATTGACAGTTTCTGTATTTTGTGATTCAGAAGTGTTTTCTGTTTATTTATGGTTGTGAATTTCATTATGAAATGTTGATCTCTGCTCTGTGACAATGTAACTCTACAGTTTGACAAAGTGACTTTTATTGACATTTTTGTAGTTTGAAATAATATGTGAAAGAAATAATATATAGAGATATAAGTCTAAATGTATTGGCAGTTTATTCAGCCTGATCTCACAAGAAAATGTAAGTATTTTACAGTTTGTCAGTTTAGTGGCTAATTCGTATGAATTTGTACAATGTCAGTCGTACGAAAAATGTGCGACTGTAAAATAGAGGTATGGCACCTAACCCCATCCATAAACCCAGCCATCATTTGGTGATGAGCAAATCGTACTAAATTGTAACAGTTAAATCATACAAATTTATACGAATTAGCCACTAAATGCAAAGGTTAAAAATTTCCGTTAGATTGCTTTGGTTTAATTACAAGCTTTTTTGTACTGTAATTTACAATGTCAACCCAGACAATATATCACTTCAAACTATTAAAAATGTACAGAAAAGTTACTTTTTCAGACTTTTCAAGGTTAAAAGTTATTGGAAGAAATATTAAGGTCCCATAATACAGCTCAAAAACATAAATAAATGGGGAAAAATAAATATATATTTAAACTGAAATCACAAAATGTAGGAAAACTGCAAATTTACGGTTATCTGTTAAAGTGTTGGACTGGAATTTTTGATGACAGTTCAGAATCTGAAGTTCTTTCTTTTGGCATTTATTAAAAGTGAAAAATGGTTAAATAGTTAAATATTTATTACAATTTTAAATGCCTGCTTTCTTGTATGTAGTTTCAAATTAAATATTACTCCAGTCATTACTGCTTTTATTACTATTACCTATAGTGATAATAATAATAGTGGCGGCATGGTGGCACAGTGGGTAGCGCTGCCATCTCACAGCAAGAAGGTCGCTGGTTCGAGCCTCGGCTGGGTCAGTTGGCATTTCTGTGTATAGTTTTTATGTTCTCCCCGTGTTCACGTGGGTTTTCTCCAGGTGCTTCCACAAGTCCAATGTCCATAGTGTATGAATGTGAATGAGAGTGTAAGGGGTTTCCCCATATGGGTGTGATGGGTTGCAGCTGGAAGGGCATCCACTGCATAAAACAAAAATAAGCTGGATAAGTTGACAGTTCATTCCGCTGTGGCGATCCCAGATTAATAAAGGGACTAAGCCGAAAAGAAAATGAACATAACAATTAATATTGGAGTGATTTCTGTAGGATCATGTGACTCTGAAGACTGGAGTAATAAAGCTGAAAATTTATCTGTAAAATCACTGGAATAAATTATTAAATTAAATGATAAACTACTTTTGAACTTTTGTTTTTTTATAGTGCAATAACATTACACAATTCTACAATTTGTACTGTATTTTGAGGAAATACAACCTTGGTGAGCAGAAGAAGCTTATTGTAAAACTTTTTTTTTTGCATGGCTGCCAATAGAAAAGCTATTTAAGATTCTATGAACATTTCAACGAATAACAATTTTTTATTCTGAAAAAAACATTTTGAAAATCAGAAGAACTGCAGAGGAGCCTGAATGTACTGTACCTGAAACAATCAATAAATAATGTATTTATTTAGTTTGAAGGGTAATATCCACAAAATAGCATAATGGGGCTTTTTAAAATGCTATCCATCCTTATTTCACACTCTTAATTTAGGCCTTTTTACATAATCTCATTTAATTTCCAATCTACATTTGCTCTTCTTTTTTCCCTCTTTCTCCTATCTTCTTTCTTCATTGCCTGTTATCAGGGGGTGCCTCGCTATAGACGGATCCTCTATAGAAGTCTTTTCACTCCAGCACGTGTAAAGCACAAAGCTGGGCTTAACCTTCAAACCACAGAGCCTCAAAAACAGCATAGCTTGAGTTACGATCTGAAGCTTTTAAAGACGTTATGTGCTTTAAAGTTTGATACGATTGTTTTAATACATGTAGATTAGTGCTGTCTATTGAAGACGGCTAGCAAACAGCCTGAAAATACTTTTTTGTGCTTTGCTTTAGCATGTTTTATATTTAATTTAAAACTTCAGCATGTTGTAAGAGATGTTTTTAAAGATTATTATTTATACTAAAGGGGTTTAATGTCATTTTACTATGAAATTGTCAAAGTATTTTGTCAAAGTCATTTATGGCAGCTCCAATTTTTTCATATTAATGTTATGTGTCTCATTCAAACTCTGGATTCCACTGCAGAGTTTTGATAAAAAATTTGAGCTACTAAAACAACATTGTAATCTTAAATAGATTGAAGATGCTGTTACCTCACTTTTTGGCATTTAATCATAGTGAAATGGCTTGAATCCCTGTGGGAATGTCATACAACCTACAACTTTATAAGCGAGAAAAACAAGAGGTTCTATATATCTGATTGTGAAAAGACTATCAGCTCTGTGGTGTTTTGTATTTGTCATCGTACAATGTCTAGTGTGTATTGTGTATAATGTATATCGTGTGTGGATATTGTACTGTACTCTGTATATACTGAATGTAAAGAGTTCAGATGCAAAAGCCTTTAAATGAGCTTTTTTTCCCAAAGCTCCTGTGTATATGTTCAGTTAATCCAGTTTTTTAAAGAAAAGAATGAGTTACATTGCCTTTATAATGGAATTACTGAACATAAATATTGGTGGCTGAAAAAAATGCTCATTTTAAAAGAACATTTCAGATGTTTTATCTAAACTCTTCATACGTATATACAGTGGCCCCTGAAAATATTTTGACACTTAAGTCTTACTAAATACATATGAATGTTTTTATATTTGCTAACCAGTGTTGGGTAAGTTACTTTAAAGAAGTAATAGATGATAAATTACTGATTACTACTAGAAAATTCTAATTTGATTAGATTATGAATTACTTCATGTTAAACGTAATCAGATTACAAATTACTTGACTTTAACGTTACTTTTAAAACATATAAAAATCTAAATAAATGGCAGCTCTTTCAGTCATTTAATATTCTCTGAAAAAAACATTACGATGGGTTTAACACAGCAGCTTGACAAATTTAAAAAGTTTAAAAAGATAGTTTGCCCAAGTGACTTAATATTCACTTGTTCCAAACCTTGTTTTGTTCTTTTAAGTGAAGTCTTTAAACTAATTTCGAGAGGAGCACATGATATGATTGATCACAGCTGATCTCTCATCCGTAATAAGTAATAATCCAATCAGATTGATCCAAGCCCTCTATAAATAGACTGTTTTCACCCTACTGCCATATCTTCATTTTGGAAGAATTTCCCCTTTCACCGTATCTCCTCCTTTTCCTTCTTTCTAGGGGGAGCTCTCGAGACCTAACTGATCCTAGACCTCCTTACATACTAAAAGACCTGGCAGGAGCCCTAGGCTCAATTATCTCTGAGCTTAGGGTTCTCTCCCATGACATCATGCAAATAGTCAAGCAATATCTAAGTGTGAAATCTTGAAACACATATGAAGATATTTTTAAGAAAACTGAATACCACTGACATTCATAATAGGAAAACACTTACTTTCAAAAACACGTTTCAATTTACTATGATCTTTTATGTAAAGCTGCTTTGACACAATCTACATAGTAAAAGCACTTTACAAATAAAGGTGAATTGAATTGAATTAAATTGAATTGAATACTAAATCTGCAGTTGTGAAGACAAACTGTAAACTCAAATGTTTAATATGTGAAATCTAGAATGTTTAAGTGCAATTTGCTCCTAATATGCGCATGTAAGCCGCGTGCTTCATTTTGAAATAATGTATAACTTGTGCGCACAAAATACCTAACGTAAAATAAATGTGAACGGCCCCATAAACAACTACACTTCTTTCCAAATTATCAGAAGTTACCTTCACTCCCGATCCTGCACAAAAAAACAGTTTTTGAGTTGGGCTGCTTTTGGCGCCAGTGTCCTCCTTGGCGACGAGTGCTTGAACAAGGTGCTGGTTAAAAGCAATAGAAAGTTCTTTATAGACTAGACATAGACTGCATATTATTTTGATTTTACGCTCAATGAAATCAAAATAATTGTTTTCTAAAATCTATATTTGTAACATAATTACACTGACTTTTAAGAGTTCACAATTAGCTGCTAACTGATTATAAAGCTTGTTTGGCATGCTATACTGAGAGAGAGCCCTGAGCTCATAAAATCCTCAAGGCCAGGGCTCCCTTCCGTTGCAGGGCAAAAGGGGAGATTGAGCTCAGGTAAATCTTGAAAACGTCCGTACTGTAGTAGCTAGGGATGTAACGGTATCAGAATTTCACGGTACGGTAATACCTCGGTGTGAATGTCACGGTACGGTATTTATTGAATCATTTACAGGAAAAAACAAAACTTATGAAAATACTCCAAAAAAGTGCCAAAAGTGTCAATGACATAAAAATTAGCCATCTATCTGTAATCTTTGAAACAGGAACTTCAATTTTAATAGCAAAAAATTATTAAACCATGTAAAAAAATAAAGTTTCAATTTAGTATTGTTGAAAACTCATCACATTTAACATTTAATCACTCACTCTCTCACTTAGATAGAGATGGGTTTTAAAGAAAATTATCATATAAATATAATCTGGTAAAAGCTGGTATCTCTGGGCATTTACAATGTCCCCTGCAACAGAAAAAAACCCTCTCATTTGGGACTGAGGTTTCTGGGACAGAGAGATATGACTTGGCCCAGGTTGACAGCAGTGGGTAACGTTGTGCATTGTCTTTCCCACACTTGAGAGGACAAGCCATGAGTGAGATTGAGGTCTCATGTCTGTATCAATCTGAACAGTGTGCTGTCACACCCTCCGTCCCGCCCTTCAGTAGGCGCGCGACAACACCGCTCTTGAGTATGCGTGCTCAACCCCCCCTCCCCGCTTTACAGTACGCGCGCGACAACACAGCTGATCAGAACGCGCGCAACAACACCGCTATTTAGTACGCGCGCGACAACACAGCTGATCAGAACGCGCGCGCGACAACACCGCTATTCAGTACGCGCGCGACAACACTGCTGATCAGAACGCGCGCGACAACACAGCTGATCAGAACGCGCGCGACAACACAGCTGATCAGAACGCGCGCGACAACACAGCTGATCAGAACGCGCGCGACAACACAGCTGATCAGAACGCGCGCGACAACACAGCTGATCAGAACGCGCGCGACAACACAGCTGATCAGAGCGTGCGCGACAACACAGCTGATCAGAACGCGTGCGACAACACAGCTGATCAGAACGCGCGCGACAACACAGCTGATCAGAACGCGCGCGACAACACAGCTGATCAGAACGCGCGCGACAACACAGCTGATCAGAACGCGCGCGACAACACCGCTATTCAGTACGCGTGCGGCGACAACACCCGCTTCAGGTTTGATCATTTCCAGCTCTTTTTGATGCCCGCTTCTAGCAGCACACTCCATTTCCGCATTACTGTATCTGTAGCGACAACAGACCGCAAGGGATGATGGCCACCCCTGGGCTGATGGGAATTGTAGTTTTCGCTACCTCCCGTTCGCTTCATTCACCTGAGCAAATTTTCTCAGAAGACCTATAGTTTTACCGAGTCATGCGACTACGGTAATATCGAAAAAAATTAATATTGCGGTATGACGGTATTTACAATACCGTTACATCCCTAGTAGTAGCTAATGAACAGATAGGGATTGCTCTTAAGAGATAACTACTTACTAGGAGCACATCTATGATGCCTATTTGGATTTAGTCAATTGAAAGTTATGTGTTTTCGTACGGTTGGAGGAAACTGGGGGCCTGTGAAAAACCCACGTAAGCACTGGGAGAACATGTAAACTCTACACAGAAACGTCAGCTGGCTTGGTAAGGACCAGTGACATTCTTGCTATGAGGCGACAGTGCTAACCACTGGGCCACAGTGCCAACCACTGGGCCACAGTGCCACTCATCTAAGAAAGTAGGAGGAGTAGGGGTGGAAGGGGGCATTCTTAAAAACTAAGATGGTTGTGATATGGAACTTAGGGTTGTCACACGTAAATAATGTTCAGGTGAATCCAAGTGCGAGTAAGCAAAATAATAATTTATTTACACAGTCAAAACAAAAGCAAGGAATGAGTGCGGTGCTAGAACTAGGAGAAACAGGGCAGGAATCAGGCAGGAAACAGGGTCCAGTAAAAACTTTTCAGGTCCTGAGCACAGACAAGATAGCACCATAAGCACACGTAACGAACTGACAATGAAACACTAAACACGTAGCACATATATAGGCACAATAATGAGTATCAGCTGGCGAACAATCAATCCAGCTGAGTGCCGTCATGACACATGACCAAAACAAATACAAGTGGGCTACAAAAACACATGAAACCCACATGATCAAACAGACACTCTGGAAGAGCGCACAAACCTGCAACCGTGACAAGGGTATTTATAGTGACTTAGGAATCTGATTGGTGAATCATAAATTGGCTCATGCATGACAAGCTGTGTTCCATCATAAGCACGTGATCCTCTTGAAGTGAAGTTTATGTATAAATAAATTCCGAGAGGATCACGTGCTTATGATTGCTAGTGGCTGGATACGCATTATCCAATTCACTACGCTCCAATCAGATGACTCCTAAACTACTATAAATACCCTGGGTTTCATTCCACTGCTATCTTCGTTTTGAAGAGTTCCCCCTGTCCACCCCTACTCCTCCTTCTTAGACGGGTGACACGGTGGCCCAGTGCATAGCCCTGTTGCCTCACAGCAAGAATGTCTCTCGTTCCTGGCTTTACCAAACTAGCAGACATTTCTGTGTGGAGTTTGCACTTCTCCCGTGCTCACGTGGGTTTCCCCCGGGTTCCCCGGTTTCCTCCCACCGCCTAAAATCATGCAATTAAGTCAATTGAACAATCCAAATTGGCACTATAGACACGCTTCTAGTATGTAGTTGTTTTCAAGAGCAATCACTTGCTACAGCAGGGGAGTTCTCCAGATCTACCTGATCTCAAACTCCCCTCCCGCCTTGCAACGGGAGGAAGCCCTGGGCTCGAGGATCTCATGAGCTCAGGGCTCTCTCCCGGGACAGCATGCCAAACAAGCTTTAATAATTAATCATCAGCTAAGTGTGAACTCTTGAAATCAGTTTATAAATAAACCCGACTTACTAACTGTAATCAAGTTACACAAATTTAAAATGTATTTCGTTACATTACTACGGTCCCCCAAAAATGTAATTAGAATACCCCCAACTCATGTATGCAAAATATTTGATAAAATGAAAAGAAAAATGCAGTGAAATGAATATTGCAAATTGCTCTTTGATACTTTATTACCTATACGATGGCTTTCATACACCTTTAACGATGAAAGACTTTTTTGGGGCAACTGTATTTGTGTATTTGTCTTGTAATTTGTTGTGTAGCTGTTGTCCGGTTTCTCAGCCCCTTATATAGACTCATCCTGGACTATGAAAAACTTCAGTTTGTTTATTTGCACTGTGGGTTTTTTGTGTGAGATCAAGATCAAGTTTAGTCTGGGTCTGAGAGACTGGACATTTGTGTTTGTGGCATGCCTTGTCTCCAACTCCCATTCCCCTCTTGGCTCAGGGTCCCATTCCACCCCGGTCTAATTGTGCAGGTTAACTTTTTCATCCTCTCAGCAGCGACAGACCTGACAGTGGGCAAGATCTACGCCGCCATGATGATCATGGAGTACTACCGGCAGAGCAAGGCCAAAAAGCTGCAGGCGCTTCGTGAGGAGCAGGTACCACTTCAAACAAACAAACAAATCCCAAGTCTACTCTGTTTCTTCCAGCAAATGAAGCATGAAATCTCTTTAGTTAAGTTTGGTGTAGTTGAAACTGCCTTACTGCTCATTTTTGAGGCATGCCTGTTCAAACTACCTCCTTAAACTTGCTACTTTGGGATGTTTTTTTAAGTTATTGGCTATGTCTGAAGCTTTTTTTCCATTTAGAGATTTTTTAAACATTCTTAACATGTTTATAATATGTTCAGCACAGTTCCTATCCTCCCTAGGCATGGGCCGGTATAAGATTCTGATAGTATGATAGAATCTCATATAATAAAATTATCATGGTTTCACAGTATAACAGTATTGTGATTAGTGCTCTCAAATATGTTTTTTTTATGTCTGGGTAAAAAACAACAACTTTTCCCCCACTTAACACAATATATTTTATTTTAAGAAACATTAATAATATTTTGTAACTGTACACATTAGGCTAAATAATTTAACTAACTGTGTTTTTACATCTGTGGTTCAGCTCATTTGGTCCAGACAAAGGGCAACAAATAAACGTTTGCATTCAGAAATTCAGAGATCGTTTCAGCCCTCCTTCATGTGGAAATAAATCAGATATAAATCGGATATGTGACAGTGCGACTATCATGTAAACAGGCAGATCGGATTTATTGAGGCTTTCCATTTTGTATGTCAATAAACTTGCGACAATGTGATGCTTTTCCGGCGGTTTAATGGCGTAGAAGGAAGAGCTTGTGATGATGATGCGGTAAACAAAAACAGAGGAAACATGGAGGAGTACAGTGGTCAGTCGTCACAATTTGCTCCCACCAGAGCTGAGATTGTACCCATGAATTCCTCTGAGTGGTGGAGGATATCGTATATAAACCAGGCGCAAGCTACGATGACTGCCTTTTCCCTCTTTCTCTGCCTCAAAATCATTTTAAAGTTAGGTGAACTTCACATATTTCGCAGAGCTAAAAGCAAGAAACTTTCTTCCATCGCGGCCAATGTGGCTCATACGCTAGAACCCGCCTTTACGCATGCAATGTCATAAATTGTATAGCAAGTGTAAACACGTGAATTGGATATGGGTCACAGTTAAAAGTATGTGTAAACAGACAGCCAAAAACATCAGACATAAGCAACAAATCAGAATTAGGCATGTAGACCTGACAGTGTAAACGGAACCTTTGACACCACACTGATTGCTTTGGTCCGAAACAGTTGAAAAGAACTAAAATGCAGTCATGTTACAAAATCCACATCACTCATTGGCCAGATGTTATTGAATGTATTTCCTGAACTGCTTTTCGATTGGTCAGAATTAACATGCCAAAAAATGCCAAAAGCTTGAAGAGGTGGTCTAGGTAGTCTCTGTACGCTTTTATAAGAACCCTGTTTGTGGACATGATCCAAACTAAAACAGACCCAATCGCAAAAAGTACTGCACCTTATCCAGCTGCTATAGTCCGATGCGTCTTATTGGGTGTGGAGGAAAAATATTTGTTGATAGCTCTTTACCCTCAATTTTAAATGAAGTTTCACAAACTAATTTCGAGAGGAGCATGTGATATGATTGACTGCAGCTGGCCACTCATCTACACTCATTAGCTAGCCAATCAGATTGATCCGAACTCACTATAAGTAACCTAGCTAAGAACTACTCCCTTATCTTCGTTTTCCAAAGAAACCCCCCATCCACCCCTTCTCCTCCTTTCCTCTTTTGCCGAGGGGAGCTCTCGAGAACACCTGACCTCGTACTCCCTTCACATGCTTTATGGACCTGGCGGGAGCCCTGGGCTCAACTATCTCCGAGCTCAGGGTTCTCTCCCAGGACAGCATGCCAAACCTGCTAACTTGCTAACAAGTTGTCAAACAGTATCTAAGTGTGAAATCTTGAAACAGTGTGAGAGAGAGAGGGAAAACTCTACCTGATGGATCGGTAATATTTCTGGAAGATGGCTGTCTTCACCGCTTGCAATGCATTAAAATATGGTTCAGACTGCAGGATTTTCAAAGTCGTTGTGTCATGGATGTTTTTACACTGCATGACTATCTGGGGTAGCATTTCGTCGCTGCTTTGTTGGATGAGATGGATCAGCGACAGGGGGTTTCACAATGCATGACTTTACAATAGGAAAACGCAGACATCTTTGTCCATACTACGTCTTACAACCAAACACATGCGAGAAGTGACATGGAAACAACGTGAGGTCAAGCCTATATATTTTATCTTTTATTATCTTTTGTCATTAACTACTTAATGAGAAAATACATTTTTTTAGCTCACCTGGCTTTTTGAAAGTTTTCAACTTTTTTCTTTGTCGACTCAGTTGTGGAATTGATCAGACGACATGTCAAACAGACACGGGTGCTCCTGCCAAATTCCCATAGTTTTTCCTCTATTTCTTGGATGATAAAAATAAACTGAAAAGGAGCACTTTTAACTTCTCCCCCAACTATGCTAAATATTTATGTACATTAGCATTGCAGTTTTTACATGGAGTTTTGGAAACTGATTTCACATCTGTGGAATTACAACTCAAGTGTGCAAGTCTACATGATTGAAAATCATTTTGATGTGAATTTGATTATTCATAGACTGGGAAGTTTCAGACACAGCCAATTTCTTGTTAATAAGTACACTGCTTCTCATAGGTTTGGGGTCAGTAAGAAGTAATTTAGAAAATACTTTTGGTAACCTTGGTTGCACCAAGGCTGCAATTAGATAACCAGATCAACAGTAATATAGTCAATAATTTTGTGTAATATCTTTAGAATTTGTTAAAATATTATTATAATGTTATAAAGTTAGTCCTGTGATGGCAAAATGTACTTTTCAGCTTGATTACTCGTCTTTTTAAATGTCACATGATCCTTCAAGTATTAAAATAAGTGTTGTCTATATATTAGCATATTTTAGGGATTCTTGAATGACAAACAATTTAAAAAGAAAATAAGAATAATTAGCATTATTAATTTTTAAACATAACATTATTATTATTAATATTTTTTTATTATTTAACATTATTTAACATTTCGTTAAAATCAATCCCTTTTTTTGTAACATTATTGTATTATTATTAATATTATTATTATTATTGTTTAACATTATTTAACATTTAAAATCTGTCCCTTTTTGTATTATTTTAAATGTATTCATTGTCACTTCTGATTGCATCCTTGCAGAATAAAAGTATTAATTTATTCAAAATATATATGTATATATCTTGCTGACATCAAACTTTTAAAACAATATTTTATGTCACCTGCCACATAGAGCACTAAAGATGATTATAAGATGCACATGCAAACAAACTTGTATTTTACTACTGCAATAGCATGAAAACAATACTGGAAACTAGTTTTAAATTCACAGCCTTAGAGCATGCTTTTAAACACGTGCAGTAACTGTGATGCAGGTGTGATGCAATGATGAATGATACAACATGGCCTTTTATAAGTATCATCCCTTGTCCTCTTCCCTGGAAATCCTCCCATCAAGTAAAGGCACAGTGTCCATTGTTTCTGCCTATACATTTTCCACAGTTATACATAAATCTTCCATATCAGCTCCACAGAGCATGGACACTCTGCCGGAATCAGGGAATGGTCTAAATATTGTCTTGCCTCACCTGTCTGTCTCTTTACCTGTCGTATTTCATTTGACTCCACTGTACATCAAAACCGTCCTCTCAACCTCTATATATTCATCCTTGGTGTCTCTATATGCCTGTCTGTCTGTCTGTCTGTCTGTCTCAACTTGTTTGCATTTTTACTGTCTTCTTTCTAATCCTTTCCTCTTTGATTCCATCTGTTTTTACTAGTGTCGTTTTGTCTTCCTCCATCCGTTGATTGGTGAGGTTGATTTATCAATGTCACTAACATGGAATCTTTTCTCCCTCCGTGTGGACACCGTTTTGTCTAGATGATATGTTCATTAATGGATGTTGAGGGGAGGTTCTTGGTGTAACCTTTGGGCTACTACGGTCTGAGATTTTTAGCGTTCATAGATTAATTCGGGTGGAACTGGGGTTCACCAATATAGATGACTTTTGGCAGATACCAATAACTCTATATTTGAAAGACAATACATATATACAGTCAGAATTATTAGTTCTACTGTTAAATTGTTATATTGTTTAGGTTAATTAGGGCAATTAGGCAAGTCATTGTATAACAGTGGTTTGGTCTGCAGACAGTCGAAAAAAATTAATAATGTTGACCTTAAATGGTTTTAAAATAATGAAAAACTGCTTTTTATTCTAGCTGAAATAATCAAAATAAGACTTTCTCCAGAAGAAAAAATATTTTAGGAAATAATGTGGAAAATGTCTTGCTCTGATAACACCATTTGGGAAATATTTGAAGAAAAAAAACAGTTCAGAGAAGGGCTAACAATGTTGACTGTTCATTTTAAAATAAATTCAATTGTAGGTCAATAATCATAAATCTTGTTACAATTTTTGGAGCCTGATTATAACAACAAAAAGCAATTACCAATAACTGATATAAAGCTGATAACCAATATAAAGGCAGATAAATATAAATCTTCACACAAATTTTGTTGAGCTTCATTATAAACAAAAGTCAAACACAGATAATCAATAAGTCTTTATATTAAGAATCCGATAACCAATATATAGGCTGATAAATATATATCTTGATATAGATTTTTCTGCGCCTAATTTTCAGAGATAAAACGTTAAAGAATCCAGTGGGCGGCTGATTTTATTTTAAAACTGATATTATTTTAAATATTTAAATTTTTACTTAATTAATTGCAAATTGCAATTCTGATGTTTTATTGTTCTTTAAAACAGCCATATATCATTTCATAAATAATCATTAAAATAACATTAAAAATATGCATTTAGTTTTTTTTAACTGATACTGATATGGCTGTCGATATTATGCATCCCTGGGTGGAACGGTACACATATTAATACCCAATTTTTTGGAACTATTCTTTCAGTTTATTGTAGATTACACAATTTTTTTCTGTCCAAAAAAACTATTGTTGGAACCACTTCAATATTACAAACTTCAATATTAAAAAAACACATCAGTCAACATTTGAAGTGAATCAAAAAACCTTAATCAAAGTTATTATAAAACTGTTGAAAATCTTGACGTTCTTGTCTTGGGACAATTTTGAAAAGCTTTTTTGATCCTCTTCGAATGTTGACTACTGTGTATATATTTATCATATGTTAATTAAATGTAATAACTAATTGTTAAATCACAGATCAATTTGTTATGCTGTGTTCACACCAGATGCGGCATGCATGGATAAATTGCGCTATTCGCATGTAAATAGACGCGTGAACATTTTGAGTTTACTCGCTTCATTAGCGTGTCAAATCTGCTTCGTTTGCAAGTCAAATTCACTTTACAATAGATGCGGATTCACGTCATGGGCAGGGCTTCTGTCTGCCAGATGACTCTAGCTTCATTGCTAAATGGCTAACATGGATTTTTTGAGAGAATGGCGGTATTTATGTGCTTTATGAAGGCTAAAAAACAGCACTGGAGTCCACTAGATCCTTTCAGAGATGTACCCAGCTATATGAGTTCACCAACTCCTCCAGAAACTGTAGCTGAATGATGGAAGCTTTTAGCAGTGCTAAAGCTTTTAACTGTTGTCCGGTGTTGGCAGGATGATTCCCCCCCCAGGACACTATCAATTGACATACTTCATAAGCACGCCCCTACAAGAGAAAGATTTCTCAACTCGAGCGTTTCGCTCAAGATGCTCAACTCGTACTGCTTTATTTGCACAAATCGCATCATTCACGGCACCTCATTTGCGCATATCGCACCGCAGGCAGTCTATTCACGTCTTTGCATTGACTTAACATGTAAATTACTTTTGCTTGATGCTTCTTCCGCACCAGATGTGGGACGCACTGATAAATCGTGCTATTCGCGAGTAAATAGAGCTTTTTAAATTGAGTTTACTTGCTTCATTTGCTCGTCAAATTCACTGAGCAATAGACGCAGATTCATGTCATGGGCAGGGCTTCTGTCTTCCCGGTGACTCTAGCTTTATTGTGTCTTTGTTGTGCCATTGGAGCTTCCGTGTCTGAGACCTATTCAGGGGTGCACCCAGCTCTGTGAGTTCATAAACACCTACAGGAAACTATACCTGGATGATGGAAGCTTTTAGCTGTGCTTCCGACTAAGCCGAGCCCAGTTTGATGAACTGTTGTCGGTGTCGGCAGGAGGTTTTTCCCCCGGAATACCAACAACAGGCGCTACGTCATAATCACGTCCCTACAAAACTCATGATTGGTTAATGTGGCGCGAATGTCCGCTAAAGTTTCGATTTTTGAGTAATTCACCTAATATGTGCGTCAATTGCAAAACTAGTTTACGTAAATATAAATATCTCTATCTTTATAAAATAAAATCGTAAACAACTTAACAGGTAAATCACTCTCGCTTGACGCTTCTTCCATGTCTGGTGTGAACGCAGCATTAGTCATTGTTTCAGTTGATGCATTAATATAACTTAACTAGACACTAAGGAGAACACTTCCCATCTAATAATAAAACAATACTTTGTTTTTGGTATTACTACATAAAAAACAAAGAATTCATTTAATCTGGAATAAAAAATACAACTGACTAAACAAGAAAGCAGAGGAACGTGACCAAAATAAAGAAAATGAACAGAAAATCAAGCTACACAAATAAGTACCGTAAGTACCGTTACACCCTATAGTGTCAGCATCACCCACCCAGAACCTGTATTTCTAGTATGAACCTCAGATCTTCACTGTTGCATGCCCAAATAGTTACAACCACCCATATTATGCGGTGGCTTGGATGGAAATGAGCCATCGGCACCTACCCAGACAGCACAGCCCCAATGGAAGACTCCATTCAGGTTGGCGAGGGCACTGGAGGACTCCATTTTCCATGATGCCTCTCTGCTGTCTGGTATCCCACCACCTGTGTGCTGCACGGTGGCTTGTGTGTGTTTCCCCATTTCCCATAAGTGTGTCTGATCCCAGCTGCAGGCCATGTTCGTATCTCACACAGAACCGAACGCCATTAATGTTTCAGCGCATGGAGCCGTCCCCAAACCAGGAAGGGGGACCGGGGCTGAATGGCCTGCCCGAGCTGCCGCAGGAGCCCGTTAACAGCCTGTGAGTGCAATCTTCATTCAGGTCATGTTTTTTTTTACTGTTACGGGAATCTGTCTAAATGAGTCTCAGGAAATCATATATTGTATACAGGTCATCTTTCATCCCAAAAGCAAAATGAAATGTTACAGAATTATTTTTTGCATTGATTAAAAATGTTTCACGCCTGTTTTAGGTATAAAGCAATAAGTATTTTTTTCTTCAAAATTGACAGAATTTTATTGACTTTATAGCCTCTGTAATATTCAGGTCTGGACCCTGTGAGGGCCATTTCATGACTGTCTGTGTTTCATCAGCTGTTTTCTTTCTCCAAATAGAATTTCATTGCAATTAACAGATCATTTTTATGCTGAAAATGAAAGCTATTACCACTGAAGTCCTTTCCAGAAGGAATGGCATAATGGATTAAAACCTATCTGTACTTTTCAACATTCACAATTCCATCAATTGAGACAATATTGCTAACAACACTGGTAGAAATGCAGCTCAATTCAGGACAAACAGCCGCTCTTCAACATTGTCTTTCCAATGTATTAAACAAATAAATCAAATAGTTCAAACCCTAACCTAGCTCCTATCATAACAAACCATACATGAACTGAAAAATAATGTATTCACCCTGTGTAAATCTCAAATTTAAAAACATTAACAAAAATGTACACTTATGGCTGGTTTTGTGGTAAATGTTCACATATATTCATTATACTATCAGTATAACAACATATTCAATATATATATATATATATATATATCCATAGATTTTCAGCTTTGCCTTTTCACAATACTACATAGGACAGTACTGTATGTGTACCTTATGTGTTGTGTTTGAAATATAATTTTTGGGGGTTGTTTTTGTTTTCTTAGGACTAAACATGCTTTAACACTATATTGTATGTTTTAGAAAAGATACAATACATGGTGAGAAGTATAGCCCTAGGCTGCAAAAATTAAGCAAATATAAAAATTACATTCTTTAGCCTTTAAAGTTGCAATGGGGTAAAAAATAATGTTGAGATTACTTTAACAATCATGGTGATGTTATTCCCTCAAATCTTACACTTGCGCACACTGCAAGATATAAAAACTGCGGCACAGCACACACTACAAAATAATATTAAGATTATCATGCCCGATGGAGCACATCACGTGATTGTAGTATAACTTGCTTTAATAATAATTATTATTTATTATAAGCGAGGTTATATATATATATACACGTTCAATGCTCAGCAAATATAAGTACACCCCTCACAAATCTACCTTTTAAATTCATATTTTTAATAGAAAGCTATACAATATTATATTTGTACATTACATTAGTCAGTACTTTGGATGTAACGGTAAATACCGTCGTACCGCAATAGCAATTTTTTTTTTATATTACTGTGGTCGCATGAATCGATAAAACTATAGGTCTACTGAGAAAAGTTTGCTCAGGCGAATGGAGCGAACCGGAGGTAGCGGGAACTACACTTCCCATCAGCTCAGCCGTGGCCATCATTCTTTTTGGTCTGTTGTTGCTACAGATCCAGTAATGCGGAGGGTGGAGGGTGCTGCTAGTAGCGGAGGAGAAAAAGCTGGAAATGATCTAACCAAAAGCGGGATTTTAATCGGATGTGTGAAAGTATTTCGGTTTTCTCTTAAAAGATAAGAGAAAGCAGAAAAGTTGACAGACAAAGAAAAACTGATATGCAGGCACTGTCAGACTGTGGTGAAATACAAGTTGGGGAATACGACTTACAGTCAAGGAGACCGCTGAACACAGCACACTGCTCAGATTGATGAAGACATTGAGTTGTACTGCAAAGAGATCTCTGTCTCACTCATGGTTTGTCCTCTAAAGTGGTGGAAAGACAATGAACAACTTTACCCACTGCTGTCAACCTTGGCCAAGTCATTTCTCTCTGTCCCAGAAACCTCAGTTCCAAATGAGAGTGTTTTTTTCTGTTGCAGGGGACATTGTAAATGCCCAGAGATCCCAGCTTTTACCAGATTGTTCATATGCTAATTTTCCTTAAAAAAACCTGTCTCTGTCTGAATTGTGAATGTGTGAGTGAATGAGGTGAGTGTTCTCAAATACTCATTCAGCACATGATTCAGCTGCAATAAGTATGATGCTATTTAAATTTGTTCTGAGCAAAACTAAATTGAAACTTTTTTTTTGCATGGTTTAATTATTTTTTGTTATTAAAATTGAAAAATTGAAGTTGCTGTTTTAAAGCTTACAGATAGATAATTTGATAATTTGAATGTCATTGATATATTCAGTGCTGAGGTAAATAAACACTTCTGGCACTTTCGAGTTTCTTCATTAGTTTTATTTTACCTGTAAATGAATCAATAAATACCGCACCGTGCCATTCATACTGAGGCATTGCCGTACTGTGAAATTCTGATACCATTACATCCCTAGTCAGTACTGTAGCCAAATCTGGAGCTAATCTAACAAAATAACTTGCGATAAATTTAATGTTATAAAATTCTAAATTTATATGATATAGAAAAATACTAAATACTAGGGATGTAACGGTATTGTAAATACCGTAATACCGCAATATTAAAATTTTTCGATATTACCGTAGTCGCATGACTCGGTAAAACTATAGATCTTCAGAGAAAATTTGCTCAGGCGAATGAAGCGAACGGGAGGTAGCTGAAACTTCATTTCCCATCAGCCCCGGCGTGGCCATAATCCTTTGCGGTCTGTTGTCGCTACAGATCCAGTAATGCGGAAATGGAGTTTGCTGCTAGTAGCGGAGATGAAAAAAGATGGAAATGATCGAACCTAAAGCGGGTGTTGTCGCCGCGCGCGTGCTGAATAGCGGTGCTGTCGCGCGCGTTCTGATCAGCTGTGTTGTGGCGCGCGTATTGTAAAGCGCCGAGGGGGGGGGGTTGAGCGCGCATACCAAGAGAGGTGTTGTCGCGCGCCTACTGAAGGGCTGGACTGGACGGAGGGTGTGTCACGTCGCGGGGGCACTTTTGATCGTTTTGGAAGGGCATTTTCTATCCAAGACTAAAAAGGGCATGTGCACTGCACAGGTTGAGCCCTATGTGTGCACGTGCCTGCAAGTTGGGGAATACGACTAATAACAGTCATGGGGACTGCAGAAAAACAGCACACTGTTCAGATTGATGCAGACATTGACTTGTACCGCAAAGAGATCTCTATCTCACTCATGGTTTGTCCTCTCAAGTGGGGGAAAGACAATGCACAACGTTACCCCACTGCTGTCAACATGGGCCAAGTCATATCTCTCTGTCCCAGAAACCTCAGTCCCAAATGAGAGGGGTTTTTTTCTGTTGCAGGGGACATTGTAAATACCCAGAGATACCAGCTTTTACCAGATTATAATTATATGATAATTTTTCTTTAAACCCATCTCTATCTAAGTGAGTGATTAAATGTTAAATGTGATGAGTTTAACAATACTAAATTGAAACTTTATTTTTTTACATGGTTTAATAATTTTTTGTTATTAAAATTGAAGTTCCTGTTTCAAAGCTAACAGATAGATGACTAATTTGTATGTCATTGACACTTTTGGCACTTTTTTGGAGTATTTTCAAAAGTTTTTTTTTTCCTGTAAATGATTCAATAAATACCGTACCGTGACATTCATACCGAGGTATTACCGTACCGTGAAATTCTGATACCGTTACATCCCTACTAAATACTAATTTAAAAATAGAGGAAAAATCAAGAGAAGCAAAAAAACTTGAAAAAAAATTTAGTTGAAATATTTTTGCAATATTTTATTTGAATTTAATCGTATTATGCTTTTTTAAAATATTTTTTGTTTAAATATTATTTTAATAAATATATCTGTTTCATAAATCTGTTTTGTTTAAATGTACTAAAACTGTTGCACAGTATTGTGTATATATATATATATATATATATATATATATATATATATATATATATATATATATATATATATATATATACACAAAATATATATACAAATAATGCTTTTGCTTATTCAAACTACCTGTTTTTAAAATAAGCTGAAACAACACAAATCTTGAGATTTCATTGGGATAAATGAATTTTTTATGTTCAATCCACATAAATTTGTTAAATTTGTCAAGTTAACTTAATCAATTTGTGTTGGGACAGCATGAATGAGTTGTGTGGAACCCTGCATTTTATTGTGTACTAATTTATACTAAAATAACATTTTACAAAATAAAAGATTTTAATAATACAATTATATTGCAGTAAAGTTATAAAGAAAATGCTGAAATCTGAATTGTAATTTGAAAAAAATTTAAAAAGAATTAATAACAATAAGTTATTCAAATAAAATACTTGAATTTATATATAACTATACAGTATATATATTTCAAACTCTCTTTTGATTTTGGGATAAAAAAATCACCTGAACTAGTCTGATTTTCTGGGATTCACCTGTTTCGATTCACTCTCTTTGTCTCTTTCTTCACTGTTTAGCTTTGCTTTAATTGTTGTCTTTCTTCTTCTCCTTATAGGCCACACTTCTGCTCTTTCATTATTTAATATTTTCTCAACTACCTTTCTACTCATAAAATATTTCACTTCTTTAATATGTCAGTCTGCTTTTGTGCTAGTTCTTCAATATGTACATATATGCATTTTCAGTAGTGTTTCTGTTCTACTTTAGTCATTTTATAATGTTAAAAAAAACTGAAAGTTTGTGTGACTGACAGAAAATCTCTGTCCGGTTCAGGCCTCCAGAGGTTGGAATGAATGAAAGCCAGTCATGGGTGACGTCACGCGCCCAGGAGATGTGCCAGAAGTCCGTTCCAGAAAACTGGAACCCTGACAGACCATATCCTGATGACCATCATGACAGCCGCCACAATCCACAGGTAATGCTGGAGATCCTCACATCCCAAACACTGAGTCTGGACATTTAGCTGGAGTTCAGTTTGAGGCCTGTCAGAGAGGCTGTGACACAGAATCTGCCTTCACTCCTTTGATATTCCCAGAATATTCATTTATATTTTATTTAGTTTTTATTCAGCTTAAGACATATGCAATCAGCATCAGATTCATCTGCCTTCTCTAAACCTTTGATATTCCTTGAAATTTTATTTTATTTTCTTATTTATTTATAAAGTTGAAGGTTTTATTTTAGTTTATTTATAAAGCTGCAGTTATTTTATTTAATTTTATTTAGATGTATCCGATCAGCATCAGATTACATTGCCTTCTGTAAACCTTTGATATTCCTAGAATTTTTTTATTTTATTTATGTATGAAGCTGCAGTTTTATTTTATTCAGCTGTATTTTATTTAAAAATGTGCAGTTTTCAAATTTTTTTTATTTTATTTTATTTTTTTATTCATTTATTTGTTTATTTATTATTATTATTATTATTATTATTATTATTATTATTTTGATGTATCCGATTAGCATCAGATTAATCTACCTTCACTAAACCTTTGTTATTCCTTAAACTTTTCATTTATTTATTTATGTATAAAGCTGAAGTTTTTCTTTTTATTTATTTTTAAAGCTGCAACTTTTTTTCTCTCAGCCACTAATAATCCCCGAACCGTGTTCTTTAAGCCAATCACTGTCTTCCTAACCATCGCTGCCTTTGAACACACATTATCTCATTGACATTATCACTCTTTCTGTCTCTGGGTCTGTCGCTCACCTGTCTGTCTGATCAGTGTTTTTGATGAACTTCACTATGGACTGTTCCACCTCTGGCAGACGGCGGGGGTGTTTCTTCTTCCTCTGTCTGCCGGATCGTACCAAACCCCCGCAGACTGTCATCTCTCCTTCAGTGTGACTCTTCTCTGTAGCTCAGTCATCTGGTGTTTCATTTTAGATCTGTGCAGCTAAGGAGATTTAGCCTTAAAGAGCATGTTGGAAAGATCTTAAACCAGTAGTGGGCGATTAGACAGAGTTTCTGTGCACCTTGTCTCGACCTATGAGAGCTGGGAGTTGAACTGATCCAGCCAGTACTGTCAAAGACCATAGCTGAAGTGGGTTTACTCTCATGGTTTTGGATCATTTGTATCTAAAACAATTATTATTATTATTATTTTTATCAAACATGAATGAAGTAACAAAACACCAGAAGTGATGCATAGCAGTTGTGAAATTAAAAGATTTTCAGATTTTGTGTTGAAGTTGGTTGATATTTGATTTGGGATTTTGAATTGGTAAATCGAAAATCAGAAATTTTATTTTGATTTAGATTTTCTTTTCTTTTCTTTATAAACATAAAAGGAATTTTTCACAGTATGTCTAATAATATTTTTTCTTCTGGAGAAAGTTTTATTTGTTTTATTTCGACTAGAATAAAAGCAGTTTTTAATTTTTAAAAACTATTTTAAGGTCAAAATTATTAGCCCCTTCAAGCTAATTTTTTTTCGATAGTCTAAAGAACAAACCATTGTTATACAATAACTTGCTTAATTACCCTAAACTGCCCAGTTAACCTAATTACCTAGTTAATTACCTAGTTAAGCCTTTAAATGTCACTTTAACCTGTATAGAAGTATCTTGAAAAATATCTAGTAAAATATTATTTACTGTCATCATGACAAAGATAAAATACATCAGTTATTAGAAATTAGTTATTAAAACTATTATGTTTAAAAATGTGTTGAAAAAATCTTCTCTACGTTAAACAGAAATTAGGGGAAAAAATAAACTGGGGCTAATAATTAAGCGGGATTTAATAATTCTAGCTTCAGCTGTGTGATATGGCTGTATATCAGCACTGGTGGGAGGCGTGCTTTGCCTTAGCATCCCACCAGTGCTAGGATACAACACGGAGAGTCTAAAAACCTCTTTTTATTAGGAACTACTTTCTTCCACCATTCATTTACATCTGCAGCTGACGTCGAAACAACAGAAACAGTTACTAATTCACCAATCTTACTTTAGAGCTAGTGTTTGAATGACTCTATGTCTAAAGTGATGACAAAACTGCTGATTTTGCTCAACTGCTGATTATAAGGCTAAAAGTGACATCTACAGAGATATCTTCTTACAGTGTTACAGTCTACAGTCTTTCTCTGTTGCAATCGGGATTTCACAATAATTGAGCCCAAAAAAAACAACAAATTCACTTACAGCATGCTGTTGTGTTTGCCATATGAAAAAACTCTAAACACGTGCAGACTTTGCTTATTTCAATCTGCCAACACAACACACATTCCTGAAACGAAAGCAAATCGGTATAAATACAGCACTACAACATACAAAAGAGAGAAATCGACTTATAATATCACCTACAAACGTACCTGCTAACATGTCTCTAAAAATCCAGTAGACTAGGGGGGAGAGAGTGTTCGGGGGTGAGGTTGAGAACCGGGATAGGATATGGCGGGTTTTGGGCGGCCGCTTCTTTAGGAAGAAATTAAAATGGTATGGTTGTGGGAGACTGGTCTAAAATACGTCATACTCCCATGAAAAACGGAAGTGTTGGCAGGTTTGCTTACCAGTTTAATATTGAATTAATCTGCTATAGTTAGAAATCAGACTGTTATATCTTCTAAGCGAAGGGCTTATTATGCGGTTTTGTCGCCATCTTGAGGATAGAAAACGTCAACCGTCGCCAACCAGCTATCTCAGAAATTGTAAATATTTTAAAATAGGCACTATTCTTACAAATAAACTGTAAAGTTGCAGTCTAAACAACTACATTCTTAACTAAAAAAGCCTCAAAAATACATTTTGTTGTCTAACAGTAATATTAGTCAAACTGTAGCATCTCTCTGTTTGTTGCTGGCTGTATGTGGGCGGAGTAATACACAGAGGTGAAGGGTGAAGAGGCCTTTGTGTGATGTTACTGGCGAAATATTGCACGGCTATCAGCCAATCAGATTAAAGAACCAGACATAATATATATATATATATTCTATATATTCAGAATATATATATTCTAGCAGTAAAGGATCACAAATCTCTCGGTTCCCATTACACTATGGTTTTTGAGTCACAGATCGGGCCACTCCTTTTTTTTTTATCAGCAAAAAAGGAAGAAGACAAATCGTTAAATTATAAGGTTCTATCTGCGTTCTGAAGAACCTTATAATTCTAAGGTGAAAAAATGCAATTTGCTTTCTATTTATACTAAAATATTACTGCAAACACATTGGTTTTAACAAACAGAACTTAGAACCTGTAATTTTAATAAAAAATAAAAATCAAGAACAAAAAGAAAAAGAAAATATTCAATATGAAAACTGATCTTTGCTACTGTTGCTGATAATGCTAAATATAGAAATCTAACATCTTGTACATCATATTTATTATCAATTAATGATTCAACAATTCACACATAAAACTTTGTTTCATTATAGGTGTTTCATTTTTGATGGTTGTTTGTCGCCACCTGTTGGTTACACAATGTATTTGCTACAACATTCACCAGCATAAAGTTCCTTTAAACGGTGATTTTAGGGTGCTTTTACACCTACACTTTTGTTTCGGAACGTATCTCGTTTGCCCAGTTAGCGCGGTTCGATTGGCATATGTGAACAGGGCAATCGCGCTCTGTTCCGCGCCAAAGTAATCGTTCCGAAATCGCTTGAATTAGGTGGTCTCGGCTCGATTGAAACGAGGCCTTGAGCGGTTCGATTGCAGTGAGAAACCGATCCGATCCGAGCGTGGTTATATCACAGTGTTTTATGCATATGTAATAGGCTTACGGCTATATGAAGAGAGAGTTATGAGTAGGGCGGAAAGTTTCGCGAGTCTCCGGATGCCCGCAAACAAGTGATGATCTCCCAGTAATCTTGCGTCTCCCTCCCTCAAATAGGCATCGTCGCGCACCTTTCTCACCTCTCCCCACCGCGTCTCTCCTCAGACATGTCGCGCGCGCGCGCACCCTGTCAATCACCACCAAACCACCACCTCTCCTGACAGCTGAGCGGGACGCTGCAAAATAAACCCTTACACTCTGACCAATGTAAGGAGAGTTTACTTGCACGTGACTTGTTTTAGCTCTTTTGGTCCGTTTAGAAACTTTGCAGTGTGAAAGCGAACCGCTCCAAGAGCAAAGAGCAACAATGTAACAATTGTAATCTCTGTTTCGGAACAACTGAATCGATTCACAGGTGTGAAAGCACCCTTAATCTTGACCATAAACATGAGTGTTTACATCTGAACTATAAACTGTTTTCCCAGTACTTCAATGTTATTTAATTGATTGTAACTAATTGAAAATGTGTAAAAACTGAATCTCTCTTGATCAAGTGCAGACTTGAATGCAGAGATTCAAAGGATTAATAACCATATGCAAATCTTTATCATTTAACATTCATGTTGTGCAGGTTTGAATTGAGATCACGATCTTTTAATGTTTAATCATGCGGCTTTAAACACCTTTAATTAATACCCTATGAAAGCATTTAGGTCCCACCACAACGTCTTTCGTCATCATAATATTTTACATGCCAAAATGCTTTCATAGTATTTCCCCATTAGCTTTATATACAAAATAAGTTATGTAATCATAAAAATTTAAAAGCAGTTTGGATCATTTTAAATTGATAGAACATTTATTTTTATTTTATTTTGTTTTTTATTATTATTTTATATTTATTTTATTTTATTTTAATATTTTTAAACAAGCTGACAGTTTTTAAAACATTTAATTAGCATTTTTATAAACTTAACCAGAAATTAGAAACTTTTTCCCTTTTTAGATTTAAATTTTGTTTAGTTATTTTTATTTTATCACATCTTCAAAAAGCTCAAATATGGCTCCTATATTTTATTTAAAGCTTGTTATTTTTGAGCTTTTGTCTGGTCTGATTTTACAAATCATTAATCTGTTATCCAAAGTCCAATTTTTGGCCAACATCCAGAGACTTGTGTGCACTTTTTCTTTTATGATTTGATTTTAATCATGCCTATTGGCCATTTCAGACATGCTTAATCTTTAGTTCAGACGCACTTTTGTGCTTCCCATGTCCCTCTACTGGTTTAAACCCTCACGGGTCCAGTATCAGACGGATAGAGCTGTAGGCGGGTGAAGCAGGCATCTGTTGCTCTGTTTTGCAGACGGTAGAAATGAGAGAGTTTGGGCCTGTTGGGGACGGTTACTCGGACACTGAGCCCTATCACCCAATGGAAGGGCATGGCCGGACCATCTCCATGCCTCGCCTCTCTGCAGACAACCAAGTGAGCACCTCCATCCCCTCATCCATCTGTCCTCCCATCTTTATCTGTTTTCATTCATTCCTGACGGTCAGTTATCCAGCTAACAGCCTTTGACCGCTTCAGTCTGGTAGCCAAACCTCAGATGGTTTTGGTGCTGTCATGCTAACATATTGATGCAAAGACACTGCAGGGGGTAAAGGCAATTTTTCTGTTAATTTGGAAATTTTAAGGATTAAAACAACATTTTTTGTAAAGATTATGTAAAGAAAATATCCAAAATATACATTTAAAGGTTTTTTTGTCACGCTTTTTGTCTGGAGATTTTTTTTTATCTTCAATGAATCTTTACTTCACTTACATGGAATAAAAACACTGTCATAAATACTTTGCGCATCAATCAAATCAAATCAAATCCATGCATGTGTAATTCTAAAAACGTAAAAAAAAAAAACGAAGATAATAATTTTACAAGGGTACAAGTCCAAAATCTACATTTTGTGTAAGTAAAGGCCCTATCCCAATTCTATTTTTGTCCCCTACCCCTTTCCCTTGGCCCTTGAAACAGAGTGTGAAGGGGAAGGGCTTCAAAATTTACCCCTACGAAAAGGGACTCCACTACAACACACACGTCATCATATGTCATCACAATCTCTTGCTTCATGTGAGATTGACAATTGCGAATGCTGTGGTTATTCCAGTTGCGTTATATATCATGTTATTATAAGGCATATATCATGTTATCATAACGATATATTGTGGCAGTAAGCTTGTAACTGTACTGTGCATTTACACCCTGGCCATATTCATTTTTGTAAACAAACAAAAAGCAATTAAACATTAAAGCAGACACTGTAAAAAGCTCATTCTCAGCCACTAGACTTTTCTGACAGGGTATTCGAGTGTCATCAAGTGACAGAATGTTGTGGAACTACTATACAGGAGTTATTATTTGGCATTATAGATAGCAAAATTTAACAGTTTTTATTTTAGTGAGTTTTTTTAAAACATGACATTAAAACACGAACGTGTTAATAATGACAAAAAAATGCTAATTTGTGCATCTCCTGACTTCCGTGTGCAGCCATGCTGTCGTTGTAGATAGTGTATTCTGGGAAAATTTCCTTACCCCTTGGTTTCCAGTGTGGTCCTGAAAAATCTCTTTTGAGGGCTGACTAGCCCCTTCCCCTTAACCCTATGCCTTCAAGATGAAGAGAATTGGGACACCCCTACCCCTTCACGTGAACAAGCAAAACGAGGGGTGGGAGTAAGGGGAAGGCCTAAGGGGTAAAACTGGGATTGGGACAAAATTTTTGGATGTTGGACTTGTACCCTCGTAAAATTAAAAATACATTATGTTTTCTTTTTCATTTTCAGAATTATACATGCATGGATTTAATGTATGCATGAAATTTTTATGACTGTGTTTTTATTCCATATTCTTACATAAACTAAACATTACAGTTTTGTTTATCTTTGCACAAATTTTAAGATTAGTAAAATTTTAATTGTTTTGCAAAAAAGCATATTCTGCTCACCAAGGCAGTAAAAACTGCAAAATTGTGAAAAAGTATTACCATTTAAAATAATTGTTCTAATATTAAATGTAGATTCAATTCAATGTGATTTATATGTAATATACCTGATTATATAAAATGTGAAGGAATTGATTTGATTTTATTATTCCAGACAAAATAAACAAGATATTTTGACTAGACTTGTATTAGAAATTTATTTATTTGATTAAAGAATGACTGATTGCATTTTTTTAAACAAACTGATTTCTTTTGCATTTGTTTAGCATATTTATATACTTAACCTGAAACTTATATTCCAGAAAAAATAAACAAGATATTTTAATTAGACTTATTGTAATGTTTAGATTTTAATGCTAGAAATTTGTATTTCATTAAACAATGACAGATTAGCATATTTTATTTTTAAACAACTTTATTTTCATATACTTAACCTGAAATAAGTAAGAAACTTATTATCTGATTTATTAGATTTATATTTAATATGTCTGATACTATAAAATGTGAAGGAATTGATTTGAATTGGTTCCATAAAAATGAAACAAGATATTTTAACCACTCCTTATATAATGTTCAGTCAAATATTTTGAAAGCTTGTAAAAAAAAAAAAAAAAAAACATTTGCTCTTTATGCAAATTTTACCATATTCACCTTCAGTGTCTTGCCTTAAGAAATGTTAGCATGCGTTTGTCATGTCAAAGGGCACATGGATAAGTGGCTCACACTTTCCTTACCTGCATGGCTGTGTGTGTGTGTGTGTGTGTGTGTGTGTGTGTGTGTGTGTGTGTGTGTGTGTGTGTGTGTGTGTGTGTGTGTGTGTGTGTGTGTGTGTGTGTGTGTGTGCGCGTGTGCGTGCCTGCATGCGTGCGTGCGTGCGAGTGCGCGTATGTTTTTAAATCATATCACGCTATCGCTCACTATCAGGAAAACCTTGGTGTGTCTAAAGATTCCAGAGCTTGATTTGAAGCAGTGAATACAGTATAATTTAAAAATGCATATACCATAGTAAAACATTTAAAGTCTGAGTAAACTCGTTTAAAAATGTTAAGTTTAAATATATACAATAAAGTAGTAAGTTTAAAAGAAGTCACTGCGACTTTTATTTCAGTGTGTTGATTTACCTCCAACTGAAACGGAATATTGAGTTGGGACGGGGCTTTTTTTTTTTGTGCATTATTCCCTCATAGCAAGCTTATAATAAGAGGGGGCGTGGCTAAGAAAATTATGGCTAAATCCATCAAACTGATGTCAATAGAGGACGGAAACAAATTGTCAGACTTAGGTTGAAGATTACAAAGCAAACTTTTTTAAACTTCCACAGAATAACTGAGGCATTGAGACGAAGAACCACATAAGTCCATGTTTTCAAAGTTTGAGTAATATGATTTAAAAAAAATTTTTTATTGTAAACATTATATTATATATTTTTATTTTAATTGAAGATAGATACCAAAAGCTTCTCAATTTTAAGAACATAAAATTGTTCAGTGTCAGTTTTAAAAAAAGTTATTGTGATTTATATTTCCCAAATGTGGAAGAACGGTATATGTCCAGTTAGTGTGGAATAACTGTATAACTCCAATTCATCATATCACTTTAAATCACTAAAGATCTAATTCCTTTATCTTAGTTTTAAAACAGTAACAGAAACGTCAGGTTAATATTAAGCATTTCTTTCAAGTTTATTATTATTATTATTATTATCATTATCATTATCATTATTATTATTATTATTATTATTCAAGAGAATTCAAGAGGAAAAAAGGTGGGGAAACAAGACCTCAGTCAGATTAAACGCCATTTTAAATAAAAATAAAAATAAAAAACTCTGTGAGGAGTAATCTTTACATTAGCTAACTCTTTCAAGTTTTTTTTATTTATTTATTTTTAAATACATTATGAACAATGTACAATACATAGACTTTCTTACAGTACAAGCAATAACAATAAATTCCCAAAAAATAATTAAACTTTCAATTGAATTTAAGACAAAAAAGGCAGGAAAATAGACCTTAATCAAATTGGACACCATTTTAAATAATAAAAAAAAGTCTGTGAGGAGTAATCTTTACAATAGCTGACTCTTTCAAGTTTTTTATTACTATTATTAGTATTATTTAATAACAGAAAATACAGAATGAACAATGTACAATACATAGACCTTCCTACAGTACAGGCAATAACAATCACTTTCTAACAATAAATAAATAAATAAGTAAATCTTTATCATGATGCACATAGTCTCTGAACATTTGATCACCTCTTGCATGTTTAGATAGCTCCAATAATGCAATGTCATTTATTTAGAAAAGCTGGCGTAGTGCACCTGTGTATATACCTCAAACTGTTCTTGCGCTCCCCTATCTCATGATATAAATAAATATATATGTAATGTAATGTGTAATTATATAGCGCATTTATTGTGTATGGCCATACACCCAAAACACTTCGCAATCATGAAGGGGGTCTCTCCACACAATATAAACAAATAAACTCTGAAATATGCATTGATACAGCTTTATTATATATGGTATATGGTTTATTTTGATAGGTTAACTGTTTTTGTGGTGTTTAGTGCACCTCAGCGTGTTCAAAGAGAGAGAGAGAGAGAGAGATCACATCACATATAATGTTCTTATACACACCTCTTGCAGTGGATTTTTTTTCCTGGTTTTGTTGTCCTCTTTGATTCAAATAGGGTTTCCCAGCATCCCTCAAAGCTTTCCTTACTCTGTTTTTTTATTTGTTCATGTAGACTCTCCTTTTTTTGTCAAGGATTTGCCTTTTAATATGCGAAGCGAACATGACAGCAAGCGACATCTTCATTCTTCTTTGTGGATATAAACGTTTTTTTCCGCGGGATGCACTCATCATCACGCAAAAATATCACCAAATTGTTCATGTATACAAAGTCTACATACAGTTAATGTCACGTGACTATCTTTTTTTTCTTTATTTTTGGACGGATATGGTTATTCGTCCCACGTCTCAACTGTACACCTAATGAAACGAACGTGAACTAGCAAAATAAACATAAAAATTTTTGATTTCACATAGACTTTCAACTATATAGATAATTTATCCACTTCTTAACTCAGTTTTTAAAATCATAAAAGTCATATTTTCAAACTTTAAAGCAGCCAAAGAACTTTCAACTGAATTTGAGGCAAAAAAAGGCGGGAAAACAGACCTTAGTCAGTTGGACGCCATTTTGAATCAAAAAAACAAGTCTGTGAGGAGTAATCTTTACAATAGCTCGCACTTTATAAACGACAAACCAACCTCTGGAAGCAGCAACACTCTTACAACACACAACTCTCTAAAAATACAACCACAAAAACACTTCACATAGAGGCTGTTACACTTTCAATATGTTTTATGCTACAATGCATAAATACGCAACGCATACTCATACTTGCATAACCTCCATGATCTCTTGGTTGACTATTCTCTGGAGATGTGTCTGGGTTTTGTCCAAGTGTGTATCAGATAAGTGTGAGGAAGCCTTGTGTGTTTCTTGTGTTTTAAAATGTGTGTATGTGTATAGAAACCGCACAATGTTGTAAAAATGTGTTTAGAGTCAATATGTTCTCTTGTGCGTGGAAGGTCTAGTGCATACAATGCACGCCTACTGGAAGTGTGTGCTTGTGGCGTGCGTTGTGTAAGGCTGTACTGTAGATGTGGTTGTTGTATTTGTGACTCACTCTTGTCTAACACTGCTCTGCCCCAACAGAGTGTGCGTTCTGCTGCGGTAAGTGTGTTAGTGTGCTTCCTTTCTTCCTCTACACTCGCTCAATTTTTGTCTTTTTCTCTTTTCCTTTTCCTCCCTCCCAAACCCTACTCCTGTCGATGGCTGTGTTTCTGTGCTCTCTCTCTCTCTCTCAATAAAATGGGGATCACTTTTTTTTCTTTTGTTTGGATCTCTCTTTAATCCTTTTTTTGTTTGTTTATTTATTGTCCATAATGCATTGTGGTTTACCATTGCTCTTTATCGTCCTTCAATTAAAAAAAAAAAAAAAAAAAATCCTATTTTTCTGCAATCTTTTTGTTCTCTGTTTTTCTCTTCATGGTTACTATTTTTGGGTCTCTTTTGTGTTCATTTTCTTCCTTCAATTTACTTCCATTTCCTCTTTATGCCCATTTTGTTTGTTTGTTTCTCTTTTAAACGTTTTTCGTTTGCATCCTTTGTTTCATTCTCTCTCCTTTTTGTATTCCTTCTCCTTGATTTTTTAATTTTCCATTCATTTCCTCTTTGATTTCTTTTTTTTTCATTTGGCTGTTTTACTTGTTTCTGTTCTTTTTAACTTTTGTTTTCTTTTTATTGCCTCCTTTGTTTTTGGTCTCTCCTTTATGTTTTCTATTTCATGGATTTCCTTTTTGTGGCACACCTGTCTGTCCATTACTTACTTATATTTTATTCAATCAATTTCTACCTCTATTTCCTATTTCGCTTCTTGGTTTTATTTTTGTTCCTTCCCATTGTGTCTATTTCTTCTTAATAATTGTCCTATTTTTCTGCACTTGGTTTTGTTTTAAATTTTTTCCCTTTATGGTTATTCATTTGTTTTGGTCTTTTTTCCTGTTCACTTCCTTTTTATTTTTTCATTTCTTTAATTTAATGTACTTCCATTTCCTCTTTATTCCCATTTTGTTTGTTTATTTTTGTTTGCCAACTTTTTCCTTTTTCTGCATTTTGTTTTTATTGCGTCCTTTGTTTTGGTCTCTTTCTTATTTTGTATTCCTTGTCCTTGATTTTTTCCCATCCATTTCCTCTTTAATCCTTTTTCATTTGGCTGTTTTATTTGTTTCTGATCTTTCTAACTTATGTTTTTTTATCGTATCCTTTGTTTTGGTCATTCCTTTATGTTTCTATCTATCTCATGAACTTGCTATTTGTGATACACCTGTCTATCCATTTTGTTCCATTTCTTCTTACATTTTTTGGTTATTTCCCATTTTATTTTTTTCCCTATTGATCTTTCCTTTGCTTTTATTTCCTTTATCTTAATCCCCCCTTTTTGTTTTTTATTGCATCCTTCCATATTTTCTTTAACCAATTTATTCTTTTATTTCCTATTTCGGTTTTTGGTTTTCTTTCTGTTCTTTCCCATTTTCTCTATTTCCCTATTGATTATCTTTCCTTTGCCTTTCTTTTGTCACTTTTTTGGTGTTCATGTGTTGTCCATAATGCATTGTGGCTTACTAATTCTCTTTTCATTTCTTCTATTTTCTTTTTTTATATTTCTTTTTAAATAAATTTCTTATTTTTATGCACTTTTTGTTGTTGTTTCTCTCAATGTTTTCCCTTCATGGTTTTTAATTTGTTTTGGTCTCTTTTCTCTTCATTTTCATTTAATTTTTCATTCCAATTTCATTCCATTTCCTGTTTATTCCATTTTGCTTGTTTCTTTCTGTTTTCCTATTTTTTCCTTTTTCTCCATTTGTTTTGGTCTCTTTTCTGATCACTTCCTTTGTATTTTTTATTTTCCTTTCTCCAATTTCCTTCCTTTTCCTCTTTATTCTCATTTTCTTTTTCTTTTTTTCTCCATTTTGTTTTTATTGCATCATTTGTTTTTGGCCTCTTATTAATCATTTCTATTACATGGACATTTTTGTGTCACACCTATCTATCCATTTCATTTCATTTTTCCATCAATATCCTCCTTTCTCATTTTTACCATTTCCCTATTTATTATCTTTTGTTTGCCTTGTTCTCTCCCTCTTTTGGTCTGTTTTCATGGACTTCCTCTGGCAAACATTTCTGCATTGCATTTACCACAACTGTCTCATCTGTCATCAATGATCTTTCTTGTCCATTCCATCACATTCTACATTGAATTTCTCCTTTGTTTCCCAATGAATTTTCCATCCCCTTTTTCTTCCTTTGTTCTTTCTTTGTGCCATTTTCTATCCTTTATCTTCCCCGTCTCTCTTTCTCTTTCTCTCTCTGTTTACCTCTCACACGTTCTCTGCTGTGCTGTGTGTGTATCGTCCCTGTGGTCTCATGCCTGTGTCCTGTTCTGCGCACCGTCTGTCTGCTGTTCAACAGCGACGGAGACACAGGCCGCGAGGAAGTAATCTCAGTGTATGTACCGTCTCTGGCTTTCTGCATTGTTCTCTCCTTTCCTCTCCATCCTCTCCCCCTGTTCTCTCTCATTTTTCCTGTTTTAGGAGTCTGCGTCTCTCTTTATGTCTTGATGTCACACTGGCCTCTTTATTTCACGTCATTCTTCTTTTTTCCTGTATACTCCCTCTGTATATTTTATTCTTTGCTGTACTTTTCTCTCTATATACATTTCTTCTGTCCACTTATGCAGCCCTGTGTCCCTGTATGTGTGTGTATGTAAGAGAGAGAGAGAGAGAGAGAGAGAGAGAGAGAGAGTGTGTGTGTGTGTGTGTGTGTGGGGGCGTGTGTGTGTATGTGTGTTTGCCTGTATATTTGTATTTCTGGTCCTGTGGACATGGGGAAGATTTGCTGTCTCGTAGTTGTTGACGCATGGATTTGACTGGGAAACC